CAGTGTCTGTCTCGCTCAAACACTTTCAGAAAATTAAAATTTGAAATGACAGTCACGACATGATTATCAGTGGATGTGACTGAGGGGCTCTTAATACATTTTGGTGAAGCTAGCTTCCACTGGGGCATAATTATCATTTCTACATAATGAAGTGACTACAAAGGAGCTGTCCTGCATCCTAAGAAGGAGGGAGCTGAAAAAAAATTAAGCTTGCAGCGGACCCATTACTCTTTCCACTTGTGTTCACAGATGTGTTATAATTTGTGCCGCAGACTTCTGACCCGAACTAAACAAAAGTTGAGTTGAGCTATTGTACCATCATGCTCTTCTCTAGGATCAAACATGACAAAGGAACGATTCTCTTGCTCTGCTGTGCACACGTGAAACCCTGTTAGTAAGGACAAACCGAGCCGGATTATTATGGTCCATCCCTGCAAGGATACAGGCAGTTGGTTTTGGCATAACATTGCAAAGTCTGGCTGTCTGTCAATACGGGCGCAAACACCCTAATGTTTGAGTTCTGGGCGGTGCAACAAAACAAACCACAGGGCATTGTGTTCAAACAGCAGGCAATGCTCTGCACTCATACAACATCACACAGTCATATTTCTAGATTTTCTTTTGTCCCCGATGCCAGTGAAAATGCCTTTTAGGCCTAATGAGTGAAAAAGGACTGCAGTCAAAAGATGAGTGGCACTAAAGAAGAAAATGATTCAGTGGGTTCAATGATGATAGCTTTATTGTACTTTTCAAACCAAACCAGCAGACATACATCCTGTGTTTGTTGATTTATGCTGCAGCGTGAATGAGAAGCAGGTTTATATCCTCAGCAGCACATAAGTGAATTATTGTGTGAATATAACTGAGGTATGTAAAACAGTACGTGCAGTATGTAAAACATTTTGTCACATTTTGATTTAGTCACCACATTGTCTGGTTTTGTTCCTCATTTCAATGGAAATCTATGTGTTGAGGCTGACATCCCAATCTAACAGTTACGTCCATACTTTCTAAATCTTATTACAGTGTGTGGGGAGCATTAAAGGAGAATCCCCATTTTACAAAAGGCCTTTGCTGACCTTTCAAGCACGTCCAAATTTTTACTCAACACCAATCTCATGTAGGTTAGCTGGCAGAGCAGAGTGAGCGCTGCTTATTATTATGTATTACTTTGCTTTTGTAGTCCCTCCACATCGTTACTCATCCAGTATGCTTAAAGGTGCTCTCCCCTCTGGCGAGCACAGCTATGACAGTCAGCTTGGAAGTTAGGAGTCTTTCAAAACTCCTTTTTTTCCCCCCTGTCTTCCTCCCCTTTTCTCTGTCTCTCTTTTACTCTTTCTTGGTGTCCCCACGTCTCTCTCTCTTCCTTTCTCGCTGTAATCCTCAGAGAGCACCTGACTGACGTGTTGTTCAAGGATGAAAAGCACGGCGGAGGGGAATCCAAAAGCAAACAACACAAAAAATATACATGAGAGGATGGGAAAGACATTGCTACACACACACACACACACACACACACACACACACACACACACACACACACACACACATACATACACAGAGAAGCCCCGAGGATTATCACCAGCGCGACACTGGACACTTCAGGGAAGACAGCATCTGCTCACTTCCATATTTAATACCACAAAAAAGAACATTGTGTTCTCAGGAAACTTCTCATTTTCACTTTCAGTAGACACAGCCAAATACAGTGATGTGAGCAAATATAATCCTCTCCAAACTGCATATTTCTACTGTCCAGGTGGCTATAGAAAGTGCCCAGGTGCATTCACACTGTAACTAAAGCCATTTTCGCAGGACATTTTGACAGACATGAGGTCTTTGCCTTTCAAAGCACTGCTTTAACATCTATCTTTTCCACCTAGTTATGTAAGGTGTTCAGCGGCGTGCTCTCTGTTTCTGTGTCTGTCTCTGCTCGAAGAAATTCAACCAGGAAACTGTATCTGCAGTGGCAAAGTTCAGTGTCCCAGCACACACGCTCTGCTGCTTCTCGATGGGCAGTCAGCCTGTTACAGGACTCAAAACAAGCGAGGGAGCACTACAGGAATGAGTGGACAAGGTTATAAGGAGGCCATATGCTCTGTCTGTCTTCCCTCTACTCCCAACTGTTCCACAGATATTGAAAACTACATGATAGTGACAAAAAGGCCTCCTGTTTGAGAAAAAGAGGACACTGCAGCAAACTGAAAAGGAGAATTATCCCCTGCTATAGACCAGTTTCTGTGTATTTTAGTCATTCAATCACTCACACACGTATTCAACACATTAATATAATGGATGGAGTGAAGGCAGCCGGACTCGAGAGGCTGCGCAGCCTGACAGCAAATGGACACCAACTGTGACAGCTACTTATTATTCCACATTGACTGTAAATCGGCAATGATTGTGTGTTTCACTGCCATGTTATTTATGGACCTCACAAAGTGGGTGGCTGATTGAGAAAAAGACTTTTAAGAGACATGAATTCAAGGTCTGTAACGTAAATATGCAGCAAAAATAGAAACACATTCAGGGAAGTTTTTTTCTTTAAATGTAAATGTAATCAACCTTATTTCAACCAGTTGCCACCTAGAAATTGCCACCTTATTGGGACGTTATTTAAATAGGTCATCTTTAAGTTTTGTTTTTGTCTAGCTCCTTAGCATCCAAATGGTACAGATAATGAACGAGGAACATTTGTCACTGTGAAAACCAGGTATCTCTTCCCTTTCAACCTGTTGTGAGCTGAGAAAAACAACCTTGTTTTTAGCTTTGTGACAAGGCATTTCTTTAGCTAGTCCACTGGGAATTTTTAATGGGTATATTTAGCTTAAGAATCCATAAAGTAACACTTAAAGTCAGTTAAAGCTGCTAAAACGTTCACTATATCCTGACAGTAGAACATGAGACAGATAAACTGAAAAAATCTGGTTCCTTTGGCTCCTCCTAGTGCTCCTGATGGCATATACAAGAATCCATCGGGCATCAACGAAAACAACCAATCAGAGCCAAGAATGATAGTTTGATTGTTATAATGACCTGAGAATGAGTCTCTATCTTTCTCTGCTCTGATTGGTTGTTTTGGTTCAAGCACAGTGGATTCTTGCAAATTACTTTAGGAGCACTAGGAGGAGCCAGAAGAACCTGATTTATACTACAGTCCGGATACAGACACTTTTTATATAAGTTACATACTGCAGCTTTAATTTATGAAGTAATTGTGAACTAACATTCCTTAATTGATAATCTATAAAGTGTGTACTAATCACAAAAAGTCATAGTGACTTGATCACTTGTTAGTGGTGAGCAACAGGAATTCTGCATTAAACCAAGCATTAGTTAAGCATTAGTTAAGCATATGATTTATACCCTTATTATAAAGTCTAAATGTAATCCTTCAGTTTATCTAAAAAAGTAAAAATCACAAAATTTTGTGATACATGGTTTTCAAGAACCGCGACCTACATCATCTTCAACAATCAGGTTTGCACAAACGCTGAATAAACCAGACAATTCTGTTTAGTTTAGCTTTTATTTAGTCTTTATGTCTGTGTGTGTGTGTGTGTGTGTGTGTGTGTGTGTGTGTGTGTGTGTGTGTGTGTGTGTTATCTTTTATCATTCTGTTCAGCGATAAAATAATTACTTTTGTACGAGACAGTGCTCTTCAAATAAACTTGAGCTAAAGTGATTAACCATTATTTCAAAGTGAACCTCTCATTATGTAAAACCCAGACATGCAATAAATAGGCTGAACATTGTTATCGTTATCGTAGATATAACTATACATTCTGAGTTAAACCCTATAAATACAAAACCAACCCCATTATAGAAATAGACCTTGGTTGTGTGCAGCAGCATGTCGTGAGGAACAATCCTCTAAAGGATTAATGGTGGCTGCTCTATTACTTCCACACTTTTTTTTTATCATCCAGACTAGTGGTCATTACTGGCTGACAGCAGTCTGTCGACATGTAGGCAGGAATCTTCTTAGCCTGCAGATTACACCAAGCCTGTGTCTGTTTTCTCTCCCCACCATATACCTGTATAGTAGAACATGTCAGTAAATGAAGTCATATTTTAACAGGGCACTACCAGAGGAATAGATTGCTGTGCTGACTAACAGAATGACAGATGCTTTGAGTGTCTCACTGCTGAGTGACAGCAAACTGTCAGTGCTGTTGTGTGGCTGTACTGCCGTCTTTTCATTTCAGATGCTACCAGAGAGGGAGGGACCCATCCTTGCAGCCGCAGTTGAGTGAAAAGGCACCTAGGAGGCATCTTTGGGCTTGTCAGACACAAGAAATCTAATCCAGACAGCCAAGAATTGGAATTTGAATGAGAAACCCGAAAATAGCAGCTGTCTCTGCATAATTGGAACAAATGGAAGTTGGATATGCGGCAGAAAATAAAACAAGGAAACAACTGGGATGTAACGGGACACTATTTGCTGACAGTTACAATAATCTGGGGAGAGCCGTGCCAGAGGCAGGCTGTTGTTTGTAGCGTGGCAGCTTATAGTTTCTGTCAAACTGCTGCTGATCTCTGATCTTGTAGGTCGCAATTATATGCCCCCCTACTATTCCTCCTCCATCCCTTCCTGCTGCCATCCTCCCCTACTCCTTTAAACCCCCTCTGGTATCCTAAGCAGCATTTAATTGTGATGGGCTGAGCCAGGGAAGGCGTAATCAGATGAGAACAGAAGCAGGGTGAATCACGTGGGTATACATAGGCTAACGGGGGATTAATAACACTAGTTCAGCTTCTCTAGGGGGGGAGAAAGAGAGTGACAGAAAGGGGAGGAAAAGAGAGGAAAAGAGAGTTGCAAAGATAGAGGATGATAAGGGGTTCTCAGATGAGAGCAAAGTAACAAGGAGAAGAGACAGAGATGGGGAGAGAAGAGGGAAATAGAGAAAGGAGGGAGTTAGAGCAGTGAGAGGGAGTGGGAGGAAGAAAGAGCGAGGATAGGAGGCAGCGCAGCGCAGTCTGGGGGGGGGTAGAGAGACAGGAAGAGAGAGAGAGAAAGAGAGAGAGAGATGTAGAGACAGGAAGCCTCCACTGCTACTGAGCCAGTGAGACGCAGGCAGGCAGAGGGAGAAGACGGAGAGAGAGAGGCCCTCGGCATCTCCAAGCCCGGCCCAATGAGGGGGTGAGGGGCTCAAGAGCACTACAACGGAGAGGATAGTGGGAGGAGAAGCAGAAACGGAGGAATAAGAGGGAAAAAGGCAGGCCGATAAAATCAGAAACAGGCTTCAGCGGGAAAAGGGGAGTGGGTGGGTGGGATCTGCGATGAAGAGAGGAAAAAGCAGATAAAAGTTTTGGAGACAGAGTAGGAGAGGGAGAGGGAAGGGGAAAAGAGACTAAAGATAGAGTGGATACAGTCTATGTTAATGGCAAAGGCAGGAGGAGATTCATGGAAAAAGAGGAAGAAGCTCTCTGTGTCTCAGGAGTCCTCCTGTTCCTCTTCTGCTTCTTCTTCTTCATCTTCTTCTTCTTTCTGTGAGGCTGCTGGACATCATCCATCACCATGTTTTCTGACAGCAGGGCTCCAGCGCCCGGGGAGCAGAAAGGCTTCAAGCCCCACGCCCCTCACTTCATCCCCTGGCTGCGCAATAGTCTGAAGCCGCACCACAGCAGTGACCTGGGGCTCAACGGACCATACAAATCCACCTCAGAGGCCCGCAACAGCCTGACCCCGCTGGAGAAAGGCAAAGGAATCGGGTTCTTCTCCATTCAGGGAAAGGACCGAGCGAAGAAGGGGGAGCTTCGGTGTAATGGCGTGGGGATGGCGAGAATGCTGCCAGTGGTGCTGAGGGGGCACCACATTCTGCCAGGGAGTCTGGGGAAGCAGAGGGAGGATAGTCCTGCCAGATGGAACCAGTCTCCAGAGCTTCACCCAGACTCCAACACGCAGATGAGTCCAGGGGACGGGCCGCAGGGTCTGAGCAACAGCTCCACGCCCCCGAAGGAGAACCACACCTTTGTTAGGAACCACAGCAGTCACCCGAGCCTCCCTCAGCTGCAGAATGACGGGACCAGCACCTCAATAAGGAAATATGGGCCGCTAGTGGGACCCCCTCCTGCTCCTGTTCAGGAGGAGCCAAACTGTAAGGTGCCTGCTGTGGTGGGCACGGAGGACAGGAGGGGGAAGGTGTGGGACTACGGCAGCAGTACCACCTACCGCCAAAGAGACCTTCATTCATCCAGCTGGGTGAGCTCAGACACTCAGGGACTAATAGAGAGGCAGCACGGCTTCACCTCCAGCTTCAGCTACATCAAACAACAGAGCAGGAACTCCCAGAGCCAGAGAGACCTGACAACGCTGAGGGAACCACCTGTGGAGGGTTTCAACGGGCCTCTCAATGGAGTCATCTTCTCTACTGAGGTTCCTCTGAGAGGCCTGGGCTGCACCACAACTCTACGAGGCCCCAGGAAACCCAGACCAAGCTCGGAGGGTATTGGGGTCCTGGGTCAGAACCAGACATGGGTCCAATACAGGCCAACCATCGAAGGGGAGTCACAGAGGAAGGAAGCAGGTTGCAGCAGGAAGGTGGTTCGAAACCAGATAAAACGAGTGGTGGACAACCTGGAGCAGGTTCTTACAGCACTGAGGGACGTTCACCAGGAAATGAAAGAGGTAAAGTGTTGGATTTTTTGTTCATTCTGTATAACTCACCAAAAAAGGAATAAGAGAGACACAACATGACAAAAGCTGTTCATTGTTTATTCAACCATTTCACCTACACAATCATGACATGTCATTCCTGAACCGACAAGACAAACAGCAACACATCAGTTGAGAATGGGAGCAGAGGAGTTACTGCATCCTCTCACATTAACTCAGACATTTCCTCATGCAGGAAAGTGTTCATGCTTCTGCTGAAAAAACCCTTAAGGGTTTGTAGATAACAATGCAGGCTACAAATGCACGTCCTCAGCAGAATTTAACATGCATTAAAAAGTCAGCAGCAGGGTTGCATGAATCCACCACAGTCTGCAAACTCCAACTCTCCTCTGTCATCTGTCTCCAAAGATATACACCACTTGTGTTCAATTCAAGCGTAGATTTTCATAGAGGTGAATGAAACAATAGTTATGCCCCATTTGCATGATGCATTTGGAGGTTGCTGAGATGATGCCGTGTGACATTAGGCAAAGCAGTCGCTTTCCTCTCTGCATCTCTCATTCTGTCTTTCCTCCTCTAACATCCCCTCTCATCTCTTCCTCCACTCTCCCTCCTTATGGACAGATGCTGCTCCAGGCACAGCTGGATAGCGTCCGACGCTTTTTATAATCCATTTATGCCTGAGTATCTCTGCCTCGTATTCCTCAGCCAGTAAAAGTGACACATAAATCTCGCCTCTTGGCATTTGATCTGCATCTGCGGGGTCGCTGCTAAACCCAAGGTAGTAACCTCATCATCCTGGCTGCGAGCTTTTTGTGTGACAGTGTTAATATAACACTGATGAAAGAGCATATACTGTAGGCTACACAAAAAGAGGGGTAGGAGGAGGGGGAGCAACTAGACACTGTGATAGAAAATCCAAAATTTTCACAACAGAGACGACAGATCAAAGGAAGATAAGGCACCAGAGAAGACTTTGGTCGCATATTTATTTCAAAGCCCTGTTTTAACATTCTGTTGCATGAGCAGCAACCCTCAGCTTTATTTAATAATCAATCACTGTTATACAATGATATTGTAGTGAGTCTTTAAAGCATTTTGGACAGACACTACACAAATATTAAAGCAACGTTAAAGACCTCTCTCTTATGGAGCAGAAGGAAAAAGAAAACAAAAGCAAGCTCACACATGAATATGAGGATCTTTTCCAAAGGCTTTTTCGACAGATCAAAAACTGCACTATGACTCAGAACTCCGAGCAAAACAACAACAGAGTTAAACCGAAAGAGTTAAATGAAACTTAAATGACTGAGCTCTACAACAAACATCTCTCAGCACTGCATGTGAAGACCGGAGGGGTCAAAAAACATTGTTTTTAATAAAGACTCTGGGGAACGGCAGATGAAAACCAGGGTCCTCTTCCCTTTTATCTCCTCTGATTTCTGACATTAACAAGAAGCACCTGCCCAGAGTCACTTGATGTGCATTATACACGCTGTACTTCAAAGTAATATGAAATGCCTCACCCAAAAAGCTACAGCATAAAAAAAAAAAGACAAACCAGGTCATCTTTTGACATCAGCAAGGATGTTGTTGAACACAGAGAACAAAACAATAATTCATCGGTTCCAGCAGGGGCTGAGGATTTATCTGTGCACATAGAACAGGTGGAGAGATAGGTCAAACATTTTCCCCAGTGTAATTTTTCCCAATCTCTCCAGCCTCCGTCATTGCACGTGTGTGTGTGTGTGTGTGTGTGTGTGTGTGTGTGTGTGCGTCCACTAACCTGACTGTGTTTTTGTGTTAAGCATTTATGTCCATATGTGTGTTGTGCATACACTCATGCTTTACATATATTCTAAATGCGTACCTCCATATGATGCATTGTATGGTGTGCTATTCACTATCAACTGAGAGGCATTAGAAGGGAAACCCATCTAAATGTATCTTACACATTTCCCATAATAGTAATCTCTTCTTTTCTAGGCTGAGCTGAACATTTTTCTGCACTAAGTAGTAGCTTGTGTGACATACTTACAGATTACAGCTATACATCTGGTGAGAGTCCACAGCTGAAATGCTCCAGTTTATAAATGCAGACATGCAAATGCAGGAAAACATGATTACTCAAAGTTCTAATATCTCCATTAAGGCTACAGCGGTAAGATTGGTTATGTGTGTTATCAATCTATTTGTTAGAGATTAATAAATATATATATAAATACATTTAGATTCATATGGTGTTGTAGTGTCCTGTTGGCATAGAGGTCTAAACCGCTGATCATCTGGCTGGGATGGCTGCTGTCTATCAAAATAAAGACATGTTACTTCAAAGCACTGTTGAAGTCACTTAACTGAGTAAAGATTAATCAAGTTATTAATCAAACGCCTTGTGAGGATTTGCTGCTTTCCTCTGTTTTATATAAATTGTAAACTTCTTTGGTTTTGGACCGTTTGTAGGACAAAGCAAGCAATTCTATCTTAAATGACTGAACGATCACTTGGCAGATTAAACAACAATGAAAACAATAAGAGCTTTCAGGCTTTCATTTTCCTTTCCCATAATGCAACTTAATAGAGGGTTTTGGTTAGACCTTCCCTGCCTGACAAACACTCCAATGCATCCAGTTTGGCTTTTCTGGGCTTTCTGTTAAAAATGTTAAAAGGTCAAATGTGTAACATTAAGGAGGATCTATTAGCAAACATTGACTATAATATTCATAGGTATGTTTTCATTAGTATATAATCACCTGAAAATAAGAATCATTGTTGTTTTTGTTACTTTAAAATGAGCTGTTTATATCTATAGAGCGAGCTGGTACGTCTTCTATGGAGTCCGCCATGTTTCTACAGTAGCCCAGAACGGACAAACCAAACACTGGCTCTAGAGAGGGCATTTTGCGTTTTCTTGCAGCCACCATACTTTCTCCTACACACTGGTCCTTTAAGTCTCGGACATAAACATGATGACATTACTATGACGTCATTGGGGTAGTTTTTCAAGTTCAATTCAGAGCCGCAGAACAAACCGTCTGAAAGCACTCCAGTTACCATACTGTTTGTATTTATCCATCGATTGTGTGTATTTTTTAGGTGGTGCAGCAGATTGACAATCTAACTTCATCCATTGATCTGAATGAGGAGGAGCAGCAGAGGACTGCAGGAGGCGACATGGCCAAGCCAACCAGCGACAGCAGCTCCAGTTCAGGTTCCAGCTCCAGCGAGGTGACAGTAGGCAGCACCCATCAGAGGCTTTCAGAGCCTGAAAACGGGCCAGGAACTACAGACTCATCTGGCACCCTCAGGAGAGATCATCATAGCAGGAGCCAATCTCCACCAAATGTGCTGCTGTGCCCAGTAAACTCTGCGTTTTCATCAGAGAGGAGTCGAACTCTTCGGTTCACATGCAGTCTGGGGTCTTCTCCCAGACAAGGTGGGCAGCTGCAGTACAACAATAATCTTCCTCCATCTAACCGCCCTCAACTTCAAAACCTCACCTCTCATGACCTCGCCTTGTCTCCTCAAAGAAACCTCCCTGTTCGGCCTCCCACTCCTGGTCTCTCCCCTCTAACTGTAAACCTCCATCACCCCAACGGCCCTGGTTCTCAGCCTCCCTCCCCTGGGCCTTCCTCCTGTATCAGGGTCAGCCCTGTCTCCCCTCCCTTCCCTCTGTCCCCAAAGCCTCACCCACCCCCCACCCGTAGCCCGTCTGTCATCATAGAGAACAAAATCGCATCTTATCAGACCCCACAAAGTGACCACCCATCTGGTGTTCAGTGTTCTCCATCATCGATTCAGCCTCCCCTTGCCAGCTGCCCACCCACCAACTCAGAAACTCAAACTGTGTCCAACAATGACAGAGAGCGGAGAACATCCTCAGCAGGGTCTGTTCATAGACCTTCACAGGTGTGCACTGCCCCCACAGCCACAGCTAAACCACCAACAGCACAAGGCCGCAGAGGTCGCAAGCCTCCTCCGTACCCCCACCACAGACCCTCTGAGCACACAAAGAAAGTGAAGGAGCCCCGCAAAGCTCCTCCGTACCCTGAGAAAAGGAGGCTGCTCTCGACCACAGTGTGAGACAATGCAGCAGGTGGGGGAGGCTGATCGACCAGAGCCATATTCACAGCACCAGCCACGGGTCTGCTAGAGTGGAGAGTGATTTAAGGCTCGCCAAGTTGAGCTGAGACCAAGTTTCCAAGGTGACAAGATGCAGACGCAACTTGGGGTGAGTATGTTAGGAAGAACAGCTTGGCTCTGCGGACGTCCTTTCCCCTCTCTTCTTCCATACAAATCTCTTGAGTACATAAGCTGAACATACACAGGGCATCATAACATCTGTCTGGGTTACTGCTTTGGTAACAAGAGCCTCTATACAGATGCTTACTTTGCATCCCAGCTCTCAGACTCCCACAGATTGCACAGCTAAAGGGCAAAGGAGAAAGCCTAATTAGATAGAATAATGAAGGAAATTAAAATTATTGCAAGATGTCAAGACAAAGAAAGAACTGATAACATTAGTGCACTTCAACCTGTGCAGCCAGACACATCCACTCACATGTATCAGCATTGTCTGGGTTAGGTAATTGCTGTCAGGAGTCGTGATGGTATAACGAGAACTCAGTACAGCCCAGGCTACTTTGCCACAGCGGTGTGAAAAGCTCACGCGGAGGAGGAGAGGCTGGAGATCTGTGATAGATCTGGAGACAGAGAAGGTCTCATAATATGAGGAACTTAGCAAGGCCAGATAAGACGTGAACAGGACGAGTGGCGCTGAGCTGACTGGGTCACCAGCCCAGCGCCTGGGTGCGCGTCAGGGGAGACAAGGGGCAGCTGGCCATTCGTTGTACCCTTCACCGAGCCCCTGGTGTTACAAAAATCCCATCTCCTTTGCTGCCTCTGGCTTGACCGACCCGGCCACAATCTCCATCTGTTCCCCTCCAAATGTCAGGAGATGCAAAGAGAGAGAAATGGGGGGCAGGTGTGTGTGAAAGGAAATCGAGAGAAACACAAACAGGAATGCCAGCCAGATTGATTACATAAATACAAGCAGTAAATCGATGGCTCATTTATTTAGGTCTTCTGATGTTGTCCTCTCTGAAATGTTTCTGTAGTTTAATTCAATGCCTTCTTGTGGCTCTTTTTTTCATAAAAAAACAGGATAAATAAAGATTGTGGTCTATGTTTTCTCTCATTGTCAACAAATCAAATGAAAAGACCAAATCCAACAGTGTGTTAGTCTGTGTCTCACTACTTTCTGACTTCTCTACCCTGCCTGTGGCCCATTTCTTCCTACTGAAGAAGTATATCTTAAGAAATGGCCCACAAATATGGAGTTCCATTACGGCTCAGTAATTTCATGAACCAGCTGGGTTCTGTCGTTTTTAGTAAATGTTGCTCAAACAGGAAGAAATAGTGCATTTGTTAGGGACTATTTTCTGCTGTGGATTAATATATAGTTTCTCTTGGTGCTCTTGTGAGTATTTACAGCAGCAGGATGGCGTATGTGAGATTGACTCAAAATAATCTACAGTTCATCATAGTGACGGAAACCCACCCAGTGCAGCGGTGTGACTCACTGACACATTTTTTAATAGTTTTTGCTTTATGGCACTGAGGAATAAGCTATATCAGGCTCTGAATACACAGAAATAACCTGTTAGTAGGATCAACTCATTGTTGGTTTGGGTCTTTTCATGTTATTAGTGGACATTGACCCGACCTGTCGCGCGACAACGTGACGTCAAAATGACGCAGATCTCGCTGGCGCGCCAGGATTTTGGTCCGGTGGCACCAGGTCGCACACCACTCTTTTTTTTTCAGCTGAGCGCGACAAACCAGAAACAGGAAAGATGGACGATCTGTATGATCATTCATTGAAGGAACACAGAGATGGTGCCAGAATTCATGGCGCTTAGCTTCAGCTCCTAAATGGCATGTGAGGAGGGAAGCAAGATATATTTGAGTGGTTGCGAGATGATAAACAGAAAATAAAAGATTTTGATCATCTCCAATGTTTTTCATCATAAATTACTTCTTTAGGACTTTAACAAGGAGAAAAAATATCTTTGATTGAATGGGTCACAACTGGTAGACATGCAAGTAGACATTGCTTTGTTTTACAAGCCAAAAGGTTTACTTGACTACAGACAAATTTAAAATAATCACTAAAACTATTACAATTCATCCTGAGGGGAATATGAATGCACCAGATTTCATGTCAATGCATCCATTAGTTGCTGAGACATTTTACATCCGTTGGTCTGCAGGTGGTGCTAGAAGGAAAAGTCCACCAAAGTCAGCAGGATGCATCCTCTGGGACCATAAATGATTGTATAAACTTTCACGGGAATTGATTGAAAAGTTGTTGAGATATTTCCGTCTGCACTAAAGAGCTTGACGGACAGACTGACAATGCCCTCCCCGGAGCCACTTTGATAGCGTGGCAAAAAATGTTTCTGATCTAGGCTCTTTAATGTGCGCCATCGTAATGTAAGCCAGTGCTTGGCAGCATCAAGTGTATATATTTTCCTGACGGTAGTACTGTAGGGGGAAAAGTTGAAAGTAAACATCTCTTCTGGTACCAGATGGTAAACAGTAGTGATGTGTTTAGCGTTTGGATGACAGCATAGAGGCAGCTCTGAGTCACAGAGACAGAGTAAACCGGCGGTATACAAAGATCTATTGTGCCGTGGAGACGTATTACTCAATGGAACAACCATCTTGAGAACAAATGATCAAATGTTTTCTCTACAAGGCCACAAAACTGGAAATCAGAGCCCGAAACAGTTACATCTTTGCTATAAGATGCTTTAATTATAAGTAGGAAACTGTGGGAGTTTCTTGGCACAGCTTGTCGTGATCTTGTTGAAACTGCTAAAGAGCTACTACAATAGATTTCCTCTACATGAAATCCAGGTGGTTTATAGTTACAGTCATGGTTAGATTTTACGTTAAAGCACTGGTAAAATCCGTGCTTTCAGTATAAACGCGTAGTTGTTACATCACAGCATTCAAACTAACTGACGCTAATTTGAGGACAATCATGATTACTGATTTTCTCTTGGCTTAACATAAGATGAATAAATCCCTCCTGACTCTATATCTCTGTAAGCCCACAAAGATCAACATACATTCCCATATGTGCCTCTGGATTTAGTAGATCCTCCCTGCAAAGCCCCTCTCCCCCTGAAATTAAGAAGAAACAATGGAAGCTCTTTATCTCATGGAAACATTTATCCGAGGACAATATATGTTAATTGAGTACGCTTACAGAATAAATTTTGAAGCAAATTTTTCATAAAGCTTATTCCAATATAAAGTTTCACATCAAGTTTCATTTGTATGCTGAAAAACTGGCTGATTTCTATTGCGTGTTCAAATTAGGAATACATTAGTGCTGGTACTAAAATTACTGTTATTTTAGACAGAAATGACGGCGGCATGTTCACTCTGGCCCGGCTCTGACACGGCTCAGAATATTTAATGCCACTATGCTGGCACTCAAATTCCTCCTCTCTTTTCATGTTTACCCTTTAACGAGGATGTGGGACGTTCAATCAGATCATGACTGACATAACAAGACAAAAACATTGAGTTATCCCCAGAACAGTGACAACATGTCTTTATTGACATCACATTTCATCATGAATCAGAACAATCAAGGAGTAGAAAAAAGAAAACATGTATAAAATAAGTAACATCGTGTGTGGTTTTTCTATTCTGAAACAGCATCTGAACGTTTCCTGTTGTGACCCCGGAGGGAGTCTTGACGGACACAAGAGACACAAACTGAGCATTTCCTCAACTCCGGAGGATCACCGCTAGACAGTGATGAGAGGATCCGAACTCAGACCAAACAAGGTACGAATCTCAGACCTCAGAATCAAATCAGCAAAATCCTCAAATCTGAAATCAATCCCCAGAACTCATCTCGTGTGGATCCAAGAGGGTTGGATCGATGTAAGGAAGATAAAGGCAATCCTACTCGCTACATAAGGGTGCAGAGAGAGGGGGGGGGGGCTGTAATCATGGTGATGTACTTCTGAAACCTGCACAATATCCTCGCTGATCCACACTTGTGGCACTGAAGGATGAAAGCAAAAGGTTCTCAAAGGGCTCAGGAATATATGACGGCATCACTTTGCCAGATATACTCATCCAAATGTCTGAGCATGCCTTGTGTTTGAGTATTTCTGGGTTAAAACTCAAACAATGTAACTGTGAAGTCATTGAAAAATCATGAAATTAGAAACATGTATCTTCTGCTGCATCATCGGCTGCAGGTGTCTAATTAAAATTATCACGATTAAGGTAATTTCAAATAAAATAACCATTTATTATTTATTACTTGTCATATTCTCTCAACTTGGGTTTTTTTTTTTAATGAATTCATGTTGACGCTGTTTGAGGTTTATCCAAAAATGCAAAAACGCAGTGTGATCTTCAGTGTATACTGTATTTCTATCTCTTAATATCATGTTATGAAGCTGCTATCTGTTTTCTGTATCCCTTCTGGCCAAAAACACAAACATAAAAAAGAAAAAGGCTTTCGCAAGTGGTACTAATTGGTGATTTATGGGATAAGATGTGTGCTTACAGTTATGTAGAACAGACAGAGATTGTGCAAAATGTAATAGTTTCTGTGTGTGCGATGACGTTATTCGGGATTATTCACTTTCCCCTCAGGATTACACAAGATGGATAAATCCCTCCCTACTCTAAATATACTATCTATACTTTACAAACCCCCCCGGACAGCAATCCTCTATACATTCACATACGTCCCCAGTGGATCAGGAGAGATTTGCTCTCTGTAAATCTTATACCCTCAGAAACTACTATGGAAGCACTTTATCTTATGGCAGAATTGAAACTACAACGTTATGTAGTAAGAAATATGAATACTCAACTGATTCCTGTGTTTATTTTTATCCAAAGTAGCAGATAAATCCATTGTAAAAACATACCAGGTTATTCCTGTATTGACACACAAATCGCCTCAAAAGGCTACATCACTATCATCCCACTTCATTTTTTGGTTGCCACTCAGGAAGAACTCTCCCAAATCCATCCTTCATTGACTACTGAGCTGAATCACAGAGGCCTGACTCAGAGCTCCCCAAGGTGCTCTGATTGGTCAAAACAAGACCAAAAGCCAAGTCAGACTTCTGGCCAATTACAGCTCGTCGTGTCGCGTCCGTCCGATGAGGGTCAGCTTGGAGAGTTGAGCGCTGAACTTTCCATCTGTGTGGGTCACTGGAGGTCACGGAAGAGACACGGACAATATTAAAACAAGGGCAAACATTTATGCAAAGCACCAGAAACCAGCCAGTGCTGTCTAACTGCAGAGCTGCAGAGCCAGCACTTTGAGACCTGCGGGTCCAGTCCAACCTGCACTGTCTGCTGGCAAGGAAAGTAAAAGCAGCAGGAGATCAGTCCTGCAGATGTAGATGTGCTCCATCTACAGGTACAGGAAGTAAGAGCTGATGCTATCTTATATTAGAGTCACCTGCAAGCAATGAGTGTTAAAACTGCAGTTTCATTTCCTCTTTGTACTGCGGCTGCTGCTGGTAGTATATGTGGTGCTTGTGGGTTTTTTTTTTTATTTGACATATAAAACCTTAAAAAATGTAATAGTTTTGTTCACTAGAGCATATTTTCTGCTGAATAAGGAAGACCTTAGTGTTCATCCTGCTCATACTGTATCTGCCATCCTCCACATTCCTGGGCAGAAAAGGGCTGCAAAGTACATTAGGTTGACTTACTTTTGACTTTAGTGCTGAATATTGAACTCGGATGACCATTTATTCTGTTAATATCAACACTTCAAGTTCACCCGTCTGATATTCATGGGTCTGAAAGCGTTAAGTTCACAAAACCACACATTTATAAAGAAAGCTAAATACAACCTTGCTGCCTATTTGTCTCAGTGGCCACTTATGGAGGCTTTAGAAAGCATTCTCCCCATACAGCTCTATTATAAAAGAGACGTCTGTAAAACTGTCGACAGAACACGTCGAAATGCAAACAGAGTCAGCTAATACTCTGTACTCTCCTAATTACTCTGTATTACGAATTTTAAACCAGGAAGGTTTTTATATTTGGAACACTTTTCCTTTTTAAATCTGTTAGCCATCAACGAAACGTAAAGCCACACACACACACACACACACACACACACACACACACACACACACGCGGCTATCAGCAGCTAGAACAATCTGCAGTGGTCACATTCATTGCCGGCAGATGGCACAAACAATACAATCATGAAAACTATCACTTGGCCTCTATGTGGAGACGTCTGTAGGCCTAAACTGCAGTTACTCTTCTTCCCTATAGGCGGTGCAGGTTGGCATGTGTACAACTGGTCTCATACTGACTGAACAGCACCCCCTTGTGGAAAATCCGCAGCGTGCTTTTACGTTTGTTACAAAAAAATGTACGAGCAATTTACCCACTGTGCTACTTTTAAGTAGTAGTTTTTCTCTAGAAATCATGCATGGAAGTGTTTTCCAGAGGTCTCACAGAGATAGGATTATCCTCAAGTCTGTGATAGTTAGCAGGGTTTGTGAGTCTATAAGCCTCCGTTCTACTGTAGCGTCTAATCTGCTGAAAATGGCAGTTACAGTAAAGGCGCTATGACTCTTTCAAAATCTTGCTAATCACAGTCTGGAACAGAAGCCACGGTGGGGATTTGTGCAGAAACTGAATAACAACAAATAATGCTACAGGGACAAATGGCAACCCACTCACAGCTGGAGCATATGCTTTAGAGGGAAATCAGCAGGGAACTCACAACGTGATGGAGGGGAGGGAGGGAAGGAGGGAGGGAGGGAAGGAGAGATTGACGTGACAAGCAGAGGGAGTTGATTGAACACTTGGAAATTCAATCAATTTCTCACCTGTTGAGTCTCCTACGGTAAATTCCTGCGGCTTCAAAGGCACGTCGCCCTGTCCTGCCGTCGCCGCCTGCGACTGGAGACACATACAGCAGCAGTGATGAAGAGGAGGAGGAGGAGAGGAGGAGGAGGAAAGGAAGGAAGGGAAGACGAGAAAAAGAAAAAATAAACAAAAACAGGATGAGAGGCGGTGCAGGAGACAGCAGTTTTTTATTTTTTTTGCAACAGACTAGCCGGGAAAGTAGGAGGATATGACGACAAGGTCAAGGAGATGCTGTGCGGGGGTGGCAGGTGTGTGTGTGTGTGTTTGTGTGTGTGAGGATGTTTTTTTTTGTCCCGTCATTTAGTGAGGTTATTATCTTGTGTGTTTGTCTTCTTCTTGCAGGGCACGGAGCCAGAGCAGGAGGAGGAAACATGTGCTCTCACTAATGACAGAGTGTCAGGACTGTCCTTGCTGGGGGAAGGAGGCGTGTCAAGGTGTGCTTCACTTCACCGGCGACCACCATCAGACACGGCAGACCTCCGGCTAAGTGACTGAGCTCAGAAAGAGTCCAGACATTAACCTTCCAGCAGACATTATGTGCAAAAGACACGAGTTTGGCTTCCAGGAGAAATAAAGTTGTTGTTTTTTTTTTTGAGTGTCTCTGCCTGTGTTCGTTTGTCCAAGGTGGTACTAGCTGCCATGTAGCTCCAGTCATCATGAGAGGAGAATCTAAAAATTGTACAGGGACACGTGGAGCACATGAAAGGTTTCCATGGATACATGAGTGCAGAAAGCGGGTTTTATTCAATTCCACTCAGGAGTGGATGGCAGGTACATTCAGGTGATGTTAGATGATATTTAATCTTACATAGCCAGACCTCAAGTTAACAGACGCCTGAAGAAAATCTTATTTAAATAATCTGGGAAACCAAAAACTCTGGTTGATTTCTGGGGGTAACAATGAATTGTTCATAGCTTAACTTTATTGATTCAAAGTAAGTTAAATTTAGAAATTAAACAATTAACCATTTAGTTGAAAATGTCTAGTTTGAATCTGGTTCCAGTTTCACATATCTGAGGATCTTTTATCTGCTTCATATCATCATAAATAGAATATCTTTAGTGTTTGGACTGTAGCACAGACAAAACAAGCTATTTGAGTCATTGATTCATTGAAAAAATAATCAATAGATGAATCGATAATAAAGAATAATTGTTAGTTGTGGCAGTACTGAAATTCCTCAAGTTCTCTGAGAATGACTTTTGGTGACACCTAATCCTGTTCGTGGAATTTAAGACTTATATAAGTGTAGAGAAATGTTTCATACATTTCATATACATATAAATACGCAGGAAAGAGGTCGACTATTGATCATTAATTGTGTCCTTACATGTGACACCCATTAGTCTTTCTCTAGTTTGTCTCAGAAGACAAGCTCAAAGTGCAGATGACAGCTGATTCTACGCAGTCAAGAAAAGCAAAGTTTAAAAACTGAATGTCAGAAAACTCCTTAATCTCAACCGTGAGCCTGATAAATCTATCGCTGTATTGGAGCTTACATGGATGGTTTATTATTTGCAGGCTACGCAAAACTGTGCGTTGCCTTGATTGTCTAACAAATGTGCAGACGATGTAACTTCTGTGCTTAGGAACGAGAAGCTTTGATCTCAGCACTGACAGGGTGAACGACACTGCGACGTAACATCGAAGAAAAAGCTCTGTTCAAACCAACATCTTTGTTAGGCAGTAAAGTGCTGCAAGCTTTTTGCTGTCCAACATGAGCTCCACTCCAGCTAATGATCCAGCAGGGGGAAGGCCGAGGAGCTAAAACTGAAGGGGTTGTCATGTGTTGCACCTGCAGTATTATAATTACATTCTGCAGGATGTGGTGCAATTCAGCTTCCAACAAATTACAGCACTGAGGACTAGGGATCTGCAGGTCATTATTTAAGATAAACTATGTAGTGTGTGGGAGGACCTAGACAGTAATTTTAAGTCTGACTCAGCATACATTTCACTTCCTTTCGTTATAAAAAGAGGCAAAGCAAAGAGAAATGTAAAACAACAGAGCTCCTTCTCTAACTGACAATGTCACACACACTTTAAGTTGTTACCTGATTGTATGCGGTTACCTTAATTTATTCAATTCATTACAATCAAGCTGCAGTTGAAAGAGATCAGAGATCAATTAGTCAGACCAAGTAGTCCCTGTACGACCAACAATATAAAAACAAACAGCTGAGGGAATTGTGTTTCTTTTATACTTACATATGCATTGGCGTATTCAATTTTGGTTCCCTTCATTTCAGCTTTGAACTGAGTGAAAAACAGGTAGGACTTCCCCTGAGGCCTGGCAGAAATGAAAAGGAAATATGTGTTAACCAACATAAAGTCATTTGCATACATCGATTTGCTTATTAAGTCAATGTCGGACATGAATATATTTAAACCACTGAGGTTGGAAACTCTGTTCTATTGTTCTTCTCCGTCTGTCTACTGGGACTGTCACGATTAACTAAAATAAAAAAATGACTCATTGGACAGACGGAGCAGATTCTCACTGAAGACACACTGAACATCAGGGTCACTGAGCTGAAGGAGAGACTGCTGTGTGTGTGTGTGTGTGTGTGTGTGTGTGTGTGTGTCACCTCCACACAGAGCAGGAAAACAGTCGGTCGTCATCACTCAGACCCACACTCATCAGCCATTGCTGTTTGGCACAGAAACAGAAGAATATTTATGCATAAAACTGTCTGTAGTAACAAATCAATGCCATGATGCTGGAGAGGAAGAAGACAGACACTCACCTCATTGGTTCCCCCTTGTGAAGCATAGGTGAACGAGCATTCATACTCCTTCTGCAATAAGACAGGGTAACACAGTGCTGGTTACTGCACAGTTAAATCTGCACATTATTTCCACTATAATTCCTTTAACAAGCTATTAATAAACAGCGACTGTTATTATTTCAGTCAGAAATGTCTTAAATCGGCATTAGGAGAGTGTGTTAGTGTTGATTTCGTTGTTTGAATAAATTCACACTTTGTCATTTATCAAGTGAACATATGAAAACATTTTTGCAGCTTCACAAAGGGCAAAGATTAACTTGCTTTTCAGTTTAATTAGTAACTGACTACATATAAACAGTTTAGTTTCATATATGAAGACCAGTTGAATGGAGAGCATCAGTTTGATTACTTTATATATGATTATTCAATCACAACAATGGTCTCTTGTCTGACCACAGCACAGCTCGACCCTGAGCCCTGAGCCACCATCAGTGACACCTGTGGGTTTCCTGCTGTCATGTGACGTCAGCTGTGCAGTAAACCTACAGTGATCAATATATATAAGGCAATATTGAGCCTCTATTTTAATTATTGATCAGCGTTTACATAAATACATACAGATAAATATTAGTGCATAAAAAAAAACCAAAACAACAATCTAGTGTTAGTGTTAATGTGCAGACGTCATACTGAACAGTCACTGAAGCTGTCAGCCAATCAATGGAGCCGTTGTGTCACTCCGGCAGCGACGTGGCAGCCTCTCACGGGCTGTGTCGTCATCGAGCTGCGACTACAGCCGAGCGGCGGAATGTAGTTTTTCCGCTTTACTTTATAATAAAAACATCGAATAAAACTAATGTGACTCACTTTGACGAGAGACACACGCGTCTTACACGCGCACTACACATTCCCAATGTGTAATCAGAGTATCAACTGCTGATCAATCGATAGAACTGGATCGATATCCCGGGTTAGGGTCTATAACGCGAGCTAACAGTGTGAAACAGACTAATGGATGCAGTCACTTACAATCCGCTCGGTGAACGTGTGCACAACTCCTCCCGGTTTAACGTTGAACTCCACCGTCCGCGTGGACTCAGGAGCGGCGTCCACAAACACAAACAACAACAACAACAACAACAAATGAGCAGCGTGGAAGTTGTTCTGGGTCTCCATCTCTTCCTGCTGCTGGGACGTGTGTGTGTGTGTGTGTGTGTGCCAAGGGTTACCAGGTCTCCCGTCGACTGCGGGTGTCGTCACATCGTGCGTCACGCAGCAAAGCAAGGAAAAGAAAATAAATATAAGAAAACATTTTTTATTTATTTTATTTTTATTTATTTTTATTTATTTAAAAGAAAAAAAGACAAATATCTCGACTACCAGATAATATCAATGACACTATTGATTGATGAGACTTTAACGGTACCGTCCGTGTCCACCTGATGTCGCCCTCCGTTAAAACTCTACAGGTATTTTTAAAAGCTCTCAACAAGGCGAGAGTGGGATTATCATCATTGAATAACTCAGTTTGGATTTGTATGAGACCATCAAAAGTATAATCACAGTTCATTTAGACACTAAAGCTCATAGCTACTGATCAATCTCCATGGCAACAGAGCAAACTCCATCCACTGACAATGACCATGTGGAGAAGAAAAGCTAGTGTGTGGACCTTGGGACTGTGCTAAATACATTTAAAATATACATACAAACCCATAATAGCAACACAAATTATACTTAACACCATCTGACATTAAAACTGTTGTTTAGACTAACACTTAACAGTAAAACAATATTATTACTGCACAGTGAGTACATATATATATATAGGTATATATACAGGCATGTACAGTGAGATGATTTGGTATATTTGGTAATACTACTATAATTTGGTGAAAGATATTTAATTGAATTTCAGCGGATTTATCTGAACGTGTTATAGTTTATTAATGGTTCAACAACTAAGAGTAAAACATCTTTTTCACTGTTTTTAAAGCACTTTTATTCTGCACTTTACACTAGGCTGTTTTTGTTTTTTTATTTGTATCCTTTGAGCTGTGAATACGTGTGCCTCTTGCATTCAGGTCTGCTGCACAATACAGCACTAATAATTGTGAGTATGAGTGTCATCCTCTTGTGTCTACACAATGTCTACAAAAACTAGACAGCAAGCCTGCTAACCAACATGAAATGTGTTTGCCCAGTCTCAACAACGAATACTACATGTGTACATTCCTCTCTTTTTCACAGTGGGAGAACATTTTTTTTACAGGAGACAAAAAAAACCAAAACAGTCTGCATGTGTGTGTGTGTTTTTACATGTACGTCTCTGGAGCCATGAGGCGTGACAGCTGAACATGTGTTTGTAACCAGAGGAGACACCTTAACATTGTCTGACACTCATGTGTAAAAACCCATAAAACAATACGAGCATTTAGAACCAAATTCAGACCCAAAATAACTGGAGGGCTTCAGTTGAATAACCTGTCCGCCTCCTCCATGCTTCTCCTCACCCTCCACCCCTACTTCCCTGTTTGCAGCCTCATCCGGCCCTGTCCAATCCCACTTCCCAGCCCAAAAATAATACAATAACAGGATTAATAACAGCATGTATGCACTCAGACAGCCTGTTGAGTGTTTTAGTATTTACACAGCAGCTCCGGGAGGAAAAGTACAGGGGTCATTAGGCACACATTCTTCTATTTCAAACAGGCAGAGCTGTTAAATCTGTAATGATGTGTAAATGGTCAGACTCGGGGAGTCCTTGTCCTGCCCAGGTAAACATTGTTTCCCTTTTCAGGATGTCAGACACTCGGCTGTGTAATACTAGGAGGAGAGAAAAATATCCAGTCATTTCCACTGTGCTCACACAAACAGCTTCTCCTTCGCTATAAACAAACAGTTCTCTATAAAAGGTAAATACAGACCATATATCCAGACAGAGAAACAGAGCGTTAGTACAGAGTTGGCGTCAAGTTATTTCACTAATGATGCTCCAGACTGTACGCACACAGTAGGGAGGCTTTAAAATCAACACTTCAGTATGTCAGTGGTTGTTCATGTGTAGATATATAAATACATCAGAGTTAATTCAACACGTTTTTTTGTTTTGAACAGCTGTTACGGAGCTGAATCAGCTCTGTTGATGGAAAAATAACTTTCCAATCTGTTCCTGTCAACTCGAAATACAAATCAGATGTAAACTAAACTGTGGAGAACTGCCTGGTTAGTCACGGCTGATGAATGTATTATTATCTGTGCTGTCGTGGTGCTGATGTGTGAGCTCATAATCACCTAAAAGTGTTAACCAAATTGTGAAGGATGTTGATTCATATGAAGACTGACATAGTGTTGATTATTACACTGTCAGAGTTAGATTAATCTCGAGTCCCACAGACTCTTCAGCAGGTCTGACACAATGAACTCACACTATGTGAACACGCTCAAACCCACAGGAGTTTATTGTGAGTTATGGTTCACGAGCTTTACCAATGTGTGACATACAGACAGTGCAGCTATAAAATAAACCTGATTTGAATGTTTAATTTAAAGCTGCACTATCGGAGATTTTAAGAGCAAGTTTAGCCTCTTTCAGCTCATTGGTTTTGGTTTTCTGTCAAACTCCGCCTTGATTAGCATCGTTAATCTTCGGTTTATAGCTTCACCTGAGGCCTCATGTGGATAAAAAAACCCACACAATTTGATTTGATTTCAGCTCTAATATAAGTGTTATATCACTTCAGTGAAGTACAGAATAACTGCTGAACAACAGAATAAAGTTTCATCTATCTCTGAGTCTATCCTTAAATAAATCAAATCAAATCTAAGGGGAACATCAGAAGCACAAAGGTCGAAGGGGTCATTATTGACAGTTTGTGTCTGTACAAGGAGCAAACTGACTGCCATCAAGTGTCACTGCAGTCTCGCCTGTTGGCTCTGACACTTGTTGACTGGGAGTCTCAGACAGTCAGGGCTCTGGGCACAGCCTCACAGACAGTAAGCCCGTGATAAGGATGGTTTCTGTGGTGCTGCTGATGTCAGCGGTTTGCATTTAGGTTTGCCTGGCCGTCTGTGGATCTGTGGAATTTCTCTCCTCCTCGCCATCTCCAGCGGGGGCAGGCAGGGGCGACCGGCACCTCTGTCCATCGTGCACGCCCTGCAGGCTTAGCACATCGGCCTGCCCTGAGCAAACAGCACCTGGAGCGGTGGAGGAGGCTCTGCCGTGACCCTCCGTCACACTTAGATTCACATCAGTGAAACACCTCGAGGGCTCTCTGACCAAAGATGGAGTGGGCTCGACAGAGAAGGCCGTGTTTGGATAAGAGGTTGAGTGAAACGGGTTCAAGCCCAGTGCGATGTGGGTATAGGTGGTATATTTTGTTTTTAACAGATGTTGTTACTGGTTACTTTTCAGATTCACATTTTTACCCACAAAAAACGTGAAAAAAAAAATGCAAGATTTAACCAGTGATTTCCAAGTTTTCCTCACAAAAAAGCAGTCTCTAGTTGGGATCCTTGTCATGTTTCAGATGTCTATGAGTTGTTAGCAGCAAAGAGGGAATTGAGTGAAAGGAGTCAAATTATCTAATATTTCACAAAACAGTGAAGATTAGAGAAAAGTCAAAATAATTAATACATTTCTTCCCCCAGAGCTTTACTTTTTTCTTTCCATTAATCATCTCACAACCCCTCTGATTGACCTTGTGACCCTTTGGAGGGGCCCGATCCATAGGTTGGGAACCACTGAACTAACCACAAACTGTATATGAAGTAGATAAAATTAGCTCTACCTCAACAGTAAAATTACACTGTATTAATCATTTTATAATTTTATATATGATAATATATCAGTCATATAGAATATTTCACACTTTTACTTTCATATTTCAAGTACATTTCATTGATTTGCTGGTTTGTTCCTTCTGGGCTACTGTGGAAACATGGCGGGTCAAAATGGCAGACTCCATGGAAGGCAACCTGCAGTGTCTGTAGATATAAACAAGCTCATTCTGAGGTAACAGAAACATAACAATTCCTTTATTCAGTATACACTAATGAAAACATACCTATGAATATTATATTCTGACAATAGATCCTCCTAAATGTTACACACTGGACCTTCAAGTAAAGGATCTGAACATATACTTCACCACTGTATCTGTGTGTTTGAGTAGCAGACTACACTAATGTTGACGCAGTGTGAACATCCCAACAGTCTGCTGGTTCTCTGGGCGCCTTCATAACTTTCAAAGTGTAGAATAACAGATGGAGGTCTTCATTTGAGAGACACACAGCAACCTTTTGAAAACAGACTCTTACAATTACCATGAAGTCTAGTACAGAAACAGATGCTGTACAGAGTAGAGAGAATATTCCCTGACCTCAGCTCCCACCTGCCTGCATTTTCATCTCATTAACATCCTGAAACTATTTCTTTCTTTCATCAAGGCATGAAAGAAGGAAAGAAGAAAATCTTCCACAAATTTACTCTGTTGAATTTATTAAAATAATATGACTATCTTGAGCTATTGTGAGAATTGTGGTACTGTAACAAATTAGAGTTTGTACAGTCAAAAACCTAAAAACCTTTTACCTTCACGCTCTGTATTTAACATTACAGGACTCTGAAGCAATATATTTGTACTGGACTGCAAAGAGAACTGCTCAAATACAGCTAAATGATCGAATTGTGTGGTTTTTTATAAATAGCTGTGGTGATTATTTATACATCTCCACATATAGCACCAGTCAGACGGTGTCCCTAATAAATCCGTGACAAAGTGTAAATAGAGCGAGACATTCCCAGACACCTCACATGGAGTTATTTCCAGGTGAATAAATGTTTTTCATCTACTGTAACACAACATGACAAACACACAACAACAGGCTTGTGGCGTTTCCATTCGACATAAACGTGCTAAGTGGAATCATTTCAGGTATTTCTCTGAGGTGTGTTATTCCAAAAGCTTTTAAGAAATGTACCACTCCCCACAGCAATGGCCCTCAGCCTGTGTTAACTGCTGTTCATGGTAAATGGGCAGTGGAAGACTTCATGTTGTTAAATATTTGCTCAAATTATCCCATCAGTAGTGATTATTTAGATCTTTTTTTTTTTTTTTTCAAAATAAGGCATTCATTGGTATGTTATTTTTTTCCAACCAAACTCAAATAAAATGTATTATAAAACACGATAAAAAAAACTTTCAAACAATCAACTCTTTCATTAGATTGTAAAAGAACAGACTATACATTTGTACTCGGGTAATAGACACCAAAATGCACAAAATCATACATGGCATGCTGCTTAAAAGGCAAGCATGAGAGTATTTGTTATATTGTAACAGCACTTATTAATCCTTCACTCCAGTACATATGTGGTCAATATCAGACAGAGGATCTTTTCTCTCAAAATACTAATACATTTCAACAAAGAGGAACTGTTTTCTTTAAAATGAGCACCAATTCAGTCATACAGTATGAATTAATTCCCACAGCTTCCTTAAGAATGACTTGTTTTCTTTATATTTTTGAATCACGCTCTCCTCTTGCATCGCTAAAAACAACATAACTTAACATCTAACCAGCCTGACTGTAGCTACAATATATCATAAGACATAAATACAAACAGATTTATTTATATAGTAGCAAATATTTAAATGTAAATCAGCTGCACATCGGAGTAGCAACTGTACATTAAGAGCAACAAGAGAATACCTGTAGGGAAACTTGAGTCAGGTCAGCTTCTGTGAAACAAAGAACAGACGTCAGGGATGAGCTCTTCTTTTTTACTTCTGATCTCAGCTGTGAAGACTGAGAACACCGTAAGACTGACTTACACAGTGATCCTGCAGTTTCTTGCCTGGACGTAGCTTCCTGTGTACCTGATGTCGCAGAGCACCTCATTGTTGGAGAAATCTGACTCCTGAACTAGCTGAGAGGGGTTCACTGTCACCTGAGCAACATTAGAAACAGCAATGTGAATATATCCAGTTAGATGCTGTGAATTCTGTTCAAGTTAATTATTATTCATCAGGTTCTATTCATAAAGCAGTTCTACCACTCCCACCTTGAGTATGTAGTTTCCAGGTGGTACATCAGTGATGTCGATCCACTGGCAGTCGATGTTGGCATGATATGTATCGTAGCAACCAGGACTGAGCCCCTGAGAAAAAACCAAACTTATATTACTTCCAAATATATGTCAGTGATATAAAAAAATACAGTAATGACTCGTCGTCTAATCAAATATTAGAAAATAAAATGACCAAACAAATATAAATGAACCGATAAATTAATAAAATACTGGATGGATCAATGGAAAAAGACCAAGAAGACCAACCTGTGTGTGAACTGTGCAGGCAAAGCGTCGTCGTATTCCCGGGTCACAGGACGTGTCCTCCAGACAGAAACTGGCCTTGTGTCCCTCTGCGACCTTCTGTCCAGTGGAGACGTCCAGCAAGTCATAGTTACTAAAGGCCTCCATACTGTGGTAATGCCTGGAGACACACAGACAATGTGTTATGGAAATCTTTATTTCTAGTGTGTTGGTCAGCTCATGTTGACAGTATAGTGGCCAAAATAGGAACAGTGCATGCATATCATTTTCATGTCTAAAATATTGTTTGATCAACAGCACCAAAAGAGGAACAAACTGTAAGTGGCACAAAATAGAGCTCTTAGATGCTCTTTGATGGGAGGTTTGGACTCAAGTCACATGACAGAAGTTTCATGACCTTAGACTCGACTTTACAAAATAAAAAAAGACTTGCAACTCGACTTGAACACCAATGAATTGTGACTTCACTTGGACTTCCCTCAAGCCCAAAGAAGAAGAAAAGTATGTTGACACGAATCAAATCCTTTCCTAAAACGTTAACATTCATTCACTTTGTTTGAACCCATTCGGCAGCATCCAATCAAACTACAGTAGAAAACCAAGAAGAATTAAAGGACTCGTGTGTAGGATTCAGTGAAGTTTCATATTGCAACCAACTGAACACCGCTGGCGTCTGTATTTGGCGGGAATGAGAATGAGTTGTGAAGTGTGTAGGAGAAACTACAGTGACTGTGAAACTAAAAAAAACATTCACTACTCACAAGGCAACGAAAACACAACGGCTCCAATATTCAGGTGTTTAAACACTAATGAAAACATAAAGTATGAATATTATATTCCATTTCTGCCAGTAGAGCCTCCTAAATGTTTAATGGCTTTATAAATAAATAGAAGCCGTGTGTGTTTTATGAGACTAGTAAAATAATAAAAACAACATAAACTGAGGAATAATTTTGAATGACACTATCTCTGAGTCTGGACTGGGTGGTGTGTTTGTATAACAACATTGAACTCACTGGTGACAGCTGTGCCATTCCCACTCATGTCTGGGCTTCACTGGGAGGAAGTCTGCTGTTCCTTGGTTCTTCACTCGCTGTGGGAACCGCAGCAGGACTCTGTAGTCAAGGTCCCTCACACTCGGATGATACGCAGACCTGAAGGAAAAGGGAAACAGGAAGGGAACGAGCCAAGTTTACCTCAAGTGTACAGCTGTTGATTGACTCATAAGGCCTTTTTCTTACAACACATTATCCTCCACAAACACCGCACTGCACCTTCTTCTCCTCCCCAACCAGGTTACATGACGGTGGTTTACAGTTTGAAGCGGCAGAGGTGGTTTCTGGTCTTGCCTTGGTAGTTTTTTTACATTCACCTCAGGAATCCCTTGCCTTTCATTTCAGAGCCTCTTTTACTTGGCAAAGTTGCTGCTCAGATCAGAGGAGAGAATCTCGGGCGGTTGCCAGGTTTGTGTCCAGCCGCTCTGTCACTCAGCTGTAGCTTCCAAATGGGACTGAGGCCAGCACACATCCTAATGTGGCACCCTCAAAGGAATCCTAACTGATCATTATTTATTTATTTATATGAGCACACCCTCATTGATATTTGTATCTACAGGTATAAAATGTTATGACACAGTAGAGAGCACAACTAAATGTCAGTCAAGGACAAATAGCGACACAAGAATAACTAAAAGGTTTACATAGACTTACACTAAATCTACTTATATTTTCACTAATTATTAGAATTAATTCTTTGCTTTTGAGTTGATTAATGTGTGGTGAAAATAATTTTCACCTAGAAAGACAGTTCTCTTCAGCAGCACAGCGAAGTGCGTACATCTGCACCCTCTGGATGTAAGAGGCAGCTTGGATGTAATAAGGGTCAGGAACCAAGTCTGGGAGACCTGCAGAAAGAAAAATAATGAATGTAAATACATGCATGGACTCAGCCAGAAATGCAGGGGAATTAATTTTTCCTCCATTTTTGAAGTAGCAGCTTCAAACTGTTTTTGGGTCATTACTCTCAAAGAGGTGGCAGCTTTTCATTTATATTCTGTGAGGCAGAAAACAACACAGAAATGTATGTGATGATTTAAATATGCAGGCAGAAATCCTTCTGAATATCTCACCTGTATATATAAGTGAAGAAATCTTTCTGTATCTACTGATTTGATATAACAAATGACTAAATTAATTTTACTTTTTAAAGAACATTTGCTATCAACGACCTAAATCAAGGGGATTATTGAATGGAAAACTTTGAGTGGCCATTAACTGCTCGGCTATAAATCCACCATTTATTTTTATTTTGCTCAGAGGCTCTCATACTGGAGACATTAGTATTGTCATTAAGGGGGCATTAACTCTCAGTCTCATTAAAAATGCATTAAAATTTGCATTAGAAAAAAGGGGATTTAAATTTTGAAGGTGAAAAATGATCCTGGGGCATCTGTGCCTGAGCTTTGCTCTACTTATGGTTCCCCGAGAATGAGCTATAATTGATAGAGCTTGTTGATTTAGACTTTGATTTTAGGGTGCATATATATATATATATATCATATATATGTTTTATTGCGTTCAAACTGTATGTTTTTTTATGCACTTGGGTTATAATGTCTCCTGTCCGCCTCACCATTGTGGAAGAACCTGGTGCCATATCCCGGTCCAGGTGCCGGGCGCACGGTGATCCTGTTTCTGCGGTCTGGTGGGTAAACATCGTAGAAAACTGAGTTTCTGTGATGAATACTGTGCGGATCTCGTGGGTCACTCGTGTCCGTAGTCCGGGTTGAGTCGGGCCTTGGACGAGGAAAGTGTATTTCTACAGAGTTACTGGAAAGCGCTGTGGGAGAAACATTTGACTCCGGTGTGATTCTGGTCAGTGAGTGCGCTCTTTGCGCACTGCGAGCGTCTCCTAAACTGGTTTGCTGTGGGACCCGACGTGTATTCCCACTATCCTCAGCCATCGTGGCCCATCCGCCTGTGACAGTTGACTCCGTGCTCTCAGATCTTGTCGTGCCGCCACGACTGTGCGTAAAGTCGGGTGATCTTACCGGTGAGGCAGTGGCCCGTTGTGCGCCAGCGTCATCTCCAGGTGTACTCCGACCTCCTCTCGGGACTCCGCTGCCGGAGAACTCCTGAATGGTGGTTAAAGCTGGAGCACTGTCGTTAGACGGTGCCTGCTGTGAACGGTATCCCACAGCCACAACTTCTCCTGTGGTTGCGATGCGCGGTGGGGACTGGCTGAGTGTCCCGGGTCGTCCCGAGGCGAGTAAATACGGACCTGCATCCGCACCAAGAATCGACGCGTCCATTTGGCTGACCTCGTTCTGTTGAGAGTAACCCCCGGTTGCGTCCTCGGGGAGTCCAGATCTGGTTCTGGTGGATCTGCTGAGCGCAACAGGAGGGTGAAGTCGGTTAAAACTGTTTTTAGTTGTCAATAAAAGCTGAGTTCGCCTTCTGACCTGCGCAGGTGAGCGATATTGAGTCCCCGTGCTCAATAAACTGTACACCTGACCGTTATTCTCCCACTGAATCCGTTGTCTCCAAGGTCCGGCACGTGTGCGTAAATGGTGCTGACCGGTACCCAAACACACTAGAACATCTAGTAGAAAAATTAATACAAGCACAAACTTTTCCATGGCTCAAAGCAATGGTGTCTCTATCCGAAGAGCTCCAACACTGAGACATTAACGACGAACATTTGACACGGGTGATGGGGTGGTGTTTTGAATACACTCGACTCCGTCACGCAGTTGCGCACAGCATCACCGCAGAGAGAGAGAGAGAGAGAGAGAGAGAGAACACACACACACACACACACACACACACACACACACACACACACACACAGAGAGAGTTTGGGTTGAGACGTCTTCAAATATTTGTAATGTGAGTTACTCTCAGAAAAAATACTTTAATCCGCCCATGCACAACAAGCAGCTGGACTTATGTCTCAGTTCAAACATTTCAAATATGGGCTTCATGTTTGTTCAGCATGCGCAAGAAGCCAGTTATTAACTAACATAACATTGGGCTTATTCAATACAAAGATTTCCAAAAAATACTATTTCACATGAAACTCCGTGCGCCATGACTCTCATATCTCTGACTCCATTTGAAACGCAGTGAGAGTATTCAACCTGTTGAATCCCCACACTCAGGATGAGTCGACCTCTTCACCACATGATGGCGGTGGACCCTCACTGAAAGTCAGCGCTCTGCTGGTGCGCGACTCAAAACTATTTTTCACATCCAAGTCTCGTGACCGCAGCTTTGAACATGAATGGAGATAAAACGAGTGACTAGAAAGTTCTGAAATTTGGGACCAAACCTTTTGCTGTAGTTAAAACGAGACTGTAATCTATGAATCCCAATTTGAACCTGCAAAACTTCTGCAAACAGTCTTTCAACGTGTATTTAAGACAGAACACCCATCTTATCTCCCCAAGGATGTGTGCTCTTCATATCTTAACTTGTGCTGCGTGACACACCTTAACTTTATATTTATAGTCCTTACTCACTGTAGAGTTTTAAAGGACTTTGCATAGCCTAGGTGTACTTTATATTTCAGGATATACAGAAATTTATAAAATACATCTATCCCTAACTGTGTATGTGCAGTACTTTACGTTTGATATTCTATAATATTCTTTTCCTTTAATTTCAATATCTGAAACTAGTCTGGTCTATAGTGTTGTTAATATTGATAAAACTATATTGCATTATTCCAGGGTGCTGGTTGATGCAATTGCTTTTACTCTCAGTTGGATGTCAGAATCAAATACTATTTAATGTTTTGTTGAAATTTAAGACTCGATATATGCATGTTTGAGGTGAGAAATTAAACTGACATCGGTAAAACAAAATCCTGTTGCGTGCCACGTCATATTACGAGGTGCTGTAACAAACACAATCCCTCGTGGTGTTTTGTGGAAGGATGTCAAGTGTTGATTCTGTAGGACAGAAAGAGTTTCAAGGGACTGAAACATGCTGGAAAAATACTTCCAATGATGTCTTTTAATTTACAAAAACTTTGTTTTATTTTTCTTACGCTTAAAAACTTTCAATGCCTGAAGGAATCCTTCATAACCTGTATACCAGACAAAAGCTCTGAGCTAGTTCAGGCTTTTGTGGTGCGTTTTTTAATAAGCTTTCTTATTTTCAATGTGTACACATGATGATAAGGTTGTTGATTGGTAGGAAGTAGGTGAGAGATCATCACCTTTGCCTTTGTTTTGTCCGACTCATCCTCTGCCACAGCCATCCTGGCTGCTTGGACGTGTGGGCAGACTGGTAGCCAGTAGCGTGGTGCCAGTCCCGAGTGCATGGTGACAAAGGCAACCAGCACACTCTGGATTATAAAGGTCTGAGTGTATAAAACCTCCTGCTCCTGCACCACCACTACAACCCCCCTCTAAATATACCCAAACACCCTGGCAAGCACTCAGAGCCTCTCAGCAATCTGTGTGAGTGTAAATCCAGGAGTGAGTGTGAGTAACAGGAGTAAGGTAGTGTGTGTGTGTGAGTCTGTGTAAGGACTGGGACATAATCACGGGGTCCAGGTCTAGTTGGCTCAGGCAGGCTGTAGCTGGATGGGTGTCATTCCTCCAGCATGTCGTGTGGTGGGTCTCAGTGTAAGCGCTTAAGATCTCTCACTCAGTGACACTCTTCGGTCCCTAACTTGTTGACACACATGATTTAAACTACCACCTCTTCTGGGCAACGTGAGATCTGACACCATCAATGAACACTGGCTTAAGTTTCAAACCTGTTGTGGAGGTTAAAGAGGCAGGATTTCAAGATACAACCTGAACATTTTGTGGGGAAAGTGAAGAAAAAGTCACTTGGTTCTCCTGAGCAAGGCACTCAAGCCTAACTCCTGCTCAATACTGCTCAATAAGTCCAGTGGTGGAAAGTAGTAGTTATAGATTTAGTCACTTTGTAGAATATATATTGAATGGTAAATAGACTGCACTTATATTGAACAGCATCTTGCTCAAGGACACTTGGACAAGTGGACAGGAGGAACTGGGGATCAAACTTTGTGAAAAATAGACATCCTGCTCTATGTGATAATGAATATGATGCGTTGTCATACATTAAATTACACAAGAATTTAACATGGCCAGTTGCAACATTAAAATGCTGCTTATACCTTTATGAACTGAGTTACATAAATAAACCTTCCCTAATAATAATTCAATAATGTATGATTTAAGGGCCATTTCACAGTCCAATCAATACATTCACTTCTGGTACTGAAAGTACTTTGTGTTACAAATACTTCTGTACTTAAAGCAGCAACAAGGAACTTTTATTTTGTGTCGATTCTGGACAAAAGCAGTAGTGTTTCTGCCGCCCTATTTCACTGATTTCAAGGGGAATCCGACCCATTAGAAGGCAAGAATAATCTACAATCTTCTTACTGATGGTCTAGTGATCTTATGTAGGTCATATAGAGGAATTAGTATTAAATTGAGACTGTTTCACAACCAGTAAAAAACTCCTTGTAGTAGGTTTAAGTAAAATGTTAATGCAGGACTTTTACTTGTCATTGAGTATTTGTACTCAAAACCTTTGTAAATAAAATTAATATGACAATATAAAAATATTCTGTTGCAAGTAAACCTGCATTCAAAACTAAGTAAAAATGCAGAAGTATCAGCAACAAAATGTACTTGAAGTAAAGTACTAAAAGTGCAGCACAATGGCTCCTTTTAGGATTACTATATTATTTGCTGATGCATTAAGATGTAAGTAGCATTTAACTATGTGTCTGGTTGAGGTGCAGCTAATTTGAACTACTTATTTGGATTGTTTCACCTATAACAATATATCTGCAAATTATCTAAATATAGCTGTCAAATAAATACAGTGAAGTAAAAAAGTGCAATATTTCACTTGTGACATATAGTGGAGTAGAAATGTAAAGTAAATGTAAAGAACAAGTAACTCAAAATTGCACTTAAGGAACGATACTAAAGTAAATGTACTTAGTTTTCCCCCCCTTCAGGTCTGACATGCGGCTATATAGTAAACTCGAGTTTACATGCTACAACCCTGAGTGAGATCTTTTCCATGTAGGTAATAAACCTCAGTGTCCTGTGACGCACATTGGGAGGAGGTTTGTGAATCCAAAAACAGGCCCAGATTTACTCATTCATCCACAATGATGACCTTCTGCATGTGTTTACCTCGTGTGATGAAAGTCATCCAGCAATCTTTATTCCAAACAGGAATTTAAGAGCAAGGATAGATGACTCCGAACATAAGCGCTTACAAATGGTTATACTGCACTATGTTCTGTATGTGCGTACATATCCGAACACATGCTATGAACAAACATCATAAAAACAGAAAATAGCCCTCATCCTCAGTGTAACACCTGATATTACCGACGTTAGACGGGCCCACGCTGCTGATGGATGTGTGTTTTAGTCACATGATTCAACCAAGCTGTGAGTAATGAGGTCAGGTTTGTCCAGGAAAATGTCTAGACTGGATTTGTTGTCACTGTAAATAATGTAGCCACGGTTTCACACAAATGTGCATCAGTACACGTATACACCACCTACAGCTGACTGCTGTTTTTTTAGCATGATTACATTATGCATCATCATCATAGGAACACTTTATTATCCTAAACACAGAAATATTATCTTTTTTTCTCTCGGGTGTTTTCTTTGGTTCATGTTTGTCCTCGGGGGGAACAGATCCACCTGTGTGTAGCTTCTGCAGCCATCACACATACTGCTGTCAGTTTTAGCACCGGGAGTCCAGGCCAGGGTGGTTTACTCCACGTCCACCTGTTAGAGCGTCACAACAATCACCTTGTCACTCCATTTCCACAAGACACGCACATGACAGATTACGTGTAGCTGAAGCCGGTTGTTATTGTAACAGGTGTCGATAAAATAACAAGTTAAGTCCCGAAGTTTCCACAACTGGAACTCAAAATGACCCAAATCACTTCAACTTTCTGACTGAGCCTATAGAATTATAGACATCCAGATGTTCCTTTGTTCCTCTAATGAAAGAAATATTAGTTTTCAGTGTACTTTGGAAATTAGGAGCCCCAAAAGACACGCAGCTACCTGACCTGTTCTTTATTTAGCTGTGGATAATAAGCTGTTCACGCTAACTAACTCTGTGACAGGATGAGGTATTCTCTCAGGGGAAATGAGAAATTATTCTGGCCTATTTATACGTGTGGAAACATAGGTGATATCAGCACGTGCCTCGGGCCTCATGAGCTGTAAATCTAGTGCTAATAGCCTAAATCTTGTGGTTAGTCTGTGACCTACTCAGGAATCTACTCGAGGTAAAGCGAGTGCAGCTATTTCAGAGCAACAGGAGAGATATATGTTCAAAACAGAACTTCCTGTTTCTAAAATGGATGCAAGGAAAATGGGCTCAACCTAGATTTAGCTCATATGGATTGTCTACATTCTGTAATTCAGGTATTCAGATGATGACATTAAAGCAATTAAATGTCAAATGCCAGTTAGATCTTGTGTACTTGGTCCAGTTGAAACTGAGCTATATGAAATCCAGAGTGGCCCAGTTTCTCAATTTATACTCCCTGACAAAACAGGCCCTGGTATCCCTCTTCATTAGTACCTTTAAAGTGTAACTTTAAAAAAAAAAAAAAAACAATACTCACTCCTCAAAGGATGAATACACCTACTGTATGAGCTGAGCAGTTCAAACAAGAGTGACAGTGAAATATATAAAACCAAAAAGTTTTCAGAGAATAAAAGAAGAAATACTATCCAGCATTTCAAAAATAGAGAAAAATACAAACAATTTGCTTTTCACATTTCTTTATTCTCCTCCTTTACAATCTTGCGACCTCTATGGGGGCCCAGCCCCTCAGGTTGGCAACCACTGCTCCAGATCTCAGGTCTGAGATGAGAACCAACAACCCAGACTGAAGTACTAATTAACACAGTTAATTACACATAACACATAGTGCTACTCATTTTTATTTAAAAATAATCTAATAATTTGTCTGTTTGTAATTTTTAATACAAAAACACTACCAACAAAACACCTGAGGAGGAAAATTTTAGTTACTTGCACCAAATGAGAGGTGGCAGCCAGCTTTCCCCCCCGCTGGTTGTGTCCCTTTCATACCCAAATGTATATTCGTGTTGTCTCCTGTCCCCTTGACCAAACCCACACCTACCTTTCCTGCCCTTTGTCTCCATCACATTTGGTCTGACCACTACCTTTTGTCTTACTTCCCTCTGACTCCGATGTTAATCATGTAACATCTGGTGACTGAATACCATTTACATACTGTCTATTGTATTGTCCATGTATAAAAGTACCTTGTTTCATTTGCTCTGGGTCTGCTTACCTACTCAGACCTGCTCTGTGTATGTAAGTTCACCAGGATGCCGGCACGCTTTATTAAACTGACACCACCACAGCAAACCTTAACTGGACTGGAATGATTTTTCTTCAACACACCCAACCATCTAATTTGTCTTAATTTCAAAAAGTTAACTTAAATATGCTTCAGATTAACTGTACGTGTATTCAGACTCAGAGAGGCACAGTTACTGTTGAGTCTATTTGCCTTCTGATATAATCAAGAAAATTACTTTAATTAAAATCTTAGTTACAGGTACAATATCTCCTCTAAATGGTAGAATAATTCTTTAGCTACAACCCAACAAAACATCAAAGCCTGCTGGTTCTCACAACCTGGAAAGATATTTATTCCTGCCAAACCACAACCTTATCATGTGTACACATTGAGAAAGATAACCTATTTTTAAAATTTGGAATCATTCATATGAAGACCTGGAACAAGGTCAAGTTATAGACAATAAAAGTCAGCTGCTTCCAGAAGACCAGTGTCCACACAATTAATACATGACCTAAGTCATGATTATCTGTATTTATTATTATAAAAAGGTATGTAGTATTCTGTATTTTAGGTCTGCACACACACACACACACATTACTTGATGACAAAAGTATAGACATTGTTGTGTACTGTATATCAACAGCTACTAATTCATTTATTTGTAGGACAAAGTGACAACTGGTCCAGTACAAGTGAGTGGTTTAATATCACAGTAACATACTAACGATCCGTTTAACAATCACATAAAAAGGAAAAACAAAATATAGATCATCTGAAGATGATAAAAAAAGACAATGATAAGTTAACATTGCTTTGTCGCATATACAAAGAATAAAATTAGAAAAACTTCATAAAAAACAAAAATCCATGGGACTATTTACAAATTCTGTACAAGGATGGAGAGGAAGTCTTCCTGCTGCAAGAAACACAGAAAATAACACGTTAATTTTTGACAACATGCACTTTGTTTAGGTTAACTTTTTTTTTCACGTTTTTCAAAAGCAGAATATTTTTGCTACAGAAAATAAACCGTTATAGAAACCACTAAATGTAATTTCTTTCAAATTAGAAGCAATGACTCTTAATCTGTCTTCTTACCTATGAACGATTGAGCAGGTTGTTCTGAATGTCCTCGTACACCTGGTTGTAGATCTCCTCTTTTTGCTTCAAACCATCCAGGTATTCTGCAACACATGAAAAAGTTGACAAGTTAGGCAGAAGTTTGAAAATCATCAACAAACAGTTTCTCCCCAAAAGGATTACACTGAATTTTCAAAAGAATATTAACGTACTTATATTCAAGCCACTCTCCTCCATTGATTTCCTGTGTCTCAGGTACATCGGCCACACATGGCCATCAAACAGGCCGGGAGGGTCGGGGACGGTGTACTGTCTTGTACTGAAAATAATAAAACACACTGTTAGAAAATGTGCATTTGCTATGACAGGATTATTGGAGAAAAAGAAACTGTTGACAAAAAAAAAAAAAAAAAAAAAAAGAAATGTAAGAATGTAGCCATTAAAATGTAAAAAAGGTAAAGACTAACAATAAGAACAAATCCTTTTTGTGTATCCTCACCTTCTCCTTCTCTTGCACTCCTCATAGGGAATCGTGATGTAGTAACACTTGTTGAAAACATCCAGCAGGGGCCTTCAGGGGAGATGAACAAGGTCATCAATAATGATACATAATGTCTTCAACCAAACCAGAGCAGAGGAGCATCGTTATGCAACTGTTCATAGTCTCTTATCTGCATCTCTGCAGCATGCTCAACATTCAGCCGTAGCACACAGAGTACCGATCACCCAGCAGCCAGCTTTAAGGACAACTCAGAGAGCCTCTTTCTGCTGAAACCCTTATCTCTATCTGCAGGACCCGCCCAAGTCTGCATCCATGTGAGTGTACCAGTGGTAAGCATGCAAAATAACCACGTGACACTCCAGAAATAACACCGCCTGGCCAATGTTTGTTGTCATGAATTTTGTAGAATTAGCGAGAAGGACCCGTTGCCCTTCAAAGAAACTTCTGTGATGTGAGGTGACCCAATTCAATTTAGAGTCAGATTAAGTTTCTTATTAACTGAACCAGTTTATATGTAAAATCATTACAGGTCAGTCTTTGTTGTTCTGGGACGGTGCTACGTTTCCTCTAAAGCTGGCACACGAGTTAAACTATGAGAACGAAAACCAAACGTACGGGTAGTTGTACAGCAGGAAGCCCTCCACAATGAGGATGTGGGTCTGCTCATCAGGGTTGGTCACACTGGACGCAGAGGACAGAGGGACGCCGTGGGAACGGGCGAACTTCACTGGGTTCTCCATCCAGCCTTTTACCGTGTTTGTCATGGCCTCCATATCCAAAGCTGTGATCACTGTAGAGCAGGAATGAAAAGAAAGGAAAACAACGGAAAGGACATAATGAATTAGAATGGATACAAGTGGAAGATATAAAAAATTGTTTTGTATTTACCTTCAAGTTACTGAAGGTTATTATCAGTGTAATGTTAATATAATGTTGTGCATGTTAAATGGATATAACGTATGTGTTGTTGGGGGTATACGACACTAAAGGGTAAACAACGAGTCATTGGCAGTCTTCAGTGAAGTCTTACCATCCCATTGTCTAAAGCCGTCCTCTCCGACTTCTATCTGATCAGGTTTCTGAAATAACAGTCACCAATAAAACATTGCTGCAACCTCACAGCTCTGAACACTTGCAGATCCCACTCAATGCCAGAGAAAGAGAAAAAAAAGACACACACCAAAAGGCATGCACAAAATAAAGCAAGCCATTTATAAAAGTACAGACTCAGTGAAATTGGGGAAAGACAGAAATGCTCTATATAATATGAAGGTGTTAAAGGAGATGAAGGAGAAAATAGACACTGTGACCATAAGTTGTTTTTTAAAGCTTGTTGTTAGGTGGCTTTCACAGTACACAAAGACAATTATTAAAAAGACATTAAAAGGATATAAAAGGCAGGAAAATCACGACCGATGCAGTGAGAAGAGACAACGAGGGAAAGAAACTATGTTGCATAGACATCAAGGTGATTTCCATATTTACTGTGGAGAACAGAGTGTGTGGGACGTGAGATTACTCAATTACAGAAGCCACTACTTTACTTTACTTACATGCAATGCTCATGCAGTGCTCATAGAGGAAATAGTAACACCAATAAAACAGCTTTACTATCCAATCACTAAAACTCACCTTGAAGAAGTCATCCTGGTGCACAACACAGCAGTTGGGCAACGTCTTGATCAGATTACTTGTCAGGGTGGTTTTCCCACCATTAGTGACTCTGTAAACAAAAAGGTGATAAAATGCTCATTATTAATTTATTTTCAGCTACAATTATGGTTTAAAACTAAATTATTTTTTTAGTAGAAAAAAAAAAAAAAAAAAAGAACCCGCCAGCTTTCCTCCAGAGAACATGTGTCACCCATTGTTTACATTTTATAATGCAAAGTGTAGTTAATTTGGTCCAAAAAGTCACATTTTCATAAAACAGTTAAATATAATAAAAAAGTATGTGTGTGATGAATGTTTCACAGTTGCATCGTTTTAATAGAGAAATGTTCTGAATAAAAAGCACATTGCTTTGTTTTAATAAAATCAGCCAAAATAGACTGCAATAAAACTGTGTCATTACCTAACTTAAGGTTTGTATAGAGAGAATAATGATGGCAACATTAAACAGTTGTGGACAATACTAATATTAAATCTCCCTCCACTTTTGAACTGAATCTCGCGGTGAATTTTCAAATGTCCCGCTCAATGGATGACAACAAACCAACAAACCAGACAAACCGGACATGGCTTTAAGACCGATTCAACACACTGTTGCACTTTCTGGCGCGCAGCTGATTACACATGTGGCCAAAAGGGATAATAACTATATAAAGACACTATTAACAGTTATACACGTTAAAACAACTTTATCAGAACCACTACTTTGTTAGCAAACAACAATGTTAGTCGATTAATTAAAATTAAAAAACACTTACCCGCCAATTCCTATAATGTATTTCATCTTTCTCTCGACAGTCGTCAGCTAAAGAAACAGTTAAAAGTGCGTTTTTACCGAAATCAAGGCTACAAATCCAGAATTAAACGCGTTAAATATATATAATAATAATAATAAATATAAACTTTTATCCGACGTTGTTTCTCTCTACTGATCCATTAACTGCTCCCTCGCGAGGCACTGCGATTTATATACAACCTGCGTCATATTGCGTCATCACTCACGCTGGCACGGGGCGTTCTCGTGGTCCGACGTGCTCGTGCTCTTTTCCACGCTTGCTACGTGCCCCTTCGCGGGAACCAATCAGTTCGCGCCGAGCTCCCGCCGCCGGCCAATCACAGCCCGCGAACTTTCACACATTTACATATTCCAGAACACCTGTTGGTTCTCGTCCGTCACCCAGCGACGGTGAGCTCGCGCTATTCCATTCAGTAGTTAATCCAGTTGATGACCTAGCGCGCGCGCTGTGGAAAACTACCGCTGATGGTTTTTTATAGAAACAATCAATAACAGCTGCTTTCATACTGTCGTTTACCAGTAAGGAGGCTTAAAGTATGGAGAGATTATGGGGGAAACGTATCGGCTAAACAGATTTTAAACTGATATAAATGTTAGGTCTAATTAAAAACAAAAAGTAGGTATTTTTTTGTCTTTGACAGGAGGAATAATAACTACACTATTATTGATTATTTTCTCAAACTGACTTATGGCCATTTCACCACCAGTGGTATTAGATTCTTAAGTAAAAGTAGCAATAGTTTGCATACAATACATTTAAATATGTTGTTTAGAAGTAGAAAATAATTAAAAGTAAATTAAAGTAGTTACATATTATGAGCCAAATGTGCTTTAAATATGTATAAATTTATATAATAATTAATTTATATAAATAAAAAAGTAAAAGCACTGTTAGAGTTTAATACTATATATATCATGTCGTTGAATATACTTCATCTATTCAGTTTCAATGATATGATATATTGTGTTTATTGGAAGTTAATGTTAAATACTTTACACAGTATACTCCTTAACAAACTATATTTTATAAGAAGATTACATCTACAAAGTAATTGTAATTTCTAAATAAATAGTTGAGAAAGAAGTACAATATTTACCTCTGAAATTTAGTGAAGTAAAAGTATATATATAAAGTAACAGAAAAAAATGTATAAATACCTCAAAATTGTATCTAAAAATAGAGTACTTAGGATAGGATCAAAGAAATAAAATAGACTTGTCTACTTGAGTAAATGTACTTAGTCCCTGTATCAGCACTGGTCTACAGTACAGCGCTGATACCCTACAGAGCGTTTAGTCACACATAAAAGCAGTAAGGAGCGTGATAGGATGAATTATTGTTATCAGATGTAATAAAATTTGCTCAACTGACTTTTCACACCTTCTTTAATTTACACAGCACTTGTTCTTTTTCCAAATCACACTCATATACACCTTGGAGACACAGATAGAAACCCACCAGACGTTATGTCACATCCCAGATAAACTTTCATGTGTCAGGTAAAGTGTGTCAGGAGTGTGTGTGTGAGGGCAGGTGAGCTCCACTGAGCTCTAAATTTAAAGGGATAGATGTCATGAGTTCAGATGTGAGCCAAAGGAACGCACAGCATGCCGGATGGTTTATTTTCTGTCAGGAATGTTCACATTGAAGTAAATCTTTGGAGAAAACTGAATTATGTATTAATTTTGGATGATACAACGCAGCGTCATGAGAGAAATCACCTTCTGTGTAGTGTCTCTCTCTCTCTGACAGTGTGATCTATTTGTGTGTACGTGTCCAAGTGCAATGTGAATCCTGTCACAGCCATCGGGGGTCAGGGGTCAACAGTCGGGGCCACACACGGTCATACTAGTGTGTAAGGGAGAAGGGTGCGATGGGTGAGTCATGTGATATGTGGGGACATCACAGGACTCGATCGCCCTGTCCAAACATGGCATACATCCCAAAGTTGTGACGTCACACTGAAAAGGCAGCAGGTGTCTTTTTGGGATTGTCCTCCAGCTCCTGCATGTCCTCAGCCGGCTGCAAGTTCGGCATTTTCTGCCCGACATCAGAACTTGAGAAGCCATTCGGGCAAAATTAGCTCAGCAGGAGAAACCAGACGACACAAAAAGAGTGAATATGTTATAGTAGAGAGATTATCTGCCACTATAGTGCAGGAGAGCTGTGTGAGCCACATTGTGTGATTACAGACGCTGTAATATTGGTGCATTATCCCTATAACACATACATTTATTGCATATAAACTGGTTCAGCTGAGTTGCCTTCAATTGATTGTGACAGCTGAAGAGTGACAGGAAAGGGGGAGAGAGGGGAGAGAGGGAGGGGGAGGGGTGACACACAGCAAAGGGCCATAGGTTGGAGTCAAACTCATGATCGCTGCAGCAAGGACTCAGCTGTGGTACATGGGGCGCTACCAGGTGAGGTACACATAAAACACACAAGACTGGTGCTATATTGACAATTAACTAAAAAACAAGACAGTCTTTTTGTATTTTGAATGTGACTGTCGGAAGGATAGTATGAGTATGTTGTATGTAATAAGATAAGATTTAGACTTTATTGATCCCACACTGGGGAAATTCACTTGTTACAGCAGCTACAGATGTGTAACACAGCAGATGAGAAAAAAAGAAATACACATTAAATAACAAAATAAAATGGAAAAAATACAAGATATCAAGATATGTTTTGTTATCTGGAGCTATATAGATAAAATTTAATAAATAAAGGTGCACTTATACAAATGCAAACACATCATATTGTTATGTTTTTTTTATCAGTTTGGAAAAGACTAAACAGAAAGCCTTAGCCTTGGGCAGTTACTTTATTAAAAGGGTAAAATTAAAATGCATTAATAAAAAAGTAGCAGCTACTTAAATCCTTTTGAGTTCATACAGCAGCTGTATATCTGAAGCCTCGAAATGATCTCTGAATGAACACACACAAAGTATGAAAACAAAGCAGATTTTGGGAGGAACAGTTTATTCAGTTTATTTATTTTATTTACAAGGAACCGATCATATCAATTTAAAGAACGTCAGAACAGCCAATGATAGCGCGTCTTTAAATCTGAGCAAACATTTTACAGCAGACAAATGGAAGGCAAATCATTTGTAATATTGTGCTTTTACAGTTGGAAAGGTCAGATCAACCATTTGTATGCAAACCTTGCTTACGATATTGGATGTGATCAGATCGCAAAACTATAAACTATAATAACTAAAAGTCACATTCCTTCACATTTTCTGGATTTCTTTCAATCATTTGGTTGAAAAATAGGCACTCAGTGCAGCCAACAAACCTCAAAGGAACCTTTTCAACGATAGTTTCATCACAGATGGCAAATATGTGATGAAACTGCTCAGGTTTTGGTTTATTGGTGTGAAAACAGCCTAACAGGACTGAAAAGAATCGAAAAGTTGAACCTTTTTGTTAACATTCCTGTATAAGAAAGGCAAAAGAACAAGAAGAATTGAGATGGCACTTCAGAAAGCAACATTTCATGAGCACTATTTCCTGTACCAAAGACGTATAAACGTGTCCATGCCTTACTAACAGCTACACAACTGCATGACCACTCATCAGTCAACAACAAAAAAACACGTTTTAGGAGAACACAGCACCTCCTCAACAGAAATCATAACTCACATATATGCTGAAACCATTCAAAAGGCTATGTGACAAATAAATCCAATAGTGCAAAACAAGGCAGGCAGGCAATACAAGTATGCAGTTCCTTACAAAAATAAAAAATCTTCACTCCTCTGCCCTCCTGCTACAATAAGTTGAACAGATGGAAGACATTAGAGGAAATCAATGTAACCCCGGAAAATGTACAATCCATAATGCATTAGGATGAGAATGTGCTGACATTGTCCCAAATGTTCACCAGAAACAACCACAGAGAAACACAAGGAGATGTCAAACAAAACCTTTGAAATCATAAACTAAATCTCCTCATAAGATACATTAACTGTATCATTCTGAAATTAGATCACAGTTCCTTTCAGAGGCCACTTTAGACCTAATCAATCTAATCACAATCTGAACAACAAATGTTCCCGTATGAAACAGATCTACAAGAATAATAGAAAGGTGCAATTTATAAACATGTGTAACACCAGGGGTGTGTCTAGAGATCGGGGGGCCTGAAATCTGATTGGCCAACCCATTATCGTTACCTCTTCCACTCTGCACTGTGTTTTAGAGGCTGTAGCGGGTTCAGTTGTTTAGATACTGGTATAATATGAAATCTAACGCATCCATTGGTACAAACCGTGTTATAATAACTTGTCGGTAAGGAGGCTCAATAACGCTCTAAATTTAGGCTATAATGGAAAAACTAGCATAGCAACTTTCAAAGGGATCCCATTGACCTCTGACCTCAAGATATCTGAAAGAAAATGGGTTCTATGGGTAGAGGGTTTGGACAAAAAACAGGCAACATTTTGCACACTCTATATCATTTTCACCTATACTTTAAGGTTTTTGAACTCTAAGAGGATGTATGGGTTGCCAAGATATATTGAGGAGTTAATCAAGTGTGTAAGCTTTAAAAAAATTATACTCCAATCCAGTCCAATTTGTTGTACAACTGCTGGGTTGTGATACCATAATGCTAGTAATTAAAGTCAATTATTAATTACTGCAACCATGGACCACCCCAGGCAAAAAAGGTTCCTGTGTACAATGCTTGTGTATTTTAACCTGATTGTGGCCACTCTGACACAGATTCCACACAACATTATTGTAGATGTTTTGTATATGGTGAGTTGGTATTATATGCATCTTATACGTAACATACAGTATGTAATGTGCAGAATATACAGTCTGAATATGATGTAGTAAATATAAAGCACATTTCTTTAATGCTTGTATTGAATCTGTTTATGTGGCCATAACCATGTTACACAAAATAAACAACCACTGCTTTACAAACATTTTAGGACATATATATGAACAGATTTTCCTATGTGGGGATTTCAAGGTCACAAAATGCAAATATTGATCATATTCCTGCATTTTCTACGCACAAGACGACTGAGGCACATCATAACACAAGATACAGTACAAATGTTAGTACATTAGGACATTTTAAAAATGTCCGTACAGCAAAAGAGGGAGCTTGAAAAGGCCTTATGATACAGCTGTTGTGAGGCAAAAAATAAATAAATATGAAGGCATCTGACGCATTTGAAAACCATTGTTATTTACATCTAACACATATCATATTCACACGAACCAGCATGAATATAAATGTGTGTAACCAGTTTGGTCTGAAGCTGAAGCATCTGCTACATCAGTAATGTTGCTGTCAGACGTCTCTGGTGTGATCAAGTGTTAACTCTTTCATAACATATGTACACGTCACTATCAGGGAAAAGCTTATATCTCCAATTGTGTTGGATTTCCAGGAACTCTGAATTTTGGATGCTTTCTTTTTTTCCCAGTTAATTTAGTATTTTTTCATTAATTATTAAAAAAAACATTTTCCCAATTATCTCAACCGACAATTTAAGTTACAATTGTTTCACCCAACATTGCCAAAATCAATTGTCTTAATTTTGTGTTAAGTTATAAGGTTTCACAATGATGTAATATTACAATATGAGTTATACGACCTGTCTGACCACACAGCTGGTCAATGAATCGATGAGCCCAACAACAGTTTCCACTGTTAAACACTTCTTGTGACAGAGCAGTGGCTTCCTTCGTACCATTTGCAATATGAAACCCTCTGGCAGAGATGAAGACAGGGTTCCACACAGAAGGAAAATGAGATGCAGCGTTCACCATCTTGATCGGAAAAGGATGGCAGCAAATCATCAGTTGGATGTTGGTAAAACAAGGAAGCACATGTAGGTTTGTTGGACCACTGCTTTGTATTGGTATAAAGGTTCATGCTCCATATGTCTGTCAAACACTGCGTAAAGACAGGGAAATAATATTTGTGGATGATGAAAGTTTAACGGGACAATAAAAACATTTTGCTGCTCAAATTAAAATTGAAACAAGGAAATGTGTAAATTTGCCTCTGTAAATGAAAAAAGGTACTCAGTCAGTTGTTTCAATCAAACTCTATGAAATAGCTGTTTAATGTACTTTATAAGATTAATTTAACTACAGCAGAGGCAATCTGCTGATCCTGACATGTAAAAATAAACTGTTGTTAATTCACCAAAAGTCACTGCTCCTGTTTAACTCTGAAGTTATAAGAGGACATTCTTACCCCTGTGCTGGCATCCTGTTCACGGTAACTTCTATTTATTTCGTTGGCGTTTCAGGCTTATGACCTTCAGTGACACATTCCCACTACTGCACACCACTGTATATATCCTACAGTCAGCTGGTTTAAACCAGCTCATAAAGTATGTACCTCGTTAACACTCTGGCTCTAAAGGGTGCTGCTGGTATGACTGTCACTAATGGATGCTGTTTAATTTAAATATGATATGATAAAATACTGGACAAGCTAAAGAGCAGCTTCAGCAACAGATTCATTCAACCCCGCTGCTCTAAGGAATGATACAGAAAATCGTTCTTCCCCACTGCAATAAGACTTTATAACTCATCTGCCTCTATCAGATCCACAATCACAGAACTGGACTAAATCTACCCGTAACCTTTTGCACCCTAACACTCCACTCCACAATATTGGAACTATTAATATTGTTCTTTGCACCTTATTTGCCTATTTATCTTATTTGTCTTCTTTATCTTTTCTACCTAGTATTGTATTCTATTGTATTTTTATTCTATTTAAATGTACCTGGCTGCTAAGACGACCAAATTTCCCTTTGGGGATTGATAAAGTCTATCTATCTATCTATCTATCTATCTATCTATCTATCTATCTATCTATCTACTATCTATCTTACCATACTTATCTATCTATCTATCTATCTATCTATCTCTTCATTTCGTATTGGACCAGATAGACAAACTTTACAGGACAGTGTCATTTTATATACACGTTTGTAAGGAAATGTGTTCTCCCTCAAGGGCATACACTGCGTCTGCACTGAATGGACAGGACCTTGTATAACAAGCACTGAAGAGAGGAAAAGGACAGTTGAGAGAAGCTATTCTGAAAAGTCCATCTAACAGTGTAAAGGTCTGCAAAACATACCAAACTACAGGCAAATATCCCCCCTGTTTATAATGTACAATAGATACAGTTATTGTGCAAAGATTACATGATTGTACTGCATATTAATCTACCATATTCAGCTTCTCAGCTTTATTTAAACTCAACTTTAGCTTTCATTGTTGCACAGATGTATTGACAAAATCTGTTTCCTATACCTTTGCCCCATAGACACCCATGGCCTTTTGCTCAGATAAAATTTGAAGCACACTTGTTCTGTTTTAAGAATATTCACACAATTACTCTATTTCAAAATGGATAAATATGCTATTGCTTCAAAAACGCATGTAATAAATGAAATCTAATATAATTTTTTTGTTTTCTTGACAGCAACAGTGATCACAATTACTAAAATATATGACACTGAGCTTAATCTGACCTTTGTACTAATATAAATAAAATGTATAATTATTGGTCACAATTAGGACATTTGTGTGTAGATGTAAAGGGCTATGTGAAGTAAGAGTTTTATATTACCTTCACCTGCAAAGCTCTGTCCTTCTCATAATCCTTGATCTACAATCATTGACTTCGGCCTGAAAATGAGGGAAAAGGACACAGAACTTTTTTTTTTAAGTTGGAAAGAAGACAGGGAACCAGAAATGTGATGAATGTCCCAACTAGTAAAATGTCCGATGTGAAAATATGACAGGTTTTAAAATCTAGGGTGGACCAGTACCTCTCAGACTTTTTAATTGGCTCCTGTGGGACTGACTGCTGCTGCTGTCTGTGCTCCTGCTCCATCCTACACACACACACACACACACACACACACACACACACACACACACACACACACACACACACACACACACACACAGTTACCCATTTGTTGGTCAATCTAAAAGTAGTTTTTGGTATCCAATCAATTCAGATTAAGTGCTTAAACCACAGTTCATTTTTAATGCAATCCTTTATGAGCAATATATATGTACCATTTATGAAAATGAAACAATAAATGATAAAAGTATTTTACCTTTCTCTCCGTGCTTTAATCCTCTCCTCGTCAAATCTGAAAAATTAGTAATACAGTTACATCCTCATTCCGCAAAGTAATAAACTAGAACTAATATTATTTTACTTCTCTTAAAACACAATAAATGTCACATCAGACTTATTCTCCCAAAGGTTTAAACGAATAATAGGACAGAAGGTGCAACTGCTGCCTGCAGGATCACTGCTACAGCTCATTTTCTCCATCTAGTGGTCAGAGACACTTACTGCACCACACCCTCAGGGACATGGACGTGCTCCATGGGGACGATCTCTGCCAGTTCATCCAGGCTGTGGACATACTGGATCTTATTCATGAACTTCACACTGCAGAGGACAACAACAACAAAATGAATCATTAATGCCATAGTGATTCAGTCAATATGAAATATGCAGCATTCACTACAAATTCAGTAGAAATGGTATGCTGAGTTCTTAGTGTAAAAGGCACAGATGCTTTTTGGATTAAATAAATAGTTAAGAACGAATCAGCCAAAACATGCAATAACACTGAGTGAAAACTGCCCCAAGATTCACGTACAAGGCATTTCATACAGCAAGAATGAATTAAACGCAAAGTCTGGTCCTCATTAGTTCACTGCGATTAATACTTGAAAAAACATTTTAACTTGAGGACCAGGTCTCGCACTTTAAAACATAATTGTTTAGTTGTTGCTTTGTGTGGCTATTACCTGATAAAGGGCCTGGATATAGCCAGGACAGTGCGTATGAACCATGTGGGATGAGCGATGACCAAAGACTTCAGGTTCTTCCTCAGTCTACAATCACAGCACAAATATCTAGTCAGTTCACAGTTAGGTTAGTGTTTACAAGTTTAAAGGCTAAAATGATCATATAAACATTTATACATTAAAAAATTAAACAGAGAATTACAAAGAGGTTGTCTCTAAATTGCTGTAAATGTAGCCTGTGAGTCATCTTCAGTCTCCTACTGACTGACAACAAGTGACAACTTCCATTACTCTCCATTTTGTTCCCGTCAGTATCGATGCCATGCATGTCTCTATGTTGATGGTAAACAATACTCAGCAGCTAGCATTAGAGGGCCTAATTTATATTTCAGCAGTACAGTTTTATACACAGCACATCAATCAATAGTTTCTCCTTTTCCCACCTCCGGTCAATCATCTGGTAACATTTCTTTAGCCAGCTGATCCCAGGCATCTTACTCCGAGGAGTGGCTCCGTTCATGTAGATGATCAGGTAATCTTCAGCGACAAGCATCTCCAGACTGCTCACCACGTACCTGCAGGAAACGGTACAGCGTCATGGACGGATTGTGAGACAACAGCAGCACAGACACATAAACAAGAACCGGGAAAGAACAAAACATCATCAAGAACATGCATAATTTTGACCGGACTTCCCTACAAGACATGTTAACAGTTACTTCTGACACATTTTCAGCAATCCATTCATACACAGCATCAAAGCCTGCACTTCAAAAATAAAAGACTTACAAGAAGAGGTTTTCCATTATGTAGTGGTAGTCTGGACAGCTGCTGTCCGGCAGGTAACAGGCAGAGAAAACAATGATGGCATTAAGGCCCTCACCATAATAACCTGAAGGGAGAGAGTTTCAGTTAATAGTGAACAATGCGTCAGCACAATACTTAAAAATAAACACTGGTCTCATCATATTACGTGAGCTGCATATTTTATTCGGTTAGTTTTGTACTGGGGACCATCTTCCAAGGCTAGTCATGAGTTATCAGATTGTTTTCTGTCCTTTCACTGACCTCCATGTGTGATGACCCGGAGGTAAGGTCTGATGACCTGCATGTCAATACGATGTTCCTGTTCCCCGATGATCACCGTCCTCCAGAGGCGTCCGTTATTGGCGTTCCCCTCCTGATCCGCATCTCTTGAGCCGTCAGCGGGACCTGCTTTGGCTGAGGCCACCGGTGTGTCATCTGGACAGACACAGAGACAGATTTTGGTCTAAACTCTGCACTGAAACATGTACCACGCTGCACAGCATCGGTTCCAATAAGAGTCAAATATATTGTCTGTCTGTAGGTTACTGTTGAGTGGGGTTTCAATAACTGGGTTAATTTTTAGTGTTACCAAAACTACAGATACAGATACCTTTTGTATCACTGTCTAAGGATTAAGATGAAATATTAGGACATTAGGAATCAGGTTTGTAATGAAATGTTAATAAAGTTTAGTTTCAAGATATCTTAACTCTTCAGTTGTAGATACATTTGTGAGGACAATTTGCAGACTGTAGGGTTAGAATATATAAATATAATAATAAAAACTCAAACAGTGCTTTTCAAGGTACAAAATATGTAAAGGTAAAAGTACAGTAAAGGAAATATACAAATGAAATTAAAAAGAGAACTGGAAAATTAAACCTGGAGGTAACGTTAATAAAATGCTTCCAATAAAATATGTTACTATTTCTGTAGGGTTCAGTATATAGACTCAGATATTACATCAAGATTCATATGTATTAAACTGAAAACATCATCTTAAAGGCAGTTCTGAAAGTTGAAGATCAGTGTTATAGCTTCACATACAGATAATGAAACAGGTTAAAGCGTGTGCATTTTTAACCACCTACCTTCCCACTCAAGCTCGTTGCCATTGGTGATGAACTCCAGCGAGTCCGTCTCATCAGGTGTATCAATGTCATCAACATTGATGTCCAGGTCGTCCGGTGTATCCAGGAAGTCATCTGAGAGCAAAGAACCCTCACTTTGGTCCAGTGAAAGGTTCATCTCCGGGGCAACCAGTGTACGCCGTTTACGGTGGGATGAGGATACGCCGCCTCCTCCTCCAGGTGGGCTCACATTCAGGGAGTTAGGGGGAGCTGCAGCAATATCAGAAGACCAGGAAAAGTAATTGATATCGTAAAGTGGGGATATTGTGATGTTTCCATTATTGACCCTCCAACCCTCAGTGTAGTACTTACAGGCTCTGTCGTCTGTGAGACCACAAGAGGAATCCATGTCTCCGTACTCTGGTAGTGGTCTGGAGGGAAACACACACAGGTAAGTAACCAGTACTGTGCTTATTGAGTATAATACACAATATAAAGAGAGTCATGTATAAAGATCCGTTACTGGGTCCTGAAAGCAACCTTAGCTTTAGGATAATAAGATTTATTTCAACAGGCACTAGTTAATAACTATGGCCTCACAATAAAATGTAACACTGTGATTAGGATGGCGTTCAACGGACCAGTCATGTCGTGGGTGTTGTCACTGATCTGGCTAAGCACTAAAAAGAGTAGCAAGCAGCAGAAGAGGATAGAGATGCTAATTAACTTCTCTCTGGGGAGAGATGAAGATTACAGGGCTGCCAGGCGAGGAGAAATAAAGGAGAAAAGGGGAGGAATAAGAGACAGAATGAGGGAGGAAGGGTGTCTTTGCATACAGGCAAAGTGGTGCAGCTCTCTTTCCCTTTACGATGCCTGTTATTTACTGCTGACACACTGCACAGAAGGAGGAGCAGACATTGGGTCACAATCTTGCCTGTTTGTGTGTGTGTGTTTGTGTTGCATATCACCAAACAACACCAAGTGCAACCGAGGAACTGGAGACAAGGTTGCAACAACTAAAAAAAACACAGAGAGCTACAGCGCAGTGTTGTTCAGCAGAGAGGGACTTAGCTGCAGTCCTGTGAAAGCCAACTGCTTCATCCTCCCATCTAGAGGAGGACAGTGTGTGACAGTGTGTGTTCCTCTTCAGCCAACAATACTGGCTTTAGCCCAGAGAAACAGGCACTGATGAACGGTCCGACACTATTCCCCCCGGGGACCCCTGCAGTGATTACTAGCCCAACATTTCCTTTGTCAGGCATGAAGCCCTTTTTCTATAAACAAAACAGATTTATGGATTTATTTTCTCTTTTAACAAAAGCAACATAATCTCTTTTGTTCCTGTTTATGGCCGCTTTGTCCTTCAGATACAAACATCAATATCAGGATGAACCGATGATGCTTACCTTCTGGAATTAGCTGCTTTTGTCAGAACCGATTCAAATGAGCTTTTTTAACCTCTCACACCTTTATATCTGCTTACTCATTCCCTGTCTCCTCAGCTGATGGCAGGCAGTCCAGAGCAGAGCATCCCTCAGAGGTCTACTTTAATAATCCTTTTGATGCTGGCTGGTCCTCCGTGTCTGTCTGTCTTTAACTAAAACCTGCCACCATTTTCCTGGCGATGCTGTGTTGTTGATCAGCGACTCTGTTGCGTCACATGACGTAGCCTGAGACCATTTACAGAGCTGCACCTGCTCCCTGGCTTCCTGCCTCCCAATCTGACGGAGGAGGAGGGAAGGGGGAGGAGGAGGAGGGAGCCCAGCGCTGACTGTCATCACACTTCTCCCCTGCTCTTTTTCTGCTCTGCACCTCAACCTCTGAACATCAAATATACACACTTTCTTAAACCCTTCTGTAGCCATCTTTATGGCGCATTAAGAATATATTTTCCTTCATTTATCTTTCACTGTTTCTCTTTTTGCTCCTTCTCAGAGCCTCTTACTTTGAACATTATAATCAAACAATTTCACACTGTGCTCAAACCTGGCTGTACACATCATTTCACACCAACACAATAATTATTAAAACATTCAATTACAATAGAATTCATTCCATTAAATAAAAAAAGTCTCAATATTACAAACAACAGACATAATTAGCACTGCTTCTAAATCCACCCAGACTAAACTGTACTGGAAGTAATATGGTGCAGCTGGCCCATAAACAAAACCCTGTTTGGCAATCAACTGATAATTAACTGCACACTTAATCCTAAATAATGAGCTATTCATCTGCAAATTAAAATGTGCTGCATATTCATCGAAACACACATACACAAGAATGTGCCATATAGCTCTAACATACAAGGCTGTACTTGCCATCAATAAGACAGTTTTATTGGTAATGACTGGAGGTGTAAGATAATAATGAAAAATATAAACTGCAATATTTTACAGTATTTAGATTTGTTTGTGTGTGTGATGAACACAAATGCAGATCTCATTGTTCTGTTTAAAGGTCCAGTGTGTAACATTTAGGAGGCTCTATTGACAGAAAGGGAATATAATATTCATACGCATGTTTTTATTAATCACAACGGACAAACCAAAACCTCTAGATGGGATAGTTTCTCCCTCATGCTTGGAAAGGGAGGGTGAAGCAAGTGAGTTGCAATCTGTAATTACACCTCTAGATGCCACTAAATCCTACACACTGGACCTTTAACTTTTTTTCTAACTAAAGCAAAAAACTAACTAACTAGATTAACTAAGAAACTAGATTTTTAGAAAATTTGCAATATATTGCCTTGTATCTCAATACGTTGCAGATATTGAATTGTATATTTATTGCCAATAAACTGCCGTAATGATGACCAGTAAGAAATAAAAGATGTTCACCTGGGAAAGTCTTCATCCTGCCACTCGTCTTTCACTTCCATGTTCTCCATTCGTAGAGTCGCCTCTGTGGTGCCCATCCCTCGGAGAGGAGAGCAGGGGCCTGGAGGTGTGAACATAAACATCTATCAATGAACATTACAATAACAGAGGTAAACATAAAACGAGTGCACTAACTAGACTGTCAGGTTCATGGCTGCACTGCAGGAACACGTGTTTGACTATGGAGCATTGTTGGAGGATTTTATCTAAAAATATTCATTACAATTTGGGGGCTGTTGGTCACATGGTTTTTATCCCCCTGCCCTGGGGAGCACATGTGAGAAGCATGTGACTGACTCTGACTCCTTTTCTGAGCTCAGCTCTCCTCAAAGTCGAATATCACATATGAATTTCTTCCTGAGTGGAATTCAAGAGGCCAATGAGGAGGACGATGTGCAGACCTAATCCTCCCTCACTGCTTCCTAATCCTTCCACACTGATGTGACTGCTGCCTGTTTGATCTCTACTCACACTGAAGCTTCATATCACCAATAGCAAAACTTCACTTTTGATCTAATATTCAATCGTTTGTGCTCAAGAGTTTGAAGAGAATTCACACACAGAAGGTCTAACACATGAACTAAAAACTGCCTAATCAATGGTGGGATTAGGATGCACTCTATTCCACTAAAGTACAGGATTCGTTATCACAAGACATTGCTGACACGTTAATTACAGATGCACAGTTTTGGATGGTGGACTGCAGGAGAGGAGCACTGTGGGTATTTAATTGGACCTGTTCTCTTTGTAGTTCTCCACTCGAGTATAAAATCCTCGATATCTGAGCAGATTCTGCTGACAGAGGATTCCCACGTCTGTGCTGGAGGTTATTCTTAGAAACAGATTCTGAGGAAAGGCGTGTATTGTAGGTGCTCTTCTGGGAGGCATTAATTCATGTTACATGTCTACAGTGCAACAAAAATATTGTTATAGGAAAATAAAAACAAACACAGTGTGATCCTGACTTTCTTGTCTGCATAATGTTGTTAATCACAATGAGACATAATGCAACATGAGTTCCTGTGTATATAATTAGTAGAAGGAGTGAAGCGGTTTTTGTGGTTTTGGCAGCAACACTTGAGGCTGAGTATAAACTGGAGGAGAGCCAAGCCTCACATAGAGGAAATAATTCATTTATTCAGGCCTTAAATTCCATGTGAGCAACAACAGATTGTACCATGAAGTCAAATCCACTGAGCAGCAGGTTAAATTCATCTATAATCCAATGTCACAATATGTTGTGTGTGGTGCACACTGTCAGATTAGCTAGAGCAGAAAACAGAATAAATTATTTATCATCATTTATTAAATAGAAGGAGGTTTCTTCTTTCTCACATCATGGAAATATTGACAACTGGAAAAACCATGTGTGTAATGTCAGAGAAAATATTCCAACAACCATTGAAGATTTCTATTCAAGATGTAATCCATTACATTATGTCATTATATTGTGCCGCACACGTCAACAACCAATTTCTACTAAATGAATCGCCACCAAATGTGCAGCATGTTACCATCACAGAGTAAAATGGCCCCACAGCCTTTCTAGGTCATCTCAAATGGAACAGCCAACAGCAGGAAAACCCAACCGGATGTGTCATGTGTTAGTGGACAATCTGATGTGCATTGCATTCAGTTTTAAGGTGTCAAAGATTCAAGGACGTTAAGTCAGTGGCTGTACTCACATGAGCGGTGTGAGATCCCCACAAAACGTCTCGCTGCTCCGTGTCTGTGTGTCCTCCCTCCTCCTCAGTCACAGATGCAAAGATTCAAGAGGGAGAAAGTCCTGATCCTCCTCACCAACAGGGGGGAAAAAAAGCAGTGGTCGGGCTGAAATTTCTCTCATTCACATGCACACACACTCACACACACACACACACACACACACACACACACACACACACACACACACACACAGACACAGTCATACAGTGTCCTCAATGTCAGCCGCTAGCCAGCAGCAGGTGTCTGAAGACAGGGGGCACCTCTGTGCTTGGACTCCCCCCTCTTCTCCTCCGCCTCTGGCCACCTTTGTTGGGGAAAGACTGGACGTGAAGAGCGAGCCAACAGCCTGCTTTCTCAGCTCCTGCATCCACACCACCAAGACACAAAATTCCTTTAATCAGAATGCATCTGCTCTGGCATCACGATCTCCCTCTTTTCTCTGCTGGTAGATCCTAATACCTTTGGAGTATCTTCTCCCACTCCCAAAAATATCAATTGAAATCCTCCCTTGAGCTGCCTCTGATTTCAAATCTCATGGAGGCAGCTAATTTATCCCTACAGCAACTTGGGGAAAAATGAGCACCAGTCCCCGTGTCTCTTTACTCCGATAATCCTGCTGTTGTTTTCAGTGGTCCTCTATGTGGCTGCTGTTCCCTGGCAACAGCATCTCTCTCTCTCTCTCCATCCTTCTCCCCTCCCTCTCTGTCTCCTCACCCCAGTCTGTTTCATAGATAATATACCCCTACTCTACCAACATGCATGAATTATTCAGTCCCTTACTTCACTTGCACCCAACCAATCATATCACCCCTGCTAGTATTCTTCTACTCTCACCATGGTGGCAGTGCTAATCCTACAATCCACAGTAGTGTTTATATATAAGTTCACGTTTTTAGGTGACATGTTGATCCTTCTTTAGATTTACAGCATCATTTCCTCCTCTATATTCTTCTGAGGTGATGCCTTTAAAACGCAAGATCATGTTTACCTTATTAGCACTTTGAAATATTATTCCCGGGGAGTTTAACATCCTCCTGACAGAGGAGCTGGATGTGATGCTCTGTTGTTGTGTACTGACTCATTGCCTGGTGGTTGGGTTTACATTAGATTGGACCTTTATCATCGCTGCAAGCGTGACTGACACACGCGACATTCAGCAGTTTCACCGCAGGCGAAGCGAGACAGTTCACTTCAATCTACTTCCGCCTTCGCTTTGTACACAAAAGCTTTGCAATAAGTGTTGCAGTTTTAATGTTTGTGAACCGGGCTCAGGTAATTAGGCTTAACTAAAGTGATTTGTTTGTCCATTTAGTTTTATGAATTAAGTTTCTTCCCAAAAGTACTATTTTCTTCTTCCTAATTTCGCCTCCCTTTCCTTCTAGTTTTCATTTAAATCACATTTCTACGGAGCTCTTTAAGGGACATCGTGGAGAGGAAAAATGTGGGGTGAAAAAATACATATTTTTGCGTCCCCTCGAGAAACTGGGGGGCATCGGTGGGAGAGAAATAAAAAATATGGGAAAATACAAAAACAAATGTGTGGAATCTTTTTTTTGCTTACACTGAGAAACTTTTGCATTCCCGAAAAAGAAAAAAAAAGTTCTCCCCCATGTAAGTTTCTTCTTTGTCCTCACCTGTAGTTCCTTAAAGGGGCTTACAAGCAAAAAACACATTCGCAGATAGATTTTCTCATGTTGTGCGCATGCGTAACGCAATTTTAGGCAATACAATAATGCCAAAGCATGAAAATCAGTTTACTATAAACATACTACCGTAAATTAACATAAATAATGCATTTCAATGACTTCTTCCCTCTGTGCCCTCCTCGGCAGCTTCCTAAGATATTATGTTGTCGTCTTACGCAGTTCCGGTGTAGCAGAGCAGCGTTCCCATTGGCTTCAGTCGGGGGGGGGGAACTATCTTGACGGACCGTCGCTGTCTGTCGCTACTGTAATGTACTGGAGATGCCAAGATGGCTGCAAGCAATTATTTCGGCTTCACACATGGTGCCGGTCCGCAGTACAGGTAAATGAAGTGGTGCGGGTTGTTGTCAGTATGTGTGTGTGTAGTGTCGTTAATGAGTCGGTGGTGTGTTTCGGTTACAGACTCCGTTTCCGGTGGGATTTCACTGGAGCGACAGCTAGCTTGACCCGCTAGTTCGGTTAGCTAACGTTAAGCTAGCCGAGCTCGCAGGCCGGCGCTTTCCGACACGCTTTCTTGACATTACGTGAACCCAGTACGGTCATCATCGGTCTGAAAGCGGCTGCTGGTGGTTCAACACTTTACCACTGAGTGTACTTCGGCGTCGGGCTGAAGATGTCAGTAATGGAGAGTGTCAGGCAGCTGGTTTTTAGTGGATCGAGGCGGCTGCAGCTGCAGATTTTTGGCGTTTAGGATTAAGAGGGCTAATGATAGCCCTGGTCCGGTGGATTGAAGGTCCGGTGTCTCTTTTAGTTATATGTTTAATAACATTATGCTGCCATTAAGGGAAATGTTAACAGATACTTGTGTGCAGCACCGGTTACCATCACGACTCAGCTGCAGGGATTGACAAGTTTATGTGACAGTTAAACCATTTAATTGACAGTTAATCTGATTATAATGAGCATATAATGTCATTAAGTTGTCATTCACTGCAATCAGTCCACTGTGAATGTTTCCTGTTTTGGTATGTTGGTCAGCACATGAGCAGCAAACCTGACAAACAGGATTGTTTTCTCTGCACCACAAAGCTCTCAAGTATATATTCCTTCACCACAGCACTTTTCATTGCTGACCAGTATTTAGTTTTTATCCTAATTCTTCATTCAACATAAACCTCTACAGAGCTGCAGAGGAGCAGTGAGGATTCAGTCTGTATAAGATGCTCAGTAAGTGCAGGGTTACAATATCTGTAGTTAGGTGTGAGCGATAAGGATACAATCCTCTGCCATGATATACGTAATTTAATAGTGTAGAAATCAATACATATTGCAATACAGTATATTTTCTGGAAGAATCAGTGCACTAACTGGTTTTAAATAAAGAAGTGAATCCAGCAAGTTGAATAGCTGTGAAATCAAGGAACTTGATAAAAACTACTCTTCTGCTCACTGATTGGAAAATTGTCTGTGACGACCTCACACAGATATCAAAGGGATACCTACAACGCCGTAAACAATACAGCTGATGAATAAAGAAAACACAGACTCATCAGAGGCTACATACAGTCAGTTTAATACTCCATGACCCCACCATAAAAGGGGGCGTTCATGGCTCTTCTTCATGGCTCTGAATCTGTTTCCAACAAGCCTATCTTATGAAACTGAGGCACCCCAAGGTCTTCTAATCTAATCTAATCTGGTCAGTCTCAACCGTCTCTAACATCAAAGGTTGCAGTGTCCCATTAGATTTATCCAACAGATGATTTAACAGTGAATCAGCTACTTTACATATAAACTTAAAGTAATTTAAAGACTGGTCTTATCTCTGAGCAACTTTAATAAGCACTGAGTGAAAACACCCTTGTTTAAAACTCACAGTATTTAACACCTTTTGGTAACCGGGATGAGATCAGAGCAGACAAGTAGGTCGACAGCCGAGTGATCAGCCAAACTTATTGACTTGTTTTCCCGTTTATGTGGTGAAATGGGTGATATCAGACTCAGTCAGGGAGGATGGGCGGTGGCACTTAACGTTACATAATCTATTTATTAGATCTTGGACGTTCTTGCCCACAGTACGAGATAATGGAATTACGGGCATTCCTGTAGAGGAGCGATTAAGCTACTCAGTGGACAATGAACAGACTGGTCAACCCTTGGAAAATGTGTTCTTCCAAATTCCTTCTTGTCTGTCTGTTACTTTTTAGTCCCACAGTTTCCTGTGTACATTGTTTTTTTTCACCCAACTGTTTTGTGTTTGATTTGGATCTGATAAATTATTACTCAGCATTTTGCCTCAAGGCTCTTTCGTGACCTTTTAGGCGTCATTTAATTTTAGCCCTCTCGTTCTTGTCCATGCAGACACTGAAAGCTTAATAAAGATGCTGATAACATCAGTTACTGACGTCGTTGTCAGTAACTGCTGTTCGCATCTCGAACCATGCTAGCGACAAAGCTGCTGTGGAGTCGTCCTTGTTCGTATTTCTCTGTTTGATAATGGAAATAAGAGTTCAACCAGAGGCCAGTGCATGGATGCTTAATCTATCATATAATGGTAGTGGTCACTGTTTTGTCCTCCACAATTAATGTTAATTAATTAATTAATGTTGTTTGGGTGTTGACATGTTGGACGGTCCAGCACCACTTTAGTCCAGACTGTATCTCAAAAACTGTTAATTGGATTTACGTTACATTTTGTACACAGATCGATGGAGTTGTACTGACTTCAGCAGTCTTATGACACCATGAGGTTCACATTTGTGGTTTTAAGTTAAATATCTCCACAACTATTTATAGCATTGCTTATATATTTAGATCAGAGTACAGACATTCACGTGCCCCTCAGAATGAATTGTAATCACTCTGGTGGTCCTCTCCCTAAATACAGACTCATTGAGTTGGTAACATGGCTCTGGGCTCTTAATGTTGTTTAAATATACATACATTAAAAGCAAGTTTTGTTCATAATGGAGTGAGAGTTAATACTCAAGTGCAGTTAAACTGAATTTTATGCTAAACTGAGGGAAATTATCCTGATTATCATTCCTCAGTTTGAACTTTAATTTCAGTGTCAGTGTTAAAATAAATTAAAATCAAACTCAACTTACTCTTTTCTGCTTTCCACTCTTTAGTTTTTTTCATATAAACCTTGTGCCCATCAGTACCAGCCTTCTATTTGAGTCTCATTTTTTAATTTCACATTTTAATGCTTTAAGGCAAATTCAGACAATGTCCTGACCTGATTCTCAGGATGTTCTTTGGAGTTCATATGTCAAAACAGTTTCTTTTCGACGAGTAGGCTTTTAATGGTAGACTAGTATATAAAAAGAGCAGTGTATATGTTGCCCTCATCAGCCCTCGGTATCTACGGTACTGTCGAAAAACAACTACCATCACGGTTTACAAACTTTAGCATCAACTTGGTACCAAAGTATCCATTCTCGTGAAGTAGGCACTTTAATGTCGTTCATGAAGCTGTTATAAAGTTTATCTTCTTGTCTCACTTAATTCCCCTCCCTCTCCTCCCCTTAAGTACCCAGCCTCCCCCGGCGTACTCCCATCCCTCTACAGCCAGTTACAGTGTCCAGCAGGCTCCAGCTGTGGCTCATGCTGTGACTGCGTCTTACTCTCCCGCTCCAGTCCAGGCAGCCCGGCCTGTGGTCTCCGCCCCTTACCCCGCCTATCAGAGCCATCAGGCTCCCCCTGACTATGCTTACAGGCAACCAGACCCCCCAGCACCCCCACAGCCCACCACCACCCCACAGACGTACCAGGTATACTCGGTCAGTCCCCTTTCTGCTTCCCCTTTTGATATCTGCTTATAGAATGATATGTTTGTGATGAATGTTATCAATATATTTAAAGATAATATTATATAATGGCTTCTGTTTTGGGTCATAAAATGTTACTTTAAGCCACTAAGACACTGAGGCTGACCGCTATATGTGCCCCTTGTGCACCAACTCTCAAGAACATATGGCATCTGAATTTAAAGGATGCTGTAATTCTACCCTCAGTGGCTTTAATGCAATGATATTATATCTGTGAGGTTTTTTATATCATGCTGCAGTTAGCTACTAAATTTGCTGCTTTACTATGTGATTAAATGTTCTCTTGTAAACACCAGCAGGACAACTATAACTACGGGCGCCCTGCAGCTGTGACTACCTATGACAATAAACAGTACTACCAGACGACTATAGCTCCGGCTCAGAGGACACCCACAGAGAATTACTACCAGACTGGTGAGTTTATTTTTACTCTCAAGTTTCAGTTGTTATTAGAGCTGAGTGATTGTTCAATATCAAACTGGAACTCTGCTTACAGATCTCTGGGAGTATTACTGTATATAAAAAGTTGTTTAAAACCTTTTGTGAATCTGATAAATTGCTCCATCAACATGGAGGTATAATCATAGATAATAAAGGTCCTCGGGTATATACTGGCTGAATAGTAATGAGATTACAGTGTGTGTGGATTTGAACAGTTCATATAACTTTCACAAACAAGTGTTTCACATCTAATTAACACTGTAGAACACAGACACACACACTTCAGTCTTGCTGGGGGATTTGTGGATCATCAGTTCAGGTATTATTTACTTTGCACTTTTGAAGGGTAATATGATATATAAGGAATGTGTGTGCTGCTCATGAAATGAGGATCCTTCCTGCCTTGCCAAAAACTCTCGGACAGGCAGTCCCAGAGGATTCAATGGACGTTTCGGATCTCTATTGCTCTCCTCGCTCTAATGCCCTTCCTGTCCACCTCCACTCTCTCTTCTCTTTGCCCCTCACCCTAAACCCCCCCCACCCTTTTCTGTGTCAGTGGGAGTAAAGAGTGCTTACAGTCCAGCCCCCTCCACGGTGTACAGCCAGCCTCCTCCTCCCCAGAGGCAGGTAACGGCCCTGAAACCTCTGGCCCCCTCCAGTGCTGTGTCCACCAGCTACAACATCTACCCAGTGTCCACCAGTGTCCAGCAGCCGCCCACACCCATTTCGTCCTACACCCTCGGCTCCTCCTTTGGCTCCACCGTTCCAGCCACCACCTATTCAGGTAACTTAAGACAAGAGATAAGATAAGATGGAAATTCATGCCAAAATGTTTGTGCTCAAGATGCTTTATATTAGTCATGGGCAATATAACCAAATATTTCAGATTGTGTGTGTGTGTGTGTGTATATATATACTTAAGATTACTATAGGTAATTTACTATACATACATGAAGGAAACAATTTTCATTGTGAAAACTGCAACTTAGTCTAAACAGAACTTAAAAAATAAAAAGATATAGATGTATACTATTTTACATTTCTTTTATTGAAAAGAAAACATTTTATAATTATGTTAGATATAAACAGTGTATGTAACAAGAACAAGGAAGCGGCACCGCAAAATTCATCTTTGAGAAATAATAAACTATACAAGCTTGGTGACAGTACTTTTTTTGTGGGTTGACCTCTGACGCCCTGCATGCAAATCTGATCGTGTCGATTAACGTTAACATTAATCTTGACTTTATTACATCCTTGATGCTTGTCAAAGCCGATTTTGGGATCATCTTTGTCCTCCTCTGCCTTTAAGTGCAGCGTATGGCTTGCATGACTGCTGGCTGTTCCTTTGTGACCCACATCTTGTGTGCTTTTCTTCTCTTTAATAACTCTCTGTCCTCACTATCTTTCTCCTGCTCTCTGACCCTCAGGCATTAGCTACTCCAGTTATGATTCAACCGGCTACACCTCCACATCCGCCCCCTCCTATTACCAGCCGGCCCAGCAGACTCTTACCCAGCCACAGCCTCCACCTCAGCATCAACAGCAGTCGCAACAGCCCCAACCCCAGCCCCCCATCCAGCCACCACCAAAGCAGCTGACAAGTTCTTCCTGGAGTAACTCAGGCAGCAACATGGTGACAGCTCCGGCTGTAAACACCTACAAAAAGCCCACATTTCACCAGAACAAGCTGCAGAAGCCCAAAGGGCCTCCCAAGCAGCCCCAGCTCCATTACTGTGACATTTGCAAGATCAGCTGTGCAGGTCCCCAGGTAGGAGTTTATGATGGTTGAATTAACAAGATTTTGCTTTTAAAAAGCTTTTTCTCTCTGTGCATTTGGAAGCTTCATCTTGCTAACTGGTTTGATTAACTGCATCAGACATACCGAGAGCACCTTGAGGGCCAGAAGCATAAGAAAAAGGAGGCAGCCCTTAAATCCGGGGGGCAGGCGGGGGCCAGCAACGGCCCCAGAGGCGTCCAGACTCAGTTACGATGCGAGTTATGCGACGTCTCCTGCACCGGAGTGGACGCCTACGCTGCTCATATCCGTGGGGCCAAACACCAGAAGGTTAGCACAGCTGTCATGCTTTTATCTTTTATCCTCAAGTGTTTCAACACTTGTTGTGTATTTAAAAAAATAAAGACTCCTAGATATTGATGTAACATGTTTTGTTATTGGATGTGACTGTGGTGTACTCATGTGATGTTCCATCTGAGCTGCCAAGTCTTGGAACAAAACCTGCCCAGGGATTTGGCATGGGATTACGTATCAGCAGTCTTAAACAGTTGTATATATCTCTCTTTGTTTCTTCACAAGGTGGTGAAACTTCACACCAAGCTGGGCAAACCTATACCTTCCACTGAGCCAGTGTTGGTAAATTCGGCTCCAGTTATCACAACCTCGACAGCTGGGAAACCTCCAGTGTCCACGTCCACTCCTGCCTCCGTCTCAACCACTTCAACCCCCACTGTGACTCCCAAACAGGTGGCTGTAAGCGCCACGGCCAAAACAGCACCAGTCAAGAAACCAGCTCCCTCCAAAATAACTGTCATTTGTAAGTTTGTTGATTCATTATGTAGATAATTAGGGATGTTTTTTATTTGTTTTCCTTCTAGTCTGACATTAATTTTTACCTTTTGGGATACAGCTACACAGTGAGTGCACACAAGATATGCTGTAAAAAAGGGCCATAATTTTGACAACTGCATCACTTCTTCCCTTTTTAATTGTTTATTGTAGTGTTTTGTATAATGCTCACAGAGAGGAGAGTTGGGGCATACTTGATCAGAGCTAGTCGTGTAAAGAATAAACACTGGACAGACATTGTAGCCCCTCTTCATCGTCTGTATGAGCAAAATACTGAAGTTCAGATGCAATTTTCAGACAATAACAGCACTTAATAAGCTTTGTGCACCAGCAAAATGTGCTAACATAAATAATGAAACTGTAAGACCTTGAATGGTTGAAAGGTTATTTACCAACCTTTTGGATTAGAAGTAGAGATAGAATTTAGAGATAAAAATAGATGTTGTTTTTTACCCCAAGCAAATGGGTATACAGCGTTGCTTAAATTAACCCCAATCGGTAAAATCTTGCCTGTCACATAGCCAATAAGCCTGCCAGCGCTCCAGCAGCTGCAGTGACAGCGGTGGCGGCGGTGGTGGTTGCTGCCAAGGTGGAGGAGCCCACGCAACATTCAGCTCAGAAGATGGAGCCTCTGAGTGACGATGAGGACAGTGACAGAGCTGGAGGCCAGGGAGACATCCAGCCAGTGGGACACGACTACGTAGAGGAGGTAAGCAGGAAAAGAGAGAGAATATATGTTGGTTAGTATGCTAAATTAAATTGTTTACAGTACACAATCTACAACACGTGAGTTAATGGTGTAGGCTGTCACAGCTAACAAGATGTTTTCTGCAGGGTCTTAAAATAAACACTGTCTTGTAATCTGTATTTGTATTTGCATCGGACCCTAAATCTTGGTTTTGATCAAGCTTCAGTTATAATTATTTAGTAGTATCATTGATGATTCTAATAAGTCATATTCTGCTTGTATATCAAATCAACTGTGTCCTTTTTGACATAGAGAAAAAGATCATTTATGTTACGTTTGTTGTCCTGCATGATGTGTATTTTCTTGAACTGTCTCTCTGTTTCAGGTCCGTAACGTTGACGGCAAGGTGATTCGATTCCACTGTAAACTGTGCGAGTGCAGCTTCAACGACCCCAATGCTAAAGACATGCATCTGAAGGGAAGAAGGCACAGACTCCAGTACAAGGTAAGAAAGTTGGATAATCACTGAGCTGATTCCTGTCTGACTGGTTATCCAGAGAGACATATTTAACAGGGTTCAGATACATACAGACATACAAGTATTTTTTTTTGTATTTTTGGAAGTCAGAAACTTGTCAAACAGGGTTTTGTGCAACACTGAAACAATAAGAAAACAGTCCAATGGGCAGGTTTGGTCAGTAGGAGGATACTTTGCGTTGTCTCAGCAGCTTCTCTTACCTCGCAGATGACTGCATGTGCATTAAATGGTGGTCACAGGTCATATATGCTCCCTTTTAACCACAACTTACTGTAATTTTTGGACAGCTTCATTGAGACAGTCAAAGAAATTGCTGAATCAACATAGAAATATGTCAGTTGAGACACCTGCACTGTGCGATGTACTGTAATAATCCACAAAATGAGCAGTCAGAATCAGATTTTGAGGCAAAAAGTTGGCTTCTCAAAGGTTCCCTGTTGGTTTTAAGACCTCTTGAAGCACGGTTTTCTGATGAGTTATTCCCCATTTTGGTCCAACCAATGGTTTCACACTATTTCACTGATCACCAGGTGGCAGTAATACGCCAAGATATGCAGCAATGTGGCAGCAAAGACAGGGACGAAAAAAGACTGTAAGCTAGTAGGCATGGATGTAAACAATGCTGGAGTTAAAATACTCAAATGTTTTATGAGGGAGAAAATTCATTCAACACGTTTGTTAGACCACACAATGAGTTTTGGTGAGTAACAGTGAATGTAAACATAAGATTTTGTTTACAAGAAACCTCCAGAGGACCCTTTAAAAGTAACTGAGGTGATGAAGACTTCATCTTGTCACTGAGTCAGTTTGGAGTGTTGTTATTATTTAAAACCTGGGTTTCTAGGGGTAAAAATTACACCTTAGAGTGGATGGAGGCCCAAATGGAAAGAAAAAGCTTATTTCAAATGTTATCCGTACTAGTGTGGCCTGAGAATGTGCACTTACATTCACTGCATTCCCCTTATGTTTGTTCTGTTCTCCCCTTTGTAGAAGAAAGTGAACCCAGAGCTTCCTGTGGAGATCAAGCCCAGTAACCGGGCCAGGAAGCTGCAGGAGAGCAAGCTGAAGAAGCAGAAGCAGAAGGCGGTGCTGAAGAGACAGAGGGATGATGAGCAGCGCTGGCACATGGAGATGAGGTCAGACTCATGGCCAAAGTTAGTTCTGACGTTTTGTTTTCAAGTTTCCTTGGTTTTCACAAAATAGACTGAACAGGGAAAGATATATTTAGACATGTGATATTAATAAAGAGGAAGCTCTAAAGTTGACCAGCTGACTGTTGATTGTTGCGTGTACATATGGGGGCGGGGAAGGGAATTTAATGCCTCATTTTATACTCTTTCCCTGTTTTCTTGACTCTTTCTTACACAGTCAATCATATGAGCTTCCTTGCATGAATAATAAAATACAGTCGCTACAGCCAGAGGAAAGTCATATTAATCAAATTGAATGTGAGCATTTTATCATGAAAACTGTACAGATTAGTTTCCTATATGTACAATGACATTTAAGCCTGTGCTTTAATTGTTGTTTTACAAGAGGAAATGCACATTTTGATTACCTTCAACTACCACAGTACATTTGACACAATGTCTGTATATTTTATGTGATCAGTGGTAGATTAGACTAAATGTTTTGGTGTTTTTTTAATGGATGACTGTTTGCTTTTAATGTCATCCATAAAATCCCCCTCAGGGAATAAATGACTTTTAATGACATGACATTAAAAACCTCCTCCGCTTCTGCAGGCGATATGAGGAAGACATGTACTGGAGGAGGATGGAGGAGGAGCAGATGTACTGGGGGGAGCAGAGACGCAGGATGGCTCCTCCACCACTTATGAGCCGCCCTGGTATGCCAGTACCCCCTCTACTGGTGAGTGTTGCATTAGCAGTTACTTTAAACTTAAAATGAACTTTCATTGAGACTTATTGCCGAGTGTGATCATTCACTTTATTACCTCTCTCTCTCAAGACGTGTGTGCGTCGGCCAGACTCTCCTGACGATCGACACATCATGGCAAAACACTCGACCATTTACCCAGTAGAGGAAGAGCTGCAGGCTGTTCAGAGGATTGTCTCCCACTCTGAGAGAGCCCTAAAACTGGTGTCAGACTCCCTGCTGGATAAGGACACACCAGCTGTTGTTACCGCTGCTACTGAAGGAGGAGATGAAAAAGGGTAAAACATTTAATTCACATTTCTCTGTTGGTAAAAACAAGGATTAATATGGTGAAAGCCTAAAAACACATTTCTTGTCTGGCACAAGCGAAAAGCTGCACAGAGCTACAAAGGTTACATTGGCATGTGCGCTGCGCCAGCTCTAATGGCGTTAATAAACAAATTAAACACAACAAATGTCAAGAAAGGAAAAGAAACAAACACTTATTTTCCACATTCAACAGAAAAATACAACCGTATACCTTCTTGTTTATACCAAACAGAGACCTTGTTAAGCGAATAAAACACACTTAATTCAAACCGATAAACAAAATTAAATTTACCAAACTGTCTTTATTAGTCTTTACACTGTTCCTCTCCTGTCCCTGCTGTGTCCTCATCTTTCCCGGAGTCAGAGACTTTGGAGCCTCTGTGACTCACCTTGTAACTGTGTTCCCTGTTGGCTCTACAGCTGTTTGTCCTCTGACTCCCTCAGTGTGTGCACTGCGTCACTGAACATCTGTCACAAAGCCACTCTTATTCTCCGGAGGCAGACCATTAAATTAGCCAAATAAAATGACAAAAATCGCCCCTTCTCTCAAAAAACAACCAGAGATGGACTGATATATTCGCCCAAATGCCCAACGCTACTACATAGATGTTTCATTTACAAACAGTATATTCAAATATACACAGTGTATTAGTATTAGGCAATTAATATATAAATGAATAGAACCAATCATAAGTGAAATGAGACCAATAACACAATGAAATAAACATTTTAAAGGCAAATACAACACACCTAAAACAACACAACCTCACATGTAATTCAGGACATGGATACAGTACGTACAGATGTGTGGTCAGGAAAGAATAGAAGCTATTGATAAATATAATGTTCATTATGTCTCCATTTGTGACCTATTAAGTTTCTGCAAAACAAACAACTGTAGCAGCTGAACTGTTCCTGCAAGTCTTCATCTTGGTCTCTATTCCTCTCCTGATAGTACTGAGAACTCAGCACGGCTGCTAAAAGGTGTGATGAGGGTGGGCATCCTGGCCAAAGGCCTGCTGCTTCGTGGGGACAGAAATGTGGAGCTCATCCTGCTGACTGCTAAGAAACCCACCATCTCTTTACTGAAGAACATTGCCAAGCAGCTGCCGAAGGAACTGGAGGTAAGAAAACATCACCCGTTAACAGATTGTTCATTTAGGTGGAGGTTAAGGGAGGGAAGAACTGTGGCGAACTTGGAATTCACAACACTGACAGTCTTACATTTGAGTTTTAGGATGGTGTGACTTACACCTGGGAATGGGATCATTTAGACGGACTGTAAACAAAATCCTGACCAAAAAAAATGGCTGGAAAAAGGCTCCCTTTGCCAGTTTCAACTGTATTTCGCTAAATATCATGTTGTCCGATGTAGTAGATTTTTAGAAAGAGGAAATTATTGTGTTTCATCCACTGCCTTATGACTTGTGTCATAAGAGCTGGACACTGAGGGACTGAAAGATTTTATAGTTATGTAACAAATAGAATGGGAAGGAGAAGTTTTCCCTCTTGATGCTTTTTTTATCGAGCGTTTTAGCAACTGAAATACAAAACAGAAAAATCCCACTGCGGAATCACTTCATCCTAGATGGGTTTTTCTCATATGCTAGAGCTCATTTATTAGTAGTGAACATGTACAGCTGCCCCCACAGCCAGAAACAACACCACAGTTTGTCGTCCACACATGTATTTATGATTAAAATCTTAGCTGTGAAAGTAAAATCACTACAGTTGACTGCTGTTATTTAGCTTTCTGTGGGTATACGTATACATGTTTGTTGTTTCAGAGCGGACAGCCCTGCTTCTCTGTAAAGCTAATTTCTGTAGATCAACTTAGTATTTTTCTTACTTATTCTTATTAGAGGACTTCCATGCTGTGTATTCTGCTGTGCCATAGGGATACTGTGTGGTTTCTAACTTTGGGGGAGATTTTTTCATGTTCACAAATGACTGAACTGCTTCTGGCATTAAGAGAAAAACTCAGCGCAATGCTTTTTGAATTTACTGGCACTTCCATTTAAGGAGCACAAGACAAAGGATTGACACCAAGTACAAGGTTGTGAAGTGTTGTAATTCCTCACTCTTCCTCCCTCCTGCTTTAGCTGTAATGAGTGTTTCATTGAAGGTGCTTTTGACTGATCTTTAGATTCACTGCCTGGTTATGACACCTGAATCCTACAGAGTGAGATGGGGCTTTTCTTAAACCGTCCTATGGCTTTCCTAAATATTACAGTTACAAAGATATAATGAATTGCTGAGAAATATATTCGTGGCAACATCACCAACCCGGTTTTAAATAAGGGAACTACTTTGAGAAATAAAATTGCAAAACCCAGGGTTAAAAACAGTAACAGTATTGCCCCCGTAACCTTGCCAAACGAGGCTATTCTTTGCCCCTACACCCCTCCTCCTCTGTAGTGAGTAATCCCAAGTGTCCTTTTAACCGGCAGACATTTTCTGAAGATCAGTATGAGGTGCAGGCTCATCCCGAGGAGGCGAACATCGTGATATTTTCAAGCAAGGAGCCCAAAATGCAGGTGACCATTTCTCTCACCTCGCCGCTGATGAGGGAGGACACTGCTGCTGAGAAGGACAAGCAGGCAGGAGGAAAAGCGGCTGAGAAAGGTTAGAGAAGCCAAAGCTTTCAGTACCAGACAACCAAATGTAAGCGATGTGTGTAATACACTTATATACCCCTTGCTCCACCCTTCCACCCAGTAGCAGCCTAAATTTTAGGCTGAAAAAGCTCTTAAATTACACAAAATGAGAGAGGTGGGACTTTTAACCAAGCCCACATTCAAGTTTGTTTGTTTTTTTTCTTTAACCCCTAAAATAAGAATTAACTCACGCATTCATTTGTCCCACTCTTTTCATTTCCCGCATTTTTTGCAGTTACACTAGTCCCCAATTTCTTTATTTCTTTTCCACAACATGGGAATCAAAAGCCGGGCTCTCCGACCTTTCTGTGCCACTAGGGTGTGTGTTTATCTGGTGAACACACGCTCAGATAAAACCTTTTGGGAAACTATAATAATAGACTGAAGTAATGATCAGTGTTCAGATAATGCCCAGGGATGAAAGTGCTTCAAATTGTGATACTGTTTCTACAAATATCCTCATTTATTTATTTTTAGACCTGAGAAAAGTTTTGCTTGTTGCATTTTGGCCATGACACCTATGAGGAGATTTTGAGGTCCAGCGACTTCCCATTCCCTCATGTCTCATCCCTGCGTCATAATGTGGCATTATCAATGGTAAGGTGTTGGAGTGTCATTTTATCGCCTCACAATGATCTATATTTAAATAATAACAAGATGACAGTACATTCATTGTCATTACTTCCCCCCACCATTCAACAATGAAGGTAATTTCCAAGATCATTGTGTTGCAAACACTCCTCCGCCTGCTTCAGTATCTGTCAGTATTTTAATGTGTTTTTTTCCCATTTGGAAAACATGGTAGAAATGTTTTCTCTGGCAGTTGTCTTTTATTTTTTCAATTTTGTTTGGGTTTGTTGATCAGTGCCCCTAATTCTGTATCAGCAGACCTAGGCAAGCCAATGGCTAATCTGAAGACCACACTTGTACACATACCACTAAGAATAGAACAATTAAAGGAACCAGGTCGCCCATGTTTATTAAGCTTTTCAGAGGAGGAAAAAAGCCTCTTGTTCACTCTCATCAGAGGGGCTCCAGCTGCTGCTAAATCAAAACTCCCAACTCTAAGAGGCATGATAAATATGGGTCTTTGATTCTAAGTGGTATGGTAGTGTAGACTTCAATAAAGTGGCTTTGTTTTTTTGTTATGTATTTCCCCTGTAAGAAAGCTAATGTCCTCTGTTGTTGCAGCAGTTCTAGTGAACATAGAAGTGTGGAAAGCCCCGAGGCCGATCTTGTGAAATATTACTTCATCATCAGAGACCACATTGAATGTTTTGGACAGACTTGTCATGTGTTCTGTGTCTTTAAAATTTTCCTCAAACTCTGTCCACAAACTTTTTTTTCCTATTTATTTAACTCCAACACAGACACAAACATAACTTTTAGTGTTACTAATTAAGTTAATCTTGGGCTTTGCCATATTGTCTAAAAGATCTGACTTCACTTTTTGATGCTGATATAGAGAAAGAAGTATCCTTGCTCTCATGCCGTTATCTGCTTACGAAGATTCCTTAATTGCAGAGGATTGATGGGACCCATCGCTATCTATGAATTAGATTGTAGTGCTGATTAAAAACAGTTGGAGTAGAGTGAGAACATCTTCAAAGGGATAAAGTCCATGTTTCAGTTGTTGCAAAGTCAAATGCAAAAAAAGAAGAAATCCACAACACTCAGAGTTTGAGTTTATTAAGGGAAAATTCTAAAAGTTTTCATATGAACAGTTTAAAAATGTAACTTTTAAATAATTACGAATTTCCAGTATGAACATTGTAACAGGACTTAGTGGTGTGAAGGACGCCAAATTTAACATTGTTTAGATTTAAAAAATGTGTCAAAAGATGGGGCTCAATGAGCAGTTAGAGAATAAAGGTTACGGCACTTTTTAGACGTGTTGAAAGTGATGAAACTCATAATGCGTGTAGTGAGATGGAAACTGGGACATGATGATGGAAAATAATCTTTAAATAGTCTTTTATGCGTCTTTCTCATAGCAGATATTTTGACTTGACATAGCAGGAAAATGATTAACGATCTGTCTGCCAGTCGGCTGTCAGCTGGGACCGACTCCAGCCCCCGGCAACCCTGCAAACAATAAGCTGTTACAGATGATGAATGGATGGATGGATGGATGGACAGTTAAATGTTTGACAAGTCAAAATGTCTCTCTAGTGAAAGATCTACTCTGTCAGACAAATTTGAGGTCACTATTAAATCAACTAGATCAGGTAACAAGAAAACAACAAGAAAATATGTGTGTGATTTAGTCATGTTAAACAATGAGCTAAATATAAACTCTTAATCACTCTTCTCTCTGAATGCCTTGGATTTCCTTCTTATTTGCATGTGCCTTCCACTCCAAAGAACAAGCTGGTGATTGTACTACTTCTTTGCGTTTCTTTTTTCCCTCTCAGAATACCATCTGTGAAACACAGAAACACTCTAGTCTTCCTTATCCGATGGTCGAATGCTCTTTATTTTAACAAACTGAGTTTTTAAGGATTCAAGGAAATGTCTGGTCACATGACACAAACATGAGCATCCAGTGTTTTTTATAATTTCATCCCTGATCCAACATCTGTACATCGACACTTACTACGTATTGCAGTCATGATTTGGATGTTGCATTAGTTTGACTGTAAGTCATGAGCTAGTACATGTTATCTCCACCAGATGTGGCTGAGAAGGACCCTCCTGATCTTCTGAATAAGAGAAAATGTCTGGAATACCTGGCTGCTCTCCGTCACGCCAAATGGTTTCAGGTAAATGCACCACAAGAGCTCTCTTTCCCGTCTTTGTGTCACCCTGTTCAAACTTAAAAAATAAGTATAATTCAAGCAAAATAGCCACAATCTAGTCATTTGCACACCTCTGCTTTCCTATAGTGACGTGATAAAATGTCTGCAAGTTGCTACATTTTGATCTGTCAGACATATTAACATAACAACAATAACATTAATAATGGCTGCATTACATTTAGGAGCACCAATGACTCTGACCTGAATGCAGTGGAGCCAGCATTACTGTTGTTAGTATACCTGTGCGTATCCTTCTGAGTCACATTGACCTAAAAAGGTCTGTAATTTGTGATCAGATATTTATGACATGGGTAGATCTTTATGGTAAGGCTACATGAATTGTCAGGGATCCATTCATTTAAGGACTAATAGTATAACTGCAGACTTACCTACGATGAAGGCGGGAACATTATTAATAACTAGGATGTCATGATGATCGAAATACTTTAGTTGCTTCATTAATTAATGTATTGTTAAGTCAGGTATGAGATCCTGTAAATTCTTGTACCCTCACTATAAAGTGTGAAAGGTATATTGCAGAAGTGGTTAACCATGGGAATTAGTGAGCCAGTGAGCTGATCTCACTTCCTATCTGGCTAAAAAACAGATGGTGGAGCTTTGCTTTAAAATGACAACCACATTATCTTAACAATAGTCATTACATGGTATTCTGCTTTCGTTGTGGTTTTACAGAAGAAAAAATTGTGATGTGACGTTTGAGAATAATGCCTACTTCCATCTTTTGTTATTGGGACTGGTTGTTCGGTAGGCTGTAACATAACTATGGAGGAAGTCATATAACTGAAGCATCCCATTATAACCTGAATATCACTGTAATGAGGAATTGTTTTGATTTACATGTTTTAAAACGTTACTTTGAAAAAAAATTGGTTAAAGGTCCAGTGTGTAACATTTAGGAGGATCTATTGGCAGAGATTAAATATAATGTGTTCTTTTATACTGTGACTTGACTATGATGATTTTTTGCAGTCTCAATCTTGAGATAGGACCTTTCACCTTATTTGCAAGTTTCACGGCTGCCATAGTTTCTCCTTTACACTTTGAAGGCTGAGCTGTATTCAAATCGTTCTAATCTGTAACTTCACCGCTAGTCGCCACTAAATCCCAAACACTGGTCCTTTTTAAAAGTTCTAAAATCTGCGGTTTTATAAAGAGTGTGCAGCCATCTTTTCAACCATTTCAAGATTTCAACTCACAAAACAGATCTGTATTTTTGACATGTTTTTATTTTGACCAGTTAGATTTCATAGACTGGACTGCTGATAATGACACTATCTAAAATAAATGCCTTTTTCTTGTCAATTTATGTGTTTGGGGTTTTTTCTCTACTCTAGGCTCGAGCCAACGGGCTGCAGTCCTGTGTGATCATCATTCGGGTGCTTAGAGATTTATGCCAGCGGGTTCCCACCTGGGGGAAGATGCCCGGCTGGGTAAGCAGTGTTTAACTGTGTTTTTAATTTTCTTTTTTTTGGTGGGATGCGAACCTTCTCCTAATACGTTTTTAAACATTGTGTCATCTCATCTCTGCAAGCTCGTTGTACGTTTTGATTTTAACTTTTAACTAATGTTTGTTGTGAATTTCTGTCCTTTTTGTGTCTCTACTGGTGCCTTAGAGACAGAAACAGTAACCTAAAAAGTATATTTCCAAACATTCAAATGTCATGACCAGCTGTTTAATGAAGAGTCAATACATCGAGAGGTAGAGCGGACTTCAATCCACTGTCTGGAGTGTATTCTTCTGTTTCAGTGTGTCTGTTTCTCTCTGTATGTTCCTCCCTCCAGGCGATGGAGCTGCTGGTAGAGAAAGTGATCAGCAGTGCTGCAGGCCCGCTCAGCCCCGGAGAGGCCATGCGCAGAGTCCTAGAGTGCATCTCCACAGGCATACTGCTGCCAGGTCAGACAAATATACATGGTAATGAGATGTAGAAGAAGATTATTTCACAGTATCAGAAAATATTTTCATGCTTATACAGAACTTTTATCACTTCCAAGAACAAGTTTGATTGTTTCATGTCATTTTCTTGTCTGCTGTGCCTCCCTCTGTCAGACCTTTTTGAAAGGTGACAGTCACTCTTTAGTAACTTCTTGTAGCACATGTACAGTTTTAATGTGTTTCTCCTCTCCTCACTCAGATGGACCAGGCTTGATGGACCCCTGTGAGAAAGAGCCAACAGATGCTTTGGAGAGCATGATGCTTCAAGCCAGAGAGGACATAACTGCCAGTGCACAGGTACCCATACAGAGCATTTGTATCGATTCTGACTGGCTGGAAGGTGTGGTTCCACTTTTAGTAAGCGGCAGTATAAGACTGTGTGTGAAGACAGCAACAGAGCTAAAGAGCTTGGTGCTGAAGTTATTTGTGTAACCACCAATAACAAGTGGGGAAAAAATAGTTGCTCTGTGAAAACCACGCAAATTTATTTCAAGAGTGTGTGATATTTCTTTAAATTTGGACATCCAAGTCGACTAACGGTCGTGGGAGGGAAGAGTGGACTTTAAAATAACTGTAGCCACGGTGAAGCTGGTAGCCTGTAGGGGAAAGGAGAGGACCACAACCTTTGTTGCATGACGTTACCCCCATTTCCTGTGGGCCTCTAAGCTGTCAAATGTCAAAACAATTGTCTAAAAAAAGATGCCTTCAGCTGCACAAACCTTCATTTCTCTTTCCTGTTTTCTCCGTTTCCAGCATGCTCTGCGGCTGCTTGCTTTCCGTCAGATCCACAAGGTTCTGGGCATGGAGTCTCTGCCAGCGTCCAAAGCCAGCGCTCGCAACCGCAAACGCCGGCGGGACGGCAGTGAGACAGGCGAAGGCGAGGGCGAAGGCAAAAAAGACAAGAAGGAGGAAGCGGAGAGTGCTTGACCTCTACCTCCAGAGCGGGAGGCGTTTGCTAGTTTAGAGACTGGTAGAATGTCACAACTTTAAAACTTTTCTTATCTTGAAAACAATCTTAACACGCAGCTATACACATATGAATATAACTGACTGTACATGTTACATGTCTACCCTTGAATTAGGAAGAATAATATGTTGGAGGAAGAAACTGAAGTTTGAGAATCTGTACTGCAATCGCTTCTCCCGTATCGTAAACTCCTGCAGAGAAAACTGGTCCAGTAAATAATCATGATAATTACTGATAGCGTCATTCCATTTCGGTGTAATTGCACACTCACTTCTTAGGGGTGTAATGGTACACACAATTCACGGCTTTGTATGGGGATGACTCGGCTTGGAAGCTTTATTCAAATCAGTATTCGAATTTGAGCGGTCCACCCAGGTGTATTAACGGCCTGCAACCCATTTTAGCATTTTGCAGAGAGACACATTGTTACGGTACAAGGTGCAGACACTGTGGATCTCCTGTTTCACAAACACGGACCAGGTAGAGCTTTCTGTACGTTGTTGGTTTCTGTCGCTTCGATAGGTTACGTCATTCACAACAAGGGTCCTCCACACGCTGCTCACCTGCTGAATCACGAAAACATAAGTTGTGTTCTTTCTACGACTTTATAAAACCTACTGCTGATGAAGAAAGTCAACAGACAGGCGGAGAGAAACTGAAGGGAAATGCTAGGTGAGCGGATTAGAGTAGTTTGAGAGTAAACACTAATGAGACGTTGCGTTCCTGTCCCCTTCAGAGCCAACTTACCCTCTCTCACCACTAACATGTGTTCCAAGCGTGTGAGTAGTAGACATAAATAATAATAATTGTTTGGGTCACAGGGCGTACCGAACAGTTCAGGACGAATACACTTACCGTTACACCCCTACTAACTACTGACCACCTCTCCCCATTAATTCACTATAGTTAAACCAACACTGTCAACTACAGTTGTATTGTTTTCTATGATGTTAAAGCCTCCAGTTAAATCATCAGCACCTTAAGCTTTATTTCCAAAACAGTCTACCGCTCTTCAGGCTGGTTTAGTTTTACCATCCGACTCTTGAGTCAGAACTCGCTGAACTAATGTTGGTGCATGACATCTGTGTTTGAAAAAAGAAAGATGGGTGTGAAGATGATTTGCGAGTGGCAGCGTTTAGGATCTACATACACACAGTACTGTGATGTTTATTGTGCCTGAGGTGACACACGAACCTCCTCCTTGAACTCTTCATGTCGACTTTACTCCCTCTAAAGTGTCCTGTAAAGCCGTTTCCACATTTTGAGAACTTGAGAGTTAAGTGGAGAAAGTTTTGAAATCCAAACGGCCTGCATCACACCTTTCAAAAACAAGGCTACACTAAAATAACTTCCCTTGAAAATGCGTCACTAGGGTTTTAGTAAGAAGTGTACAAAGACGAGAAAACTTTTGCTTTGTGCAGCATCGCCCATGAGGTTTTTCTGCAGAGGTCACACTGGAGGTTAAATCTGTCTCGGAAGAGAGAGAGAAGTCTTATGTTGCACAGTCTGTAGCATGCTGAGGAAATGAAGCACTTAAGAAATGACAATGTTACTGTATGCAGCCATAATTTTATCATTTAAATAATAATGCCTAGTAATCTTTTTTCTTCCAGAGTATGGTTAGCAGAAGAGAGAAGCTTTAGTCCGAATTATAAGACTGAATATCTACTGTAATGATCAAGTAGTCCTTTGACTTTCTTCCTTGTGCCTCCATCATGTTGTGTGTTACAAAAGTCTGAGTACGGGAACATTTTGAGTTGTCAGGTTAATATTGTAATGATCTTATTTCACAAAGATGTAGAACAGGGAAGGGACAGTTGCACAACTCGTTTGGCTTGAAAGTTGACGTTTGAGAATTGTTGTGCAGTTTTAGTTTGATTTTTCATTTACCAAGAGCATCATATAAGTATTGATTATTTTATTTCTGAAGGATGTTGCAATCTATTTTGTATTGTTTAAACGGAAAGTGTGAACGTTGCTGTCTTATTATTTGAATGTCTTTGTAGTGTTGCCTAAAATTAATGGGAGATATTAAAACACTTTTAAGCCACTTTGTCTTCTGGATTGTGTTTTAATAAAGGCTCAAACATTTTTCTTTCACATTTTGGAGATTTTGCTTCCATGTCTTTCAAAAATGCCAGAAATACACATTTAGGTATTTATTTTACTACACCTTGTCTATCTGCATCTGTAGATTTCTCCTAATTTCACCAAACCTAGCATTAGGTAAAGTATGCTTTACATATTTAAACATCAAATTTCTGAAAACTTTTAATATATAAAATAATTTTGGTCTTAATGTAATAAATCAACTGGGCAGGTTTTATGGTGATATCTATTATCATTTTTACCTTACTCACACATGTCTTGCAAAATGTAAATTTTGAAGGATGTTTTTTCTGTCGTACTCGTGATTACAGGAGCACTAACAAACAAACTATTTTTATTCCTATCTGTATTCTGAAGGTTTTTACAGAGAGGTTTGGTCATAAATAATTCATAGCCTGATTTATGTAACATTTTTTCCCTGGCTGCTGACAGTATTTTCTGTTTTATGGAGCAATACAAAGAGAGATCTAAAATTCATTTGGTAAAATTCTTTGACTCTAATATGTGAACAAATGAAACAAGAATTTTTAACCTGGGTTTTGCCTCATTTGCATATTTTAAAAAAAAAAAAAAAACTTCTGTAAACTTAATGTCTTAATGGAGGTGATCAACTGGGTTAGTGTCATGTTGATTTATATATATATATTAGTTAAAATGTGAAACGTATTCATCTGTAGTGTCTTGTTGTCAAGAGGCACGTTTTATTGTGGCTCTACCTGATGTTTCTTCCATTTGTTTGCTGGTCCACTGCAGTGTGTAAATATAATGAAATATTCATAGGTATGTTTTCCAGCGTGTATAATCTACTGAATATAGCAATCATTACGTTTTTGTTACATTACAATGAGTTGTTTTCATCTACAGACACAGCGGGTCCTCTTCTACAGAGTCTGCCATGTTGATGTTTCTACAGTAGCCAAGAACGGACAAACCAAACACTGGCTCTAGATGGGGGCGTTTTTACGCACTTTGCGCATTTCATAGCCACCGTATTTCTTGTTGTGACAGAGTTGCAATTTTTAACTCCACCACAAGATGCCACTAAATCCTACATACTGGTCCTTAAAATGGGTTGGGGGGTTTTTCCTTACCTGAATTGTGGGTCTAAAGAATATGGAAACACATTTCTGCCAGTAAAATAAAAAAAAAACCTTAATGTTAAGTCCAAATTACTAGATGCAAAGATGAAATATCATAATTACGATTTTATGAATTATGAGTAATTTGACTTGTTCTGAAGAATTTTTTTTTTTTATTAAAGCTATTTTTTCATCTTATTTGTTTATTTTACTGGCGCTAATGGACTTCTGTAATATACAGAGGGATGTTGAATATTGTACAGACTGTAAAGCCCCCAGGGGCGAATAAATAAATCAAATTTGACTCGATATTACACAGGAAAAGAAATCACCCACAGCGTCACTTCTCGCGTCGCCTCATGAATAATGATTCAAATAAATATTGAGGAAGTGGAGTGACAGACTGACACCACAGCTGCATTACATGTCTGGCTTCATAAATATCCACAGATTCGGTTCCCGCTTTTGTTTGTGTCAATAACGAAATTTGACAGAAAATATCACCGCTGACTGAGACGAAGCTCGGACGGAGGCTGCGGAGGATCTAGAAAGTCCAGTTCTTGTGATGTTTCCTTTCAGTTTAGTGAGCCAGCAGCTGTCCTGAAGAAGAAGGAGGATCCGCATCTGTCCACACAGCCGCAGGTACTGAAACATTAATGTCGACACGAAACCAGACTGGGCGAGCTGTCCGGTGGTTCACTTTTAATTTATGCGACAGGAGCAGCTTTTTTCTGCTTTATTGTATTTGTTGGAGCCTCATTGTGAGTTTCCTCGACAGCAGCTACTCTTATCGAGGAAGATAATAGTGTGTAGGCCTTCTTATATTATTACATGGATTGTTATATATGTGTGTGTACTATGGACAGAGTTTAATGTGTCCACATCTGTCCTCTTTGACAGGTGTTAAACAGAATTATCCAGCCCTCCTGTCCTGCTCATGGCAAAGGTATGTAGACTCCTGTGGTTCAAAATCTTTAAAAAACTACAGTCTGAATGTATCAACTCTGTGCGGAAGTATGAATACTTAATACATTGTAAAAATACTCTGTTACATGTTAAAGTAATGCATTAAAATATTACTTTTACATGATACATTAAATTATTGTTACTTACGGATTAATTGGATTTTACTGTTATAGGTGGAGCTCATTTTTATAGCCTAGTTTGTATTGGACTGCAACTAATCTAATTTATCTGCTGATTAGTCTCTCCATTAATCGATTGATTGTTTAATTTGAAAGAAAATCTGAAAATAGTGAGAAATGTCATCACAGTTACCCAGAGCCCAAAATGACATCGTCACAGTGCTTGTTTGTCCAAATAATAGGACAAAATTCTATTCAATCATCCTTTTAGCTTCTTCTAATTTCATATGTAAAGTAACTAAAGCTGTACTATAAGTATAAAGTATTGTACTTCATACTTATTACACTTCCAAATTGTAGAGGTTATAAAGTGGCGTGAAAAGAAAAAAGTAAAGTACAAGTACCTCAAAGTTGTGAGTGAGATCTGTTAAATCTCTAAACTCTTAAGCAACCAAGAGTTTAACGTGTCAAACATGGAACTTAATCATTAATGATTACAGGATAAAACCAGGGACAAATGTTCTTTCTGTTGATTTTTTTGGTCCTAACAATCTCCTGGGAAGTTTCCTATAAAGAATTATGTAATTTGACATTGATTATAGGTCCAATATAGACATTGTGAAGTTGTGTAGTACTGCAGGTCTACAGCATATACCCATTTATTTTCCAGTAAGCATTGGGTGTAAATCCCCTCTGATGTGTTGTAGTTGTCTCACTAGTCTCTGAGCCAGTTCTGACTGCAAAATCTGCACCTCTCCTGTGACTAATGTTAATTTCATAATGATCCTCACTGCCTGGCTGAGATAAATATGCAAGAGTAGTCTTACATGTCACTGTTTATAACAATAGCCGCTTTAAAAAGTAAATTGATGCATAAATAAAGAGTAGGCCTATATCCACTTCTCCAGCCACCACTACACCTCTGTACACCTCAGATAGATAGATAGATAGATAGATAGATAGATAGATAGATAGATAGATAGATAGATAGATAGATAGATAGATAGATAGATAGAAATACTTTATTTATCCCCGAAGGGAAATTCTAATGTTATAGGAGCTGATTAAGAGTCAGTTATTATTAGAAAGTCTTATTGCAGCGGGGTTGAAAGAGTCTGTTGCTGAAGCTGCACTTTAGCTTGTCCAGTGTTGTGTAGAGGGGTGGGAGGGATTGTCCATGATTGCCAGCAGTTTTGCCAGCATCCTCTCCTCCACCACCTCCTCCAGGGTGACAAGCTTAGAGCCAACAACAGACTCAGCCTTCTTAATGAGTTTGTTCAGTCTGTTGGCGTCCTTTGCCTTGATGCCCACACCCCAGGACACCGCAGCAAAGAAGACAAACTGGTGGAAGGTTGGGAGTGTGGATGAGAGAGAAACGTAGTTGAAATCTCCTGTGATGATGATGAAGTCCTCCGGGTGTTTCGTTTGTAGTCCTGCAGTCACAGTGTGGATGACGTCACACGCTGCTTCTGCTTTCCCAGACGGAGGAATATATAGACAGTGATGATGATGAAGGATGATGATGATGAATATAGACAGTGATGGTGATAACACTGGAAAGTGGCAGATAACATGGACGAAGTCTGACGGCGACAAGCTCGATGTCCGGGCTGCAGACACGCTCTTTCACACAGATGTGCCCGGGGTTACACCACCTGTTGTTTATGAGCACGGACAGTCCCCCTCCTTTCTTCATGCCGGTCGCAGTGGTGTCCCTGTCGGCTCAAACCGTCTGGAAGCCGGGAATGGTGACGTTGGAGTCCGGTATCTGCTCGTGTAGCCACGTTTATGTATAGTTCCATTTAAATACTTTATTCAACAACAAGAATGGAGTTTATAATAGTTAATGAATAATGAGAAAATCTGTATTTTTTTATTTGAGTTTAAATGAAACAGTTCTTTAAAGATGGAAATCAACAGTGAAGTTTAAACTCAACGCAGCAGCCACAGGGCTTTGTGTCTCTCTGTTCCCCATCATCAGTAACAAACTACATGGGTCTTTGAAATGTTATATATATAATCATCCTGTTTAATATCAGACAGACAGGGTGTTACAGGGTCTCTTGTTATTTTTCCTTTGCTGCTGCAGATGAGCTGGGCTGCCGGTACGCAGTGTGTAGCCAAGGGGGACCACAGGAAACCAAAACCAGGAGAACTGGCGTACCACAAAGGAGACATCCTCACTATTATCGACACAAGCACGGTACTGTTGCCTGTGAATGGAGCTACAGACTGCGTTTGTTCTCAGAGTCATTATTTTTGACACCAAACTTTGTTCTTTTCTAGAAGAAGGGCTATTACAAAGCCAAACACAACACCACAGGAGAGGAGGGACTCATAAACTCCACCAATGTGCGTGAAAGAGAGGCTCTACGTGTGGACCCCAGCCTCAGCCTCATGCCGTACGTCCTCTCAATTTTACCCTTTTTTCGCCCAACTGTGTGTCATCACATGCACGTTTACATGCAGTTTACAAGCAGTGTGACTGTCACATGGAGGCAGACTAGTTTCTAACTTTAGCCGTTGCTTTGGTCAACCACTTGTGACCACACTGGTGCAAAGAAACCTTTTCTCAGAATTAATCACTTCAACTTCCTCTTCCTGACGAGTGAACCACTGAATGTTTGACATGTTTTCACGTCCTGCCTGTTCTTGCATCTGCAAGTTATCTTGAACTTATTTGAGATGTATAATGTATCAGTATGATCACAGGTTTGTTATGTGTATATTTTTGTGGCTCACCCTTTGCTGTCTTTAACCAGTTGGTTTCATGGGAAGATCTCCGGTCCAGAGGCGGTGAGCAAGCTGCAGCCGGCAGAGGATGGTCTGTACCTCGTTCGAGAGTCCATCCGCCATCCCGGAGACTACGTCCTGTGTGTCAGCGTCTCCGGAGAGGTCATCCACTACCGCGTGATTTATCAGGACAACAAGCTGACCATCGATAACACACAGTACTTCTACAACCTCATTGACATGATAGAGGTAAGAAGCTCCACTTCTACTGTCTTTACCCAGAACAGAGAGAAGGGAACTTCACCTACTTCCAAGGTGCATGGACAAATGAAACTCCAACAACACTTGTTCTAGAAATAACAACTTTGTTGTGAGATTAACATGTTTTAGCTTGTGGTCAAATGAAACCCACAAGCTAAAACATGATTTATCTCACATATAAGTTTCTTTCTGTTGCTGGAGTTTCCACAAAAAAATTGTAATAACAAAATACTGCAGTGGATGAAGTTACCACTCAATAAAGTCAATCATACCTTATCTTAATTTTGTGCTTTGCACGCAGCTCTGTGGCCCTGTATACACTGGCATTAACATGAGTTTTGGGTGATCTGATCAAAAGTGAACACTTAGATCATTTCCGTGTACAAAGACCAAATACGCTGTTGCTTATCTACAATACTCAATGAATTAAACATTAAAAGCAGTTCTGAAAAGGTGGGTTTTGATCAGTGATTTGAAAGTTGGCTGTATCAGTACAGTCTCGGATTTGTTTGGGGAGAGAATTCCAGAGGGAGGGGGCAGCAATGGAGAAGGCTCTGTCGCCTCAGGTACGATGCTTGGTCCTCAGTGGTGGAGACAGGAGGTTGGCATCGGAAGAGCGGAGGTGATGGAGCAGGTCTGCAAGGTAGGAGGGGGCCTGGTTGTGGAGGGCTTTGTGAGTGAGGAGTAGGTACTTTATGTTGAAGGTTTGCTGAATTTACAAGAAGGCCAAAAAAATTAAGAATTTATTATAGACAGCGTTTTACAAAGTTTATAAGGTTGCTCCTTACTCAGGTACCTTACAGCGTGTTTCGTTGGTACTAGTTGAGTAGGCAGTCATTCTTGTGGCCCAAGAAGCCTCACAGACAGAAGACGTGATCAAAAGCGTCCTGAACCACCTCAGCAAGCAAGTGGTTTGAGTCATCTAATCACACGATTAGCATGCTACGTAGGATGGAAAGAGTCATAGAATACTATATTGAAGTAAGAATACTGTTATTTTAAAGAACTTTTACTCAAGTCAAATAAGTACTTGGACATTTTAGAGTTTATTTTAGGGTATATAGAGAGTTTATCTAGTCATATATGATGCTACCGTTAAATTGAAATAATTCAAGTTCTTTTGGTCTACAACTGCATTAAACGTCAACAAACAACATCACGCCACCTAGCCCTAATGTCCAAACCAACAATACATTCTGTGTTGACTTTGCAGCCTGTGCATATCACTGACTAACAATTATAATCACACAACGCCCTTCCTCTGAATAGCCTCACCAGAATTAACCAGAAAATAATAAAAATAACTGCTACTTTAAGAACAGAGAACACAGAGATGTATATACAATATAAACTCCATAGCTATGGTAGCCACAAACACACATCAAAGACAGCAGCACAGTTCTTACATACTGCTCCCTCTTTGTCCCTCTCTGTAGTTGTTGTAGCCTATTCATCTGTCTGAATGTCATTCTGTGACCACTGTGAAACCACAAAGTCCTTACCAACCAAACATTTTCCACTGAAGAAGGTGTTACAGTCCCAGCTGTGTCTAAAGTAAATGTAACAAATGTTAAAGTCCCTTTAACTGTGAGAATTGTAGCATTTTGCCAGACCCAGCATGCACCAGCAATCAACAGCGTGATTTGTTTGATTTGGGTCTCTTAACGTGTATTAGGTCAGTTATAGATGAGGCCGAGGTACAGTAATGCTAACCATAACGCACAGTGGCGTTGTCCTTAATTTTAGTGCATTATTGTGCATTGTTTTACTGCTCACTGACAGCTAGGCCCAACCCGGGGGAGACTACACACTCAACCAGTGAGCATTCAACATGTATGTTTTGAGTGTGAGCTAAATGCAGAATGTCTCTGCTCACGTGCAGGTGCAGACGTATGAAAGTATATATAAGGTGCAGACCCACCAGCTGCTCTGCTGCAGCTGCCAACTTCACACCTTTCTTTTGTTCCATTGTCTCACTGTTTCTCATTAATTTTTCACTTGACCTTTCACTGCCAGTGTGGCTTAAAATGTATTTAACATTCGTTAGTGGGACACAGTGAAAAAGTACTTAAACCTACTAAAGGGAGTTTTTATAAGGTCCTGAAACTGTCTCAACTTAATACTGATGGCAAAAAACATGTCTACAGCCAGTGTTTGGTTTGTCTGTTCTGGGCTACGGTAGAAACACTGTGGTTCAAAATATAAGATAAAAACAGCTCAATCTAAAGTAACATATTTATTCTTATTTTCAGGTGATTATACACTAATGAAAACATACATTATATTCCATATCTGCCAATAGATCCTCTTAAATGTTACACACTGGACCTTTAAGTAAAAGTAAAGAACTCCCACACAAAGTATAACTGAGGGTGATTGGATTGTCATTTGTTTTGCAGCAACAACTGTGTTCACCAAATTTCATAGCAATCCAAACACACGGTCCAGGGATCACCAAAGTCAGTAAGACCATGAAAGTTTGTACAAAATTTCATCCATCCAAATCTACTAGTCCTCGGCACTCCGATGCCAGCTGTATTTACAGCCAAAGTGTGAAAACCCATCAGCATGAGTGACACCAGTGTAAAAATATACACTGCATGAGTCAAAATTAAGCAGAAAACAGGAAAGCCCAGGAAACGCAGTCCTGTTACGGTTTATCTGTGTTTGGCCTGTGTTTATGTGAGGGTGCATCCAAAGCTTCACTGCCGTGAGGTTTTGGATGTGGACTCAACAGAGACGGCCAGCTTTTGTTCAGCAGTATCTTATCAGCGAGCCGCAGATGGCTTCAGGCCTGAGTCAGACTGGCTGACTGATTCCTGCGAGGAAGCAGACTGAAGGCGTTTCATATGAATATTTGGCCTGAATCATGTTATAAATGTCTCACTGCTGGCAGACTGCTGACAATATAAAACGAGCCTCTGATGTGTCACTGGTACAATAGCTGCCGCCCGTTGATGCTTTGTATTTTGTGGTTAGGAAACAGAAAAGTTGAAGAGTATCTGTTCATAGATTGTGTGGTGCTAATTAAAGATAAATAGGGGTTTAACTTCATTGTTTTTCTGTGAAGCCACTGTCCTGCCCAGAGTGCAACTGGCTTCCTGAGTACTGTGAAGGCTCTTGCAGGGCTCAAATTATCTAGAGAACTGTATAATAATATCTACTGTACATTCATAAACCTGATGTTTGTGTCAACCGTTACAAAACACTTTACAACAAACTTTTTCCTGTTTATTACGGAAGCCCTGAGAGGCAAGAGAAGAAAATAATCTGGTGATTAATTTTATATGTCTGCTCTAAATTGTTTTTTCTCCTGTGTTTAAAAAAAAAAAAAAACATTCTGCCAGAATAATCTTGCTAAAGCCCTGTTTGCACGGGACTACTAGTATCAGGGGACCTGATGTGATTTGTTATAATTGTGGAGAACGTCTGTGATCTTAATCCCGTGCAAATCTGCCTCGTCCAAAAATTCCACCGCAAATTACACAAAGGTCCTATAATATTAGGTAATATTAGTCCCTCTGTAATTAGGGTCGTTTTTTTTATTTAACTGGTATTTTAATGTAACAGAGCCACAGTGGAAGAAGTGCTGCAAGAGTCATACAGGTCATTGATGTGTAATATTAGTAAAGTTATTATTACAGTGAATGCAGCGGTTTCTGAAGCGGTTTCCACAGCTGTCTCCACAGACTTTTCTCCACCTTTCAGTACTGAAATCGCTGCACAGAACACAGATGTGTGTTTGTAAATCACATGATCCCATGGTAATACTAGCTCGTGCAAATATTTTTTTTTTTTTGTTGGTCAGCCCTATTTTGTTTGTGTTGTTGTAATACTCATTTTCTGTCACAAGAGGCTAAAGTGCAAAACTACCCCAAATTCTAAAGAGGACTAAAAGCATTTTTTGTTTTAATTTCTCTGTGCGCTTTAAACACAAGGTACATATAATGTATGTTAGCAAGTTATGTTACATTACAGTAATGTTTTTTAAATTAAAATACATTTCCGGGCAAAAGAAAAAATAAACTAAACTTTTCTCCCACCTGCTCTTAATTCAAAAACATTTAGATCAGACTTAGAAAACAGATCCTTGACTCTTATCATCTTATCAGCGCTTACCAAAGGAAACTGACTGAATGTGTGTGGTCAATATCTGTTGTTGTGTGTTTTTCTGTCTCTAGTTTTACTCAAAGAACAAAGGCTCCATTGCTACAACTCTTCTGAAGCCCAAACAAAAACATGGAACCAAGTCAGCGGAGTTGGAGCTGTCTAAAAGTAAGTAGTTTAAATAGTAAATAAGGTCTTTTTTCATAAAATATTTAAATGGATTATTGGTAATTGAATATAATAACAGTGATTATGATAGCATGTGATGGTATATGTCGGGTTTACAGTATTGTTCATGTCTCCCCTCCAGCTGGATGGTTGCTGGACATTACGAAGCTCAAACTGGGGGAGAGTATCGGAGAAGGGGAGTTTGGTGGTGAGCTTTCTTTGATTCTATCTACCGTCACTATTATCAGCATATCAACATTTATTGACGTGTTGAGGAAAAGAGCAACATGTATAATGAAAAAGTGTCTGTAAGAGTTGCGTTGTTGTTGTTGTGTGTGTGCTGTCTTGGTTGTTGTTCTCTGATGTGTGATTGTCAACCCCAGCTGTGTATGAAGGAGAGTATATGGGCCAGAGGGTGGCAGTAAAGACCATTAAATGTGATGTCACTGCTCAGGCCTTCATGCAGGAGACCACAGTTATGACGTGAGTCTGAAGATTTGCTCATTTTTAATGTTTTTCCCACTTTTCCCACAAAAAACATTTTGACGAGGTGTGTATTAAAGGTCCAGTGTGTAACATTTAGGAGGGTCTATTGACAGAAACGTAATATAATATAAATAGTTAGTTTATAATCACCTGAAAATACCAATCGTTGTGTTTTTGTTACCTTAGAATGAGACGTTTTTATGTACAGAGGGAGTGGGTCCTGTCATGTGGAGTCCACCATGTTGAACCATCATGTTTCTACAGTAGTCCACACAAACTAAACACTGGCTGCAGATTGTGCCTTTCATGTTTTTTGTTTCACAGCCACCGTAGTATCTCAAGCACACTTGCTGAGCTGTATTCATATTGGTTGCAATCTGCAACTTCATCGCTAGATGCCACTAAATGAAAGTGAAAGTGATCATATCATTTTTAATTAAATGTATTGGTGTAACTATTTTTATTGTGTTTTTAATGTTGTTTCACTCTTCTAGGAAACTCCAGCATAAAAACCTGGTGCGATTGTTGGGGGTCATTCTTCACAAAGGGCTTCATATTGTCACAGAGCTCATGACAAAGGTACAGTAAACACATCATTTATCACTGGTTCTAAGCTGGAAAATTAATCTTAATTATAATAACAACCAGAAACAAGAATAAATAATAAAAATAGTAAACATATTAAATAAATATTACGTTACACAGTGAAACAAAATAAAATCATATATAGGAAGTGGAACCCAACAGGTTTGACCTCTGTGACCAGAATAGTTTCAGAAGTCAACATGAGTCACTGGTGGAAAATCTGCTCGATGTTGCGTCTCTTAAATAGCAGCGATGGGAACCCTCTTTCTAAACAAGAAGCTGGAGCCACGAGCGATGAATATATCTACCTGTTTCTGCAAATTCACCACCAGCAGACAGACTTTATTTTCTCCCACACCGGAGAGACGAGAAAATACACATAGAATAGAAAATACAGGATGTAATAGAAATAGAAAATAAGAGTTATACGTACAGCTAGCGAGAGTTATTATTATTTACTGGGGTTGTTTTACTTTCTCCTGGAGGAGAGACAGAGGGTAGAGCGGCACTGCAGGTTTTCACTGATCGTGTGTTTGCTTGTAGGCATGTGTTTATAAGTTAAGTACTAATTTATGTGTATGCTTTAGGATGGATGCAGATGTTTGTCATTTTTAACAGATTGCTTTGGTTGTTTCATCTCAGGCTATTGTTTCCATGTGGTTTTGTTTATGAGGGTTTTATTGTGATGTTTGGTTTTGATGCAGCAGTTCCCCTAATCCAAAACAATTGTTCTCCTATGGGAGACTGTAAAAGTAACCTTAACCTCCAAAAGTCACATTACACAATGCCCTGCTGCCACTTGAAGCCACCATTGATGCAATAACATGCCAATGATTGCAGTGCACCTTTAAGGAGTCAGAGTCTGCCTTCCTCTCCTGATTAATGACATTAGGTCCAAATCCGGAAGCTCATTGTGGTTGCTGGGCCTCGAGTCTATATCTATATACATCCTATTACGACTTTATGGCACTAAATAACTTGTTTATCGCTGGGTTAACACATTTACAAATATACTGCAGCACCAAAACATTACCCCCCCTCGTTCTAACTGATAAATCTCATTCAAGTATTTTATAATAAGTGTATGTGTGTGTTTGTGTTTCAGGGAAACCTCGTTAACTTTCTCAGGACAAGAGGACGTTCGGTCGTAAACCCAGTTCAGCTGCTCCACTTCGCTCTGTGAGTTCAAACTTCAAAGACAATCTTAATGCAAAAACTGCTTTATATCTGTATATACATGACGTTGTGTTGTTCGCTCGTGTGTGTGTGTGTTCACAGTACAAAATTAAAATGAGACTTGTTTGTTGTGTGTTTACTATCTATGTGGTCAGCGATGTGTGTGAGGGGATGGAGTACCTGGAGTCCAAGAAGTTGGTTCACAGAGATTTGGCAGCTCGTAACGTGCTGGTCTCTGACGACAGCATGGCCAAGGTCAGCGACTTTGGTCTGACCAAGGTGGACTCGAAGGTGTCAGATAACGTCAAACTGCCGGTCAAATGGACGGCCCCCGAAGCTCTGAAGAAAGAGGTCAGTTTGAGTTTGTTTTTGTTCTTATATTTCTATATCTGTCTCTGCCTCTCTGTGATATTTAAGTGTAACAATACAGTCATTGTGCATAAAATAAAGATACGCTGCTGTTTCACTTAATTTAAAGGGAATTTATTAATTACGTGTATACATTTGCTCCCATTGTGCAGAAATTCTCCACAAAGTCAGATGTTTGGAGCTACGGTGTTCTTCTTTGGGAGATCTTCTCTTATGGTCGTCAACCTTACCCTAAGATGGTATGTAGCGCCAGTATATATTATAATTTATTAATTAATAATGTATTTTTATAATGTGCGGCACTCAGCACATTACAGGCAGGTAAGTTACAGCTGAGGCAACAGTCAGAAGATAGTTAGCTTAGCTTAGCACAAAGACTGGAAACGGGGGGGAAGAGCTAGCCTGGCTCAGCCCGAAGGATATAAAATCCACCAACCTCTTTCTGCTCTGTACTCCAAACACATTTACATAAACCTCAGTCAACTTTCCTGTATTTACATATGTACATATATTGTCACATCTTAAGTTACCTAATTTGCTGTTGATTAGCTAGCCTTTTAGCTAACATTTTGCTAACTTGCTTTATATGTATATGTTGCTTTTATATTTAAACCATCTTCAAAATGTGCTTGTCTTTTTAACATAGACAAGCCTAGCACAGAGCAATACCCAAACCAAAGTTATTGGGTTTTCGTACATTACAAGTTGTAGTTTTATGGGAGGTTATGTGCGGGACTATTGCCGGGCAACTAGCAAACTTTATCTTCTCATCTTCCCAATATCAGTCTTCTGTCTGTGAAATGATCTAATATTCACAATCTATTACACTAGATTTGATACATTGTTTGATTGAGTAAATAATAATAAAAAAACCACTTTCTCACCGTGCTCACGACTAAAGAAACTTAGTTTAAGAAATAAAGGAACATTAAAAACATCTGCAACATAAGCTTCTCACTGACTGAGTCACTGTCCTCAACGTGTCAAGAATGAGTTTCAAGCTTGTTACATAACTGCGACTTCCATGTCATGTCAGGATTCACGTCTCTGTCACGTAGTAGCAGCGTCATTGGAAAGCTGCCAGACTCAGGGGTCAGATCCGTCGTCAGACCGTCATCTCTGAATGGATTTACTGTGTCTGAGCAGGAAGCTACAGTGGCAGTGCGTCAGTGAGGCTAGAGGTTTAGTGTCTCTGCTGCTGCTGTACATTGTGACAGGATAACGTGTAGAAAGTAACCGTAATGTTCTTAGCAAGTAGATAATCTGCTTTATGAACTGTGCTGGAAGGAAGAGGAAGGTACCCTTTACCTGTGGAATGTAACTAAGTACATTTACTAAAGTACTGAAGTACAGGAAGTACAGTTTTGATGCACTTTACTTGAATATTTGAATCATAGACTACTTTACAGAGTGAAATATTGTACTTTTCAGTTACTACAGTAGTCTGACAAATGCGGTTACTTTTCAGAATAAGATAATAAAAAATAAACCACATAAGTTTATGAAATTCACATTGTTAAATATTATATTAGTGTTTTTTCCCCCTCTGAACTTCCCACTTTGAATGTGAACTGTTCAAATTAGGGATGCACAATATGAATTTCTATTTTAAGCCGATATGATAACCGATAATTACCTGCTTCTCATGGCTGATACTGATAACTGGAACATTTTTGTATTTTAAAAAGTTCATCAGGAAGTTCATAACCTGTAGTTTTTACACCCCTGAAGGTAAGAAAGGCTAAAATATAGTGAGTAAAGATGGATGATTTAATATTCAATAACTATAATCAACTCTAACTAACATCATTATTATTAACAACACTTCTGACTCTTCAAATGTTCTTTTATTTTTTACATTTAAGTTACAAACATACTTTAGCTTTCATAGAACATAAAACCTATCAATCATTTTGCATAATAATTAAAAATAAATTATCATCATTATGGACCGATTATTTATCAGCTGTAATTTAATGATCCTGCTGATTCATAATAATATAAATTATTATTATTATTATAATAAAATAATTATTATATTATTAATAATATGTTATTCGACAATAATTGATCTGTCCCAATAATTATCATGCATCCCTTGTTCAAATCCAAAGAAATAAACTCCAATATTTCACCAAGAGATCAGAACATTTGTGTAGCAGAACTTTCCTCTTCCATTAATCATCTCACAACCCCTCAGATCTATATTATGACTCTGACTCTTGGGTGGGAACCACTTTTTATATTAAGTATTTAAATTACCTATAAAATTTATACTTTATACATTATACTTTGTACACATTGATGCATCAGTATTAATAATCTGGGTAATGTCATACATGATTTTTTTGCAGAATGAGTACATACTTTTGATACTTTATATTTTTATAGTATTAGACTTATAGTATATCTGGATAATATTACTGAATCTAATGCTGTAATGGAGTATTTTAACACTGTTGCATTGGTACTTTACCATGTCAGTTGTAAGGGATCTGAGTACTTCCGCCACTGCATTCATGTAGACGTCAGAGCAGGTCGGCGAGACAGAGAGGTCAGAGATTGACGTCACACGAAGACTGGATCCTGTTGACACTGTAATGGAGAGAAAGAAACTATGCTACTTAAACACAGCTCTGTTTGTCATAGTCTTTCTCATGTAATCCCTGCTCCCTGATCACATGAGGTGATTTGTCATTTGGCCTGTGGTTCAGCGAGGACAGAGAGATCAGGCAGCATTAATCGAAGGGACAATTAGCACAGCACGACCTTACATGTGTCTTTTTGCATCTTATTTCAGGCGGTGTCTTTTTAAATACAGATGATTACCTCCTAATTACAGCCTGTTTAACATATACGCTGGTTGATTTATTAGGGTCAAGTTTATTTTCCCCTCAATTAAACCCTGCGCCTGGTAATTTGTTATCTGTTGGCAGGAAGAGGGGCCAAGAGACCAAAAGAAAAAGTAGAAAGGGGGAGAACATATACAGTATAATAAAGAAGTCATAACTACTCCACTAAATAAATTGGTTTAATTCACTGTTTAGTATTCTGAATTTATCCACTTGTACCACAAACTAATGTCACCACTTCTCCCTCTTTGTCCTCACTGATCCTGCCGTCCTCTCCTGTGGTTCCGGCTCATGTAGTCTCTGAAGGAGGTGAAGGAGAGAGTGGAGGGGGGCTATCGCATGGAGGCTCCAGAGGACTGCCCCCCTGGTGTTTATTCCCTGATGAAGATTTGCTGGGAGCAGGAGCCACGCAGAAGGCCCGCTTTCCACAAACTGAGAGAGAAACTTGAACGAGAGATGGGTAAATGCAGCCCGAGCCCTGGGTCGGAGCGTCGAGATGGGATCAGGTCTGCATCTGGATGCTGATCTTGGTTGTGGATCCTGAACTCCAGCAGCACATCGTGAACCCCTCCTGTGGAGTAAACAGTTCCAGCTGGATTCCTTTTAATGGTTGAGACAATACAATCATCATGTAATGACAATGATAAATTGTTTATAATGGAGCCATGAATAGACTAAACTTTGCTTTAGTGGATCTGAGAAAGGAAAAATGTAGTTGTCTCACCCATCTGTGGGCCAGTATTGATTGCAAAATCTGCACCTGATGTTATATTCATAATGATCATTATTCCCCGAAGTAAAACAGCACAAGTTAGAGTATTCTCACACGTCACTGTTTATAACACAGGGTGTTTATCCTTTGCTGGATGAAACTTTGGGGCATAAATTAAGAGTAGACCCACTTCTTCAGGCACCACTACAACACTGGGAATGAGTAGATCAGAAGTTAATAAATAAACTCTCGCACACTGTCTAACCTGCAATATAACATTTAATTGTGATGTTTTTGTAGACCTTCATCAGGAGAAAGAATGAACGTCACTTCATTCAGTGGTACCTGTATGATCAGAAATCTACTGTTTCACATGAAGAGTGAATACAGATATTTAATGTCAGGGAGAGATGTCATTTAAAGATTAAACATATGTACAGGAATGAGATGGGAAGGACAGAGATGGAGGAGAGGAAAAATGTTTATCCTGGATTTAATCACAGATAGCCAAATCTGCCCAGCATTAATGCTCAGCAATATGCCATGGACTCAGGGCTTAACATGGCAAATCTGTAATGTTATTGCTGGTGTACAATAAGTAAATAATTTTATGTAAATACTAAGCTGCATTTTGCTTGTGTGCAGAGAAGATTTGGATGGTTTGTCATTCTCTGCAGATACACTGCAGGTCTTTGGTTAATTCTCACAAAGCACAGTTGAAGTGCCAGAAGTCAAAGATGAACTTCGGTATGTCTTTAATTTTTTCAGATTTCTTCTTAGAAACCAAACCCTCATACTATTTTTGACACTTTGTCCGTCACCACTCAGCATACTCGGGGCAAACTTTGATTCAATTCATTCAAATTTAATTTGTTTCTTGAGACTGAATCTGTAGGAAATATGGTATTTATTCCTACTTTCTCTTCCCTCTTTTATTGGGATTTTGACATTATTGGAGTGACTTTGTGTTATCCGCCGTCCTCTTGGGGTTCTTTTTTTCAAGTCCAAAATGTTTTCTGCTTTCCTGCAGATGATTTTATTTTGTTGTTTTTACATATATAGTATGTATTCTATTTATTAAAGTACATGTATTACACATTTCACACGATGTTATTGATAGCTGCTTTTTATAGTAATGTCATGAAATGTTTCACTTTCAGACAAGACTAACACACTTTCAGTTTCACCACAAAATGAAGCCTCTTTTTTGGATTGTTGTCACGTCACAAGACCAAATTAAAGATGTCATTTGATTTAAGTCTACGAAAAGCCTGGTATTTGTCCCAGGAGACGGACCCCAAATTGAGGCTTGATCCTCCGTCTCTTGTTATCACACAGAGCGAGCGAGGGTCCTCCACGATTTGTTCAATCTGCTCTGTGTTTTCCAGAATCTCTCTAATGGGATGAGCAGCAATTTTCCGCACAAGGATTTATAAAGGAACCAAATGATAATAAAAGATTTGCTGTCTTTGATGGGGGTGACTTATACATTATTGAGTGAAAGGATTTTTTCTGAATATCAGCAGTTATTTCCTCGTTGCTCGTCAATGTGTGTTTTGTAGCACTAATGCAGGGATATCAGGACAAAGCTTTTTTTTCCTGGTACCCATATGTTAAGAGCTTGAGCTCTAGAGATGTTTTTCAGAGGATCTAATGCCCTCTAAGGTGTGCTTTCTACTGATACTTAGTGAAGAGCTAATCTGCTGTGGCAGAGACATGGACTGACAGATAATGAGCTGACAGCTGTCACGTTCATCAGTTCCAAAAAAGAGGAAAGACAAATTCTCTGAACTGTTTGTCTGACAAAATAGCAAATGACTTGAAACAATTACTGTGACGTCAAAGAGCTTACTTTTAGCTTTGATTTTTGGCTTTTAAATTTTTTATAAATATAATAGTCCCCTAATTATTAGGAAACCAACTGTAATTGGACAAAAATCAATTTATGAGTCCTTAAATTTAATATTTGTTGTAAACCCCTTTGTGATCTGTACTGCAGCGACCCTCAATTTTTGCTTGTTTTTTAATTTTTTTGCTTTCGGTCTGGTCTCACATGTCTCTGACAACAACTGTGTTCAGTCCCAACATATGCATTCTTTTCTAGAAGTTATTCTAGTTATTGCTTGCTGGCATATCGTGGCTCAATACCTCTCACGTTTGTGTTTACATCTGCTCCGAGTGGAGCCAGTGCTGCACCTGACAGCCTCTGGATGTGCAGCTGTATGAACACGGTCTAGGGACTGACCTGATTATGTTGGTTAGGTTTAAGTAGATGTGGTCACTTCAGAAGGTTGGAGGTTAAGAGGAAAAGAGTAGCTTGGTTCTCTGAGCCAATATACGTATTAGACATAAGATGCTCTTCCTAGAAAATGGTATCATCAGCAGATGCTTACCAGGGGCTTTTGTCAGCCTTATAAATGAACCCTTACCCATCAAAAAGCAAGATCACCACCTGTACAACCAGACTGATCGGTGCCATTTTAAAACAGAAATTCTGTTTTGTTATTGTAAACCTGCAACGTTATTCTTCCATCTATTATGACTATTGGTCATGATGATTATTTCCTTTTTATGTTTTGAGTATTAACATTTTATGATACTTTACACTTCTACTTCACTACAAAGGGAAATATTGTGCTTTGTACATCCATTCAAAACCATTTTGATAATACAAAACAAAACTGCAGCATCTACTTGGGGCCTTGTCACAGGTTTCAAATGATGAAGTTGTTTAAAGTTTCACCAAAGAGAGATTTCCCCTCTAAACTTCATAGATACTTTAATTTAAATAACTGATCAAGACCCAAATTATTGATTAAAATATTAGTGCAGTAATCCGAAAAAAGGAATACAGATTTGTGTAGCAGAACCCAATTAATCATCTCACAACCTCCAGATTTATCTTGTGGCCCTGGAGGGGGTAGGTAAAACTGGCTGCACCTGGGTTACGGTTCATACTGTTCAGCCCACAACCGAGTCGGTTCTCTGTGATTTCTTAAGAATGTAAGTAATTTTATGCCTTCATAATAATAAGCAAGATATCTTTTTTTTAAAAAATACATATTTTTGATGTTGCTTTTTTTTTCCTTTATTAGACAGGACAGCTTGAGAGATAGACAGAAAAGTGGGATGACACACAGCAGGGGGCCAGATTCATCCCGTGGCCACTGTGGCAAGGACTCAGCCTTTGTACATTGGGCACCAGCTCTAGCAGGTGAGCCAACAGGACGCCTCATAAGCAAGATACCCTAGTAACAACGCCAACATTAAATGCTTCATTATAAGCCAGTTGTTCTGCTGCTGTCTGCCAGGTGAAACTGAATTATCCACTGCTGTACCACCACATAGTGTTATAGTGAAAACCAAATAATAACCACTCCTATCTGTTTCTGTTTGAGCTTTGGCATCCTTGAGTTAGACTCTACATGTTGGCTCTGCAACAACAACAATAACAATATCCAGTCCAACTGACTGTAGCGATTACCTAGTACCTACCAACTGAAGCCTAACCTAGCCGAGATATAGCACCTGAAGCCGAGCCTTACAATGCCAACGTTACCTGAAGTCAGGCTATCAAACGTACCACACATACTGGAAGATCCCAGCCTGGTCGTAGTTGTTTTCACTTCAGAAACTCTCAACTTTACACAAACTACAATCGATTGCCTGGTGCATGTTGGCTCAAAATCATAGATATTTTCAGATCCCACGATTCCTTTTAACTGGCTGCTAACCACCACTCACAAACTTTACCTGGGAAAATAAAAATATAGGCTCTCCCAACCTAAGAGCCATTTTGTCTGATTTCGCAGGGAATCCGACCTGATGGCAAGCATCAACACCAACTATGTAGAAATAGTCAATGTTCTTGCTGATGTTCTTGTTTGCTTCTAGGTCATTTGAGCATCAGTATCACAGTTTCATTAAAAAAAACTCCTTGTCGGGGCTTTAAGTAAAGGTTTTGAGTGCTTCTTCGACCACTGGTTGCTGTTATAGTTGGCAAGATGCCCCCAAAGTAGATAGTTTAACCCATTTTAACACACAGAATCCACCTCTTCAATAGAAAATTCAATAAGGCAAATTAATGCAGCTCAATGTAAATGATGCACCTTCTGCTCTCTGACTGATTACTTTAACTTAAACATTTATAAGAATTAAGTACACACTTGTCACTTGTCCTTTTCTGATCAGTGCATACGTAATGCCATTTGGATCAATAGTCTGGCACAGAGTCAACAGGTGCACTTCCCACTAAAAATGCCCTAAGAAGTGTGTGAAGTATGTTTAGCCCAGAACACACCGTACGGTGAGTAATTAGGTCAGACTCAGTAAAGTCCATATGCGTCATGGATTGACCAGCGTTTTTAACACTGAACAGTTAACAACACTTCATCCATACATGGAATTAAATCTCCAGACAGGACAAGTAAATTAGCTACAAGGCTTACTTCCTGTTCCTGTCACAGTTTATTGCTGGCATTTCAAACTCTGACATTTTCTCTTATTTTTTATATATTTGTAGTTTATAATATGCATTATGTTTTAAAGAGTTCGGTCAAGACCTGCTCTATTTGAAAAGTTTCCTGAGATAACTTCTGTTATGAATTGGCGCCATACAAATAAAATTGAAATTGAATTGAATTGAATATTTGTAAAGTCCTAATCATATTGTGTCCTTGTGGAAACAACTCTACTCCAAATAAAACAATTTGAACAAAATGTTTCTGTAGCACTTTGCATTATGGCTTGGTAAAAAAACATGGTAAAAAGAGTAGTTATAACGAGGTAATAGCTATTTGTATTTGTATAGACTGGACAGGGTAATAAGGGGCCAAAAACAAAGGTTAATGTTAAAATAAAGAGAAAACACATATAAAAATAGCAACATGGCAAACTATATAGTATTAGTATTGTAATATTTTGGTAACAATATGGCAACCTGCTAACAAAATGATTATATCAGTGCAATATTTGGATTAAAAATGATAATATCGGGACATCAATGGGTTAATAACCTGATAATAATGCAGTGATGTGATGTTTTCATGCCTTTATAGGCTACATACGTATTATCAACGTAATAACATCAAGATATATGAAAATATTTGGAAGTCAAAACTGGTAATTGCCATATTATAAACCTTTACTTCCTTCCCCCTTTATGCTCCATATTTGCTGCACAAATAATATGTTTAATGCTGTGACTTATTAACTGGAAACACTTAAAAGGTAGTTTGGTAGTTTTTGGTATTTTCTGTGTAATAACCATCAACCCACGGCCAAACATGTTGAACTATCAGTGTCTATTTAATGTCATTGTAATATTAGAACTTAAAACCAAACATGATGAGGTATAGGGATTGCATGCTATTATTTCATTACTACCACTTTATTATCAAACTATTACCAAGCTGCAACGTAGGCCTCATGTAATACTGTGAATAATAATAATAATAATAATAATGATAATAATAATAATTATTATTATTAGTATAATAATAATAATAATAATAATAATAATAACTATGAATATCAAACTGCGCTCAGGGAAAGAATTTCATGTTTCAAGTGAAATTTAATTTGTCACCATACAGCAGCTACTGATGTTTTGCTGCTGACAGTCATTCTATTTGTTAGTTTTTTTTTTTTTTTTTTTTATTTTGTTTTTTACCTTTTTTTTTTTAAAAGTTTTTTGAAATTAATTTTTTTTTGAATTGGCTTTAAAAAAAAAAAATTTAATTTAATTGAATTGAATTGAATTGAATTGAATTGAATTGAAATTGAATTAGTGAGTCCGGTTGAATATAAACCTGCTGTTACTGTGTGTACAGTGTGAAAGCTTACCCTGGGGGGCAGCTGTAATTTAATTAGGGAAGGTTAAGAGCAGCTGTCTGTCTCTTGGTCATAGTCGGACATTGGTTGCGTGACAAAGTGGCTGATTGATTGAAAAAAAGAAAAAGTACCTTTTAAGATACTGGGTTGTAGTGGGTTTTTAAGTCCACATGTAAACCTATAGTTACGTATTTAATAAACAAAGGAAACAAAACTAATTCAATTCAATTCAATTCAATTTTATTTGTATAGCGCCAATTCATAACAGAAGTTATCTCAGGACACTTTTCAAATAGAGCAGGTCTAGACCGAACTCCTTATAACATTATTTACAGAGACCCAACAGTACCACCATGAGCAAGCACTTGGCGACAAGGGCAAGGAAAAACTGTTGTGTCTGAAAGGGCCTCAATAGTGTGTTCAGACATTATATATATTTATACTGTCAGTGGTTCAGACCAAACACAAAGAAAATCTTCACACAATAAACCACAATGGTGAATCTAATTATCATGGCATGGAGTGATCAATATATGCTTCAATAGCCGACATCATGAACACTGTTTTATCTAAATCTTAAATGATCTGAAACTTTACAAAATGCATCAACATGGGGGAAGGAAAAAACTCAGTGTCCCATG